AATAATAAATGACACAATTCAAAAAAAAACTCGCGTAACTTCACCTGGAATATATACATGTGTGTAAGAGGAATCAGTTTATATCACGCAAGTTAAATCACTCATATATCATTCAATAATTTTTTTATTAGAAAAATGTGTCTAAAAAATCATCGATTCATTGAAATTTTATAGGTTATATTTATAAAATATTAAATTAATTTAAAATTATTTAATACTTTATGTATATAGTATACATAAAGTTTAACAAAATATATAATCTTGAAATATATGAAAATAAGAATAATTTATTTTTATTTATTATTTAATATTTATAAGACATGATACAAAAAATAAGGTGATAAATAATTGCAATTTAAAGGTTAATGAAAAAATTACATTTTATGTAAAATTATTGCATGATATAAGAGTAATTTTGACTTTCAAATTGGTATTATATATATATATATATATATATATATATATATATATATATATATATATATATATATATATATAATTGTTTCATTAAATAATAATATTTTCAGTAAAAGTGTTGTAAAATTGCTATTACCATGGACCAAATTATGAAAAATATGAAGAAATAATAAATGAGTAGGAGTTGACACAAGATTGAAAAAAAGCCATGATTTTTTTTCTTTACTAGCTAAAAGTTTACGAGGTAGGATATTCTTACTACCCATTTTTTTTACTACCATTTCATTACCACTCTAATCACCATTGGATTAGAGGAAAAATTAAATGAAGAGAGAGAAAAGAAAAATAACTTTTGAATCCAATGGTGATTAAAGTGGTAGTAGAAAAAATAAGTAGTAAAAATATCCTACCTCAAAGTTTATATGCTAGAGATGTCACTTGTAAGAAATACCTTACCATATCATTTTATGTTTGAAGGAATGAATCTCGTACCCTAAATTCAAAGGATATGAAAATACCCTAATAAATAAAAAGGAATAGTTTAAAAAGAGTAAGTTGTCATATTCTAATTATGCTAAGGCATACTTACAAGCCTTAGCAATTGACATTAGCAACGTAAATAAATGACCTATTAATGAAAAATGAAATATATTTTTTTTTGGAAATATTCTAATCGATTCATCGCTTCGCGACTAGTCAGATTTGAAACGGTCCACGATTAAGGTTTTAAATTCCTTTCAAAGGTGTCAGTGAGCCGAATATCATTAAAATAAAAAGGTTATGATTGTTAGTGTTGTTAAACCCGACCCGGACATCGATCCGGTCAGGGTACTGGGTCACTGGTCGGACCGGTTGACCCGTATATATATATATATATATATATATATATATATATATATATACATATAGATATATAAAAATATATATAAATATAAACATATAAATTCAATTATATTCTCCATATCTAAAATGAATTAAACAAGGTTCACTAAATAAGCTAAAAAACATGAAGCATAAATAAATAAAAAGTGCATGTTAATATGTCAATTGAAATTGCAACTCAGAATTCCCATAAACATAACTCTCAATGACATTGAACTCATATTTTTCAAATTCAACTACATTAAAATGAAATATGTCACATTCTCTAATTTTTTATTTCACAAATTGATTCAGTATTAGAAACTAAGAGGTCATTGTAGAAGAGTATACTAGCGAATAAAATTACAAAAAACAAAATGAGTTTTACAATTTTTTTGATAAGATAAAACAGTTTTGTTTTTTTGTTTTTTAAATGCATGACTCGACCCGGTCACCTGGTCACCAGATTTGACTGGTCGATGCATAACCAGTCCAATGCTTAACCTGAACCGGTCTGATGATCGGTTCACCGGGTTCCGGGTCAACCCGGCCGAGTCGGGCGGGTTTTATAACAGTGATCGTTATCATGGTAAGCTAATTAAATGGAATCAGTGTTTGTTCTTTTATAATATAGAGAATTGTGTCATTTTAGTCAATTCAAATATTAAATAAAAACAATTATGCTAATTAAAATGACTTTCTTTTAAAAGGATAAATATTTTTTTTCTAATTAGATATGAATAATAATACATTGAAATAATACAATAATTAAAAGATAACTATATATAGAGAAGTATATGGCTTGACATGAGCACAATAGTTATTCGCGCACTCGTTGAAAGTTCAAAACTTGGGAAAAAGTACCATTTTAAAATTTTTGAGCAAAAGAATTGCTCAGTTAAAGTTGATTGGATAAGTTTTTCCAAAGTAATGCAGTCAAACATGTCACATATGCTGACGGGACTAGTCTCGTCACTGACACTGACGAGACTCGTGCCACGTCAGCGCCATGTAGGCAGTTTTGTTACCATAAAACTTTAGAAGACTATAACTTGTGACTCGGGTATCCAAATCAGATGATTTTTTTTTATTTCACATAACTTTTCGAGATCTACGCAATGACATCTCATTTAACATATTTTATCTCTCACAAACATAATTTGAATTGGTAACAATTGTACCACAATCACGCGTTTAAATTCAGAAGATCTTCAAACTATGTTTGTGGGAGATAAAATATGTCAAATTAGATGTCATTGCGTAGATCTCGAAAATTTATGTGAAATAAAAAAAAAAATCATCTGATTTGGATACCCGAGTCACAAGTTATGACATTCTGAAGTTTTACGATAACGAGACTGCCTACGTGGCGCTGACGTGGCACGAGTCCCGTCAGTGTCAGTGACGAGACTAGTCCCGTCAGCATATGTGACATGTTTGACTGCATTACTTTGGAAAAACTTATCCAATCAACTTTAACTGAGCAATTCTTTTGCTCAAAAATTTTAAAATGGTGCTTTAGCCTCAAAACTTGGGATAATGATTTTTTGAATATTTAAATGTTTCTGATAATTTTTTTTTAAGTTTTTGTTAATCTCCTACATAATATGCAAAATGACTAATTAATTCAAAACTTGGGATAATAATTATTAGTTATGGTCACAAGATTATTAAGTAAGATATATGTGCAGAGAACTAAAGCACCATTTTATAGTTTTCGGACAAAAGAATTGCCCGGTTAAAGCTGATTGCATAAGTTTTTCCTAAGTAATGCAGTCAAACATGTCACCTGTGCTGACGGGACTAGTCCCGTCACTGATACTGACGGGACTCGTGCCATGTCAGCGCCACGTAAGCAGTCCAATTACCGTAAATTTTCGGAAGACCATAACTTGTGACTCGGGTATCCAAATGAGATGATTTTTTTTTTATTTCACATAACTTTTCAAGATCTACGCAATGACACCTCATTTGATATATTTTATCTCCCACAAACATAGCTTATGGATAAACACTCTTGTGATTGTGATACAATTGTTACAAATTCAAACTATATTTGTGGGATATAAAATATGTCAAACGAGGTATCATTGCGTAGATCTCGAAAAGTTATTTGAAATAAAAAAAAAAATCATCTTATTTGGATACCCGAGTCACAAGTTATGGTCTTCCGAAGATTTACGGTAATTGGATTGCCTACGTGGCGCTGACGTGGCACGAGTCCCGTCAGTATCAGTGACGGGACTAGTCCCGTCAGCACAGGTGACATGTTTGACTGCATTACTTTGGAAAAACTTATCCAATCAGCTTTAACCGGGCAATTCTTTTGTCCAAAAACTTCAAAATGGTGCTTTTCCCCGAGAATGTATAATTTAAGATAATAAGTTATGCATTGCATCATGAAAAAGAAAAGTAAAAAATCAATTTACATATTTACAGAGGTTAACAATAATAATTTGACGTACGACTTCTGCTTAAACATTTATTTTATACTGCATTCTTGTATCATATGTATATTAACAAACCAATCCGAAACAGGAGTTACAAAGTTTGGTTTGATAATGATTACCAATAAAATTAGACTTTTTGCAAATAATATTATAATATTGTATAAAAATAGTCTACTCGCGGCAATTGTCATTGGCTTAAAATAATAATGCTCATAATGTGTTTCGTGAAATGACATTTTGATGACAACTAGATAAGTTTTAAATATCAACATCACGATTAAGAAATTAAGAAAAGGTTTGCATATGTCAAAAGTGGTTAAATTATATAAGCAAGAAAATTAAGAAGTTGTCGCAATTGGAAATACGTATAAAATATAATGTAATATTTCAACTCTGAACCAAAAAGATAATAAGAACAGAGAAATATACACGAGACCGAAGTAAAAGCAATTTGTCTTATTTGTTGGTGGGGATTCATTTTTGAAACTTAAACTTAAACTTAAAGAAAAATATATATAAAATTATGATAATTAATGAAAACAGTAACAATCTAAAATATAAAAAAGTATTAAAGTATTAAAATAAAATTATCGATTTTAAAATAAATAAGGATAAGGGGTTTTGTTTTTGGATCCATAAAGAAATTGTAAATTTCTGGTACATAGAAACTGGACCCTTGAAGTGAGTGTAGGGAAAGAAGATAATAATTGAAGGAAAGAAAACGAAGCGTTGACAAAAAGGGAGTAGTCCACTAGAAATAATGTATTGGGTGGGTATAATAGGCCCAATTTTGTGTGTGTGTGTGTGTGTGTGTGTGTGAGAGAGTGTTTTTTTTTATATATAAAGGGAAACAGGTGGCGGGTTTGTCCATGCCAAGCCTTTACCAGGATAGAACCGCTTGGCGCAGAAATAACTCGTGAGGTCCTCATCTGTACGTGTGACTCTGTCTTCCTTCCTTCTTCATTAATATTCATTCATTCGGTCACCATTCTCTTCTGAATTCTGAATCTCTCTCTCTCTCTCTCTCTCTCTCATATATATGCCTCTGTATATCTTCTTATATCTTACCTTGAACCCACTCTCCTCGTCAACTTATTGATTTCCTCGGTCACATATATATATATAAATTTCATTTGTTGCACTCACACTTTATTATTTGCTAGAAATGAACAACACAATGAGGCCAAGGAGTCAAGTCATGTTTAATTCAGTTTACGACAGGGGCTGACTCTCTCTCTCACACACACACAGTCCCATCCAACACCAAAAACATCTCTTGCATGTGTTGTACAATAATCTATATACTATAGTTAAGTAGCAAATAAATTAAAATGGAAGGCATGATATCGATGAAGGGAAAAGGGAAAAAGAAAGGTCTATTGAGCAAAACATGGGAGCGATGTAAGTCCGTAGGAAGAGGACGCAAGGGTTCATCCTCATCCAAGGCGGCTATTGCTTCCCTTTCTCTGACAACAACAACAACAAGGAGCAAATCGTGGCCAAGCCATGATCAGGAGGAAGAAGAAAAGCGAGGAAAGAAAGGGAGAGGGAGAAGTGTGGCCCCACAAGGTTGCTTCTCGGTGTATGTTGGGCCACAAATGCAAAGGTTCGTGATCAAAACTGAATACGCAAACCACCCTTTGTTCAAGATGTTGCTGGAAGAAGCAGAGTCAGAATATGGTTATAGCAGCCAAGGCCCTTTGGCACTTCCTTGCAACGTTGATCTATTTTACAAGGTGTTGATGGAAATGGATGATGAAGCCACTGCTACTACTACTACTCAACAAACTCATCGAGGCTGTGCTAATTTTGGGAAGCGTTCTCGTTCTTATCATCTTCTTAGCCCTTCGCGGATGCTTGCCATCAACCCCTTCTGATGATTCCAAATCAATATATTTCATGTATCCATTTTACATGTCTACTATACCACTGTAATCGAGTAGCTAGGGTAACCCGATGAATAATCATCGGTTGAAATTTTCTTTTTTTCTTTTTTTCTTTTTTTCTTGTTGTTGTTGTTGAAATAAATAAAATGTATGATGGTTTGTCCTATTCAAATTTTCATGAGTTTTCCAATTTAATTTGTTTGTTGGTTAATTTCTTACGAGCTAGAAAGATTAAAATTAGTGGCATGGCGGCGCGCGGCTATTGGATTTCGCTTTATATATGCCTATAGGCTAATAAAGAAATCCATAATTATATTTTTAAGTTGGATGTCCTGTACTTGTTTTGATGTCACGGGCTTTAATCAATCAATAATATTACTGCTTACAATTAATTGTGCGTTTACTAATTCATCTGATTTGAACCCAATAATACTAGAGCTAGCGTGCATAGCTTTCATTGGACATTAATTGGGTTAAGGGCTTAAGGCATATATATTGCCATTGTTTAAAAATTATTTCCAAAATATAAATCACTTATATATATATATATATACATTGATTCACGAAATTATAAATTGTTATAAGAGCACTTAATTAAAACTTGCAAAATGTGGATATCTGGAATTTCGTGTTTGCTTCGTGATACCAACATCCTTCGCGCCGAGAGCTTATTGGAATAAGGGTGAGTCTTAATTACTTTTGCCTCGGAGCTTGGTTTTCGCTTTGTGTGGTGCGAAAGTGACTCTAGCTAGTGAGGGTGAGCCTATGCATTTAATTTCTAATATGGCCAAGTAGCGTGAAGCATCGACATGTGTCTAAGCTTACATCAAATGAAGACATCAGTGTTTGAGAAGAATGAACTAGGTGATATCTGCTATATTTAGATAAGATGACAATAGATTGAGTTGAATTATACCACAACTGACTTTATGATGGAAAAAAAATGCAATTAGGAAGATAAATACAGATAGGTAAATGCATTTTTCCGTAATTTTTTTAAAAGCTAAAAGCAATTTGTCGTCTTGCTATGCTTATGAATTTGAAGTGAGATCTGTGTTTGTTGACTGGTGATTATTAAAATATTATTGTTTTTCGAGAAATGTTTTAAAATTTAAACGCAATTTAAATGTTATGAAGCAAAATAAATAAAATAAACAGACTTGAAAGAGTTAGTTTATATTATCCTGCAGACCATACTAGTGGAAAGTATACAGAGTTAATCAAGGGCATAATATATTACCCATTTTAATTAGGAAAGACGTACTAATAATTAGTTCATCGACTTTTAAGATTAAATAACATAATAAATCGCGTCATATGAAATTGGGTTACTGTTTATATTAATTAAAAAGGTGACATGAGGGGTCTAATGGGCGGTGGAATGACTGATAAGAGGTTTATGAAACTATTATTGCATTTTTGTACTAATATTGTATTTTTGTCCAGCTTTTGACGATTTAATATTATGATTTATATTTTTAATGTTATAAGAAATAATTTAATCTTTTATATATATATAAAAATATTTAGGACTCCTGTTTCTTTTTTCTCTCTTTTTCTCTCACATAATTTCACATAAATTTTATACACCTTTTATATATATGTATATAGGAAATAAAATTATCTTATCAAACATAAAACACATTAGTACCTTCGCTATTTAGTATAAAAAGAATGCGTGGAGGCATCAAACACATATTAATAATTTATTTTTTGTTTTTCTTTTGGCAGGACGCATCATAGCAGTATTGTATCGCAAATTAAAATTCAACACGAACAGACAATCTCCCATTGACTACTTCAAAAAGTTTAATTATTTATAATAGAATACAATTAAAGTTATGGCAATATTAATGGACTTAATTAATTTGTCCCCGATATACATTAGACCAATTCAGATGTTAAGAAGTGAAATGGCTCATATGATGTTAAGGAGAATAAATATGTGCTTAAAATAGTTTATTTATGTTTAAAATAAGGATTTAAAGTTTCTAAAATTATTTTAAATAACTTTATCTAATATTCACCAAAAAATATATAAAAGAATGTTTGAGGTTTATGTGGATTCATATGAAAAAAAAGAGAGATAAAAATAAAACATGTGCCCAATACATTTTTATGTGTGTATTTTGGTAAATATTAGATAAAGTTAAAAACTTTAAAGTTCAAATCCTTAATATAATTTATAATTAAAAATGTGGGTTTAAAGTTTTTAAAATTACTTAGATAACTTTATCTAATATTTATCAAAATATACACAAAAAAGTATGTGAGATCCATGTGAATAAAATAGATAGAAAATGAAAATATGAGTCCACATATTTTTGTGTATGTATTTTAATTAATAATAGATAAAGTTATCTACAGTAATTTTAAAAATTTTGGACCCTAAAAATTTATTAAAACAGATTTTTAAAAACAGTGATTTTTCTCTTAAAATGATAAATTACGTGCATGAAAGTTATACAGACAAATTTTTTTTCTCATTTCTCATTTATTAATTTTATGTGAATTATTTAAATATTAGTATAATCTTACATATATTTGAAATAAATGTGGTGATGTAAGTTATATTAGTGACCTTTTCTAAAGCATTTAGCATAAATGTTTTTGTCACTATGCGTATGCGGCCCTTTAATAATAATGATATCGGACGTAATGCTGGCGTCAGATAGAAAACTTGAGGGATACTTAAGATTATAAAACACGCAATTATGCACCCCAATGTATATATATTTATCCCCTCTTCGCACGTTTGACGTTGAAACCTGTAATTGGTTGTTTGGGAACTTACTTCCCCAGTTATAAATTGATTCCAATTATTTCGTTTTATTTTATATTTGACTTTGCCAATCACTGCATTTCCCCCCTCCCTAGTTTTTTCTCTTTTAGGAGCGTGTACATTAGTGTTTGTGTATGGTATATTAAGAGTGTGCTTGGATCCCTTCTTTTTAAGTTAGAAGTTACTTATAAGTTAAAGTTAAAAAAAAAAAGAGTTTAAAAAAAGTTAAAAGCTGTTTGGTAATCACATAACAAATTTAGCTTAAAAACACATATTTCAAGAAAATTATCTCTCTCTATTTATAACTCTTCATTTTTTTTAAAACAAAAAGCACACAATTCAAGATACGCAGATAAGAGCTTAAAAAAAACTCCTCCTAAGAGCTTTTAGCTTTCATTATAAAAAAAGAGAGTTTTTCATTATATGAGCTTTTTCAAAAACCTGTTTGGCCTAGCTTATGCTTATAAGTAGCTTCTAGCTTAAAAAAGAGAGGATCCAAACAGGCATTAATTAAGAAGTTGTTAACTTCAACTTACAAAGTGTCAGTTTGGATCTTCTCTTTTTTAAGCTAGAAGCTACTTATAAGCATAAGTTAGGCCAAACAGGTTTTGAGAAAAACTATTATAACGAAAAGCTCTTTTTTTTTATAATAAAGAAAAAAGCTGAAAATTAAAAGCTCATAGGAGGAGATTTTTTTTAAGCTCTTATCTATTTTTCTTGAATTGTGTGTGTGTGTGTGTTTTTTTAAATGAAAAGTGATAAAGATAGAGAGAAAGATAATTTTCTTGAAATATGTGCTTTTAAATAATTTTTAAGCTAAAATTTTTATGTAATTTTCAAACAATTTTTAGCTTCATTTTTTAGCTTTAGCTTATAAGTAGCTTCTAGCTTAAAAATAAGAGGATTCAAACAGACTCAAAGGAAATCTATCCTCTCTCATGTTTAAAAAAGAATATATGATATGATTATATGGAATAATTATAATTATATAAAAATAAATCAACGGTTATGATTTAGTAAATACTTCTTTTAATATTTTTCTCTTTCTTTTTTTATTATCATTCATCCACCTTTGTATAATTATGATTATTCATATGACAATGTAATATCTTTTTTAATATGATAGGATACACTTTCACCTAAAATATGTAGTTCAGACTTGATTGACCACGGATTCATGGCTGTTCACAATTGAATATAAATGATTGCAATCAATTGTTTAGCAACTGAGCCGGGATAACTTTTTTAATTAGCAATTGATTAAATGAATATGCATGTTTGGAATCTGTACAAAAAAATAAAAAAAGTGTTTGAAGTCATTGATTTTAAGAACCGAGAGTAATTTTTTTTAAAAGCTTTAAAGTAGGTGTTGAATTAATTTTGAAATCATTTTAATTTTAGTTGTATATTTAGAAATCGACTTCAATTGAGTTGGATTTAGGTGAATTTTGATGTTTTATTTTAAATGCTTGAATTGATGAATTTGCCTTCATTTGTTTTCCCGCTTTGCCCATTCTAATTAAGAATGGGTAAAACAAAATTATTAACATAAAATGATTTACGAATGAATTCAAATACAATGTGTTTTGACTATAAGAATGATTTTTACTGAGATCAAATCAAATTCATTTAATGATTTGAAACGCAATTTTTATGATTTGATTAAAAAACAGTTAGTTTAATAAATAAATAAAATATAACCCATGTTAAATAATATATTAGGTTAAGACAAATATTTTTTGAAAGAAACCTGACTTACTTAATGAAAAGTTTGGTCTAGCCTAAATATATACTCATCCCACACGTATGATGGAAAATCCATGAAGGCCTTGCGAAATCGATACTTTGATGAACTTCACGTATCACTTAATGATGTCTTTTTTCTGATTACAATAATAATATAGAAGTCTAAACTTATCTTCTCACGTAAAAATGGCCTTGAGCCCTCTAAAGCCCAGTATGAAGTGTAACATCACTCCAAGTTTACTCTAAAGTCTAAACCCCCTATGCTCACAATAATGTTAACTTCATGCTTGGTCATTGTCCATCTACTTATCAAAGTCTGGACGAATGGCCCATTCCAAAATTGGACTACTAAAGAAATTAATGTAATCCTTGAACCACTAGTATCAATTTGTCTGGTTACGGCGATCGCAGACATATTTAGGGTCAACACCTCTTTCAGTTTATTTCTCATTACTTTTTCATGTTCCTCCTGCCTTTTGGATTTAAATTCAATGTTGATTGGCGATTTTTCGATGTCTATGAACAGATTAATGTGTACTTTTTGAAGCCTAGTGTCTTTGATATATTACTAGACACTAAATTCAAAATTTTGAGATTTTACTTTTATGTTGTAGTTTAGGATTATTATATTTTACTCCACTGTTTTGACATCAGATTTTCTCTACCTCGCTCACAAGTGATTTTAAATTATTGTATCTGATATCTGTTTAACCCTTTTTTTTTTTTTACATTAAATCAATGGCGCAAGCGTGTGATTTAAAGATTTATACTTTTTTATTTTTTTTAGTTTTCTCAAGATATCTTTTTACCAACCGCCGAAGACTAATCATTTCAAAATATAGAGATCAACAACAGTGGGTTTTTCCTCAATAATTTATACTTTTTGTTCCATGACTATTCTAGCGTGTTAATTAGTTACTTGGAATTCCAAAACCCTACATCATATTTTTGTTATTGAAATGAAAATTTATAAGAATTAACCATAATGTCATCATGACACCATAATGGGAGTAACTGGTCTTCATATTCTGTGGTAAAACGGTAAAAGTATACCCATGTCATGTGGGTTATGTTATGGTACTACTTAATAATAGAGTTTAATTTACTAAATTGCACTATAATTTCTGTACTTTTCTATTCTCTGCTCAATCATAACCTCTCTTTTTCCATGACCATACATAATTATCGTAAGAATAAACCGAGAAAATTAAAGGTGCAAGCAAATACTAGGGATTTTTCTGACGTCTACATAAAGTAGTGTTCTTCTGAGAAGGAGTGTAACTCAGAGGACTCAAGCTGTATATACATAGGTTATCTTGTTTTGATTTGAGTGATATCTCACGTGTTGTGCTTTTCACAAATGGAACATTGCAATTGCAACTCGAAGATGAGTTCTTCCCAATCAAGCTTGCTTCGCAGAGTGACACAATTGATGAACCATCCACGCAGTTAACTCCATCAACTGACGGTATATCTAAGTTATATACTCCATATTGGTCTGTGCTTCTGTTCACCGAGAAGCTTATCTCTTCGTTTGTTTTTGGTGAGGTTGCTCTGAATCTGCACTGTATGTGAACCTCAACACCTGTTGATTGCAACAAACCCAATGAAACAGTGCATTTGAAATATCACAATTCACAACAACTCTAGCAAGCCTTAATCATATGGCAATTTTAATTACCTTACCTTGCAAGAAGTAGCTCTGTTTAGAGACTGTGCTGCTTGAGCATGTATCACAATAAACAACTCCTACTACACTGATCCGAGAGATAGTTGGAGATTGGGCATTGAGCATAAATGGGTAACTGGACAGAGACATGAGAAAAAGAAGAAGAAGAAGGAGAACAAATGGATCCATGGAAGGAAACATAAAACTGAATGTGAAGAAGCTTCTACAAAAGCATCTGTATCGTAGTTGGTAGTGCAGACTGCAACAATATTTTATAGTGAGCAAGTGTGTTGTGTGTGCATAGATTGAACCCGTGAGTGTTTAGTGGTAGGACCAACTACAATAAGAGAGTTGAGATTGTTAATGTATTCACTACAAACAAAGACATGTGAAGGTGTTGTTGGCAGATTTTTTATTTTTTGATATATTTCAATCGGTTCATTGTTTCGCGATTAGGGATGAGTTCCAGAATTAAGATTTTAAACCTCTCCCGAAAACAGTATCGAGGAAGATCAAACACATACTCTTACTTTTATTTGCTCAATTCCCTAGTACCAATTGAACTACCATCACGTGGTCGTTATTAGCACCAATTGAGCTACCATCACGTGGTTGTTGCTGGCAGATTATCAGTGGCAAAGAAGGAGAGACTTGGAGAGGTGATGGTCCCAAAAAATAAATCCATAGATAGTCAGGGTTGATTTGTGTGTGTGTTTTGTTTTATTGATGGGAACTAGAGGCACAAAGTCATTCAGGCACATACTTTAGAGCAATTTTCATGCTCTATGCCATTTGTCGAGTGAAAATTTTCTGCCAGTTAGAAGTGATTGCTGATAATAAACGGGGGAGAATCTCTAAAGTAAATTAGAAATTTTAATTTGCTCATACAGTATATTGCGTGATAGCACAATGTTCTATTTGGGTGTCTTGCCAAAATTTAAGAAAAATAAGCACATTATTGCGGACAAGTTAATCTAATGGATCTCCAAATGACTAGAAATAACAAAGGAAACGGAAAAATTACCATTTTAAATTATAAGATTTAATGAAATTACATAAATTTAATTCTTAAAAATTGATATATTCAGTTTCAAATTTAATTTTAACAATTATCATTTATAATTTTAGTTTTTAAATAAGGGGCAGATTATAATTGCAATCACCTCTGATATATATTAAATGATAGAGAAACAAACTTTCTAGTCTCGATAAAAGTTTTCAATTTTATTTTGCAACTAAATGATCTAGTGAGTTATTTTGAAGTCACATTTATTCAAATAATCAAAACTAACTAACAATTCACTGAGCATCTGACTGAATATTAATTCATTACAATTCTTAACATGTTCCCTCGAACAATCTTTAGTTTAATTTTGTATAATATAAAAAAAAGAAAAAAAGTATCTAATATTACTTTAGACAATTTTATCTAATTTTCACCGAAACGGTATCGTTTTAGGATTGAAAAATAAAAAAAATTAGAATAATAAAGATTATTATAACCCTGAAATAAATTAAAATTACAAACACATCATGATTTTCGCTTCAAAATGACGTCATTTTGATGAATATTAAAAAAAGTTATCTAAAGTAATTTTAGAAAAAATGAACCGATAAAAAATGCATAAATAATAAAGCAACTATTTTTTCTAAAATTATATATAAAGGGTAAAATGCAGTTTTTAACTTTGTATTTTGTTTTGAATTCACTTGTCCTGCGTAGTATAAGGGTAACAACTTAGGCCTTGGGGTCCATATACATACAACAAAGATTGTTATAGCACATGATAAACAGATGAGTTGTGCTATTCAGACACTATTTTGTGCTCACTATTTGTAGACAAAGAAAGTGGGGTACATATATTATTTTTGTAAATAAATATGATTACAGGAAAAACAAGCTATCACAATCTGTTTTGAAGTGATTCGGTTAGAAACTCAATAATTGATGAGAAATCATGCATGACGTAGTGATGATGCATTGAATGTCTAACTTACTCTTTTGGCTGGGAAACTTATATTTTTATATGGACAACTTCATTACCAAGTTAATTTATACGTTGGAATGGAAATGAGTTAATTTTATGCGTTTCATGGCTTAGCTAGCTAAATAGAAAATACACTACCCAAATGGGTGCACAGCTCAGTTGGTTCCTTGGCGCTGAGTTAATGGGGTTGGACATGTGTTCGATTCCCGCTGAATGCATTCTTGGAGAGGGGGCTGAACCTTTAGCCATCACTGACCCCCGCACTCCGGATTAGTCTCATAGCCGGCTCAAAGAGTCGAAGTTTGTGGAGATACCGGAGGGAGCCAACTCGCCTCAAAGAGGTAATTAGGGTTGGGTAACTCCAAAAAAAAAAAAAAATAGAAAATAGACCTCAATTTGTTGACTTAAGCTCAGTTTGCTATATTGAATCAAATTACCCTAGCCTTGTATTCAGATGTGATACAAAAGACACAAGTGGATAAGCAGGTGCTTGTCAGAGAAAGTTTGGTAATTCTCTACGGTTTTGCCTAACTACTCCATACAGGTGGTGGAAGCCTGGAAGGTAAGATGTATAGTTAAGTGTGAAATGATTAAGACGAAATTCTAAGACATTTACAATAAGTTTTTTTTGACATTTCTTTAGAGCATAATTATTCTACTGTAGGATCCACGATATTCTTTTATCTTTTTTTTTTTATCTTTTTTTATAAGGGATCTGCTATATTCTTAAAATTCTTTTGGTATAAGAATTATGGATATTTCAAAACGTAAGCCGTATCATTGTCGTATGTATACACCTATTGGATCCTTTGACATTAATGTTGTTAACCTACACCTTTTAATTTCAAAATTTTCTTTTAAATTTTGTTTCAACAAAAGTGAAATATCATAATAGCATAATAAATGCTAGTCTTCTGGTTTTCAACCTAAACCAGCTTGAAGTGAAGGGAAAACCTAATATACTTATTGTCAATTTTTACCCTAGTCATAACCTTGCCGATATCTCTTTTAAGATCACAACTAGGACTTAAAACTCTCAACACCAAGAAATATAAGTGTCAGTTGTACACTTTCCTGCAGAGACAAAGTATTATGGTGGGACCCACATTTAAATTAAAAAAAAAAAAGCTTAAATTTTGAAGTGAGAGTGGCAGGAGAACAATTTTTTTCCGTGAAATAAGAAGTTATAAACCCATAACATATATATAGGAAAAAAGTTTGATGCTCCAGACTCTATGTGGTCCTTCCATTAAGAAGGTGATACTTGAACAAAAAATTATTTTTTATTTCTCTTCTCTTTTCTCTCCTCATTAGTTATATGATTTTGATTGATGCAGATCACTAAGTTAACGGTGATCTGAAACCAGTGAACTTCTTTTCTATACATAGGGATTTATAAGTATATGTAACATGATATGAGATCTACCATGCGATAGAAACAAACCACATATGATCCATTGGTTTTTTGTTTTTGTTTTTTTAAAAAAAGCTACAGTTTCGATGTCTGCTGAAAAGTCACTTTTCTTCCTGTTACAGAAATCCCATATACATAAACAACCATTTTAACAAAACCATTTGGTTAAGAAATTTAAATGATAAGATATTGTACTCTTTCAGCGAGTATTTGTAACCCATCTAACCTCGTGAATGCATGCATCAACAATTGCCAAGTTTTACTTTGACGAGGAATTGACAGACTATCGAACAAGAAAAATGATTAATTGCCTCGGTTAGCACAGATCGACATAATATATTGTCCAAATCCTTTTCTGCGGACCAATTTTCATTAAGGCAGTTAAAAAATAAGTAAAAGATTTTCAATGTCCTTGCCAGAAGCAAAAAAAAAAAAGTTAACAGTAGTAAGAGTAGTAAGCAATAACTATAGCAGGCAGAAACGATATGAAGGTAAATTTTGAATACCTACATTTCCTTTTGTTTTTCCTTTATTTTACAACAAAACTATGACGCAACACAAAGAACACTCATTAATCATTAATACAAAAGATAGTTATGGAGACCTCCACGAAGAGTAGCCTGTACACCTGGTAGCTTTCCTAACCAATGCATTCATTTCATACCATTGAGCTGAGATCATTTCCCATGTTGCATTTCAATTTCTTCGATTCTCAAAAGATGAATTGTGCAATCATTTAAACTTCAGAAGGCTCTGCGGACAACGATGAGTCTGTGCCATAATTCCAAAGGCTCTTCAGCTCACCTCTTATCCATCCCAATATAATAGTGACACCTGTTGATTTGATTAGACAACAATTGGGCATGAGACAGCTTAACTAAATGACGAGAACCACTAAAATCTAATTTCAGCCCGAAACTAATTACCTAGTGTACATGGAACAAGGTAGAGGAGTGCAGGTTGTCCATTTCCATTCATCAGATATAGCCCCAAATATGTGAAAACGAGGCCTGAAACAGAAAAATACACTCTCTCATGATCTAAAAGAAAAAAAAAAAAAAATGAAAAAAAAAATCTAAAAGAATAATAGCACAAAAATCTAATTACAAGTTTAAATAACTGATAAATCAACACGGAACATCTATAATGCCATAAGCTAGTAGCATCAGAGTAACTAATTGGACTTTATCACATAGATTTTTTTGAAATGATAATTAAAAAAAAAACTGTAACCATGCTTAAGAATGTACAGCGACTTATGCACAGGCGCTTCATCAGTATATTCAAACCGTCACCTAAGCAAAAAGAAAGAGATGGTCATGAGTTGCTGCAGATGTTGGGTTAGCATCTCATTCTAATCTAAACTAGGTGTATATTTGGATAAGCTTATTTTCCTTGCAGGAAAGCTTATAATCAAAACGCTCTGGAGAGAACTTTAAGCTCAAAAGCCACTTACTCTGAATTACTTGGTACTACAATGTAGTCTCTAAGGGAAAGCGCCATAGCCACTTCAGACACGAAATTCTTAAGACCACCAAAAATAAAAAATCAAGACCAAATTCTACTTTCTTAAGCCAGAAACAGACCTCCCAACAAAAAGGAATATGTATACTTTACCCCAATGATTTAGTTAAAGCAGTATAAGAGCATCATTAAATTTGGGAGAGACCGAGGGTGGAGAATTTTCCTTTTTGAGAGGCTTATCTACATCTGTATCATCTTCCTAATCCCTACACAATTACCACATCTACCCTTTCTACCACACATAGGGTTCAAATATTCATGAGGGCAAGCTTTGGAGCATCGGTAAGGTTGTTCTTTGTGACTGAAAGGTCATAGGCTTGAGTCTAGGAAACAATCTTCTTGCAAAAATACAAGGGTAAAGCTGCGTATAATCGATCCTTACCCCTACCTTCACAAAATCAGATAGCCTTGTGCACCGGGATTTGCCCTTATAGGATTCAAATATTTCTTAAAACTTCAATTTCTCTTAAAATTAAGAAATTTGAACAATAGAACAGCATTTACTCAGCAAGCAACTTTTACAGCATCAGAAGCCAAAGAAAAGGGCTTCAATTTTTGGTGGGTCTAGGAACTTGAATTATAGAACAACTTTTACACCATTAGAAGCCAAAGAATGAGGACTTTAGTTTTGACCTAAATGGTATCATACAACTTTTAGAAAGCAATAAATGCCACCCACTGGAGGGAAGGGGTTTGACATAAACTGGAATTCCATTTATAGAATAATGGAGGCTAAAAATCAGAGATATAGCTCTGAGATATGCACCAGAAAATTGCTGAAAACAGAAAGAAAGAAATACAGTAAAAGAAAAACCAATTACTTTAGGTTCGTTGTGATTGAGAAAGTACATGCCTGTTATTTCAGTCCTGCTTCAATTTTTAAGCAGTGGGTTATTGCATATTCAATCATTAGACTATTAAAGTAAGGATATTGTTACCAAATCTAATCAATCAACGCTTAAATGAAGCCTAGAAATATTTGGCCTTAAATGTACATGAGGAAAAAAGAAGCAACACAATCTCAGCCAAGCAGTTCCTGTGAAGGGGGAAATTAACAAGTCATGAATACAAACGTGGAGCAAAAGAACTTACCAATGCCATAACCAATTACCAACCAAAGAAAATATCCATTTGATGCTCCCTTCTTATTATCTTTATCAAATCTAAGACAACCAAAAGACAGAATAAATGTTAAAAACAAAGCATCATGTCGAAAGTACATAAATAAAAGCTGCCTAAAGCAAATATTAAAAAGAAAATAATTCTCTAGTGACATCAAATCGGCTTATGCATGGAACACAATCCAAAAACAGAAGGCTTGAAAGATCATAAATTTTGATTGGGTTTTACTTCTGAGTATATGGTATGATATTCTGATTGGATGTTTGGTATGAGTTAGCAATATTAATCCCACAAAGCAGAAGCAAAAAAATCAAATTGCCCATTTAATATCATCAGCATTATGAAAAAAATTCTTTGAGGGGCCATATAACATGTAGAACCATTAATAATCCTTCACCTAATAACCTAAGCTTTTGAGAGAGTTGGTCCTTAAAATCATCGTCATTTATTTTATGCGGTGAAATAGGAAAATTCAGGCTATATAATTTATTGAATACATGCTCATTTATTTCACTAAATACCATAAATCCAGTAGAACACAAGAAAGAAGCTTTGTAAGTTAGACAATTCTAAACTTGAATCATCACTCTTTTTAGATTCTCATAGACAACAATATGCCATTTTTAAGCTTATAAAGCAAATAAATGTACATACATCTCAACCAATTACATTAAATCTCCATATGAAATTAGTTTTTCCCTTTCCTTTTTAGTCTTGAACATTAGGAAAATTTTAGAGGCTAATTTGTTTATGCTGCATACAAAGACTTATTTAGAAAATTTCAAACTTTATCCTCTATTCCAATTGTCTCCCAATAGTTATAGAAATCATACGATTCGATATAATTTGCTAATCCAACTATTCGTATCATGTGATGAATCAAAAATGGCTTTGAATCGTACAATACGCGATGAATCGGTTCGATCCCGTATCACTGATACGATTCAACGATTTGTTCATTTTTTTTTTTCTTTCATCAATTCTCATTAAAGAAATTGAAAAGTCAAATAAGTTTAAGTTGTTAAGTCAAAAGGAACTAAAGGAACGCCATTGAATGCACCTTATTAGATTATTCCATTCCTATGTTTGCATTCTTTTGAAATAGGGACTTCACACACTAACTCATTCTATGCATTCTTCTAAAACATAGGCTTCACACAGTCACTCGCTTACTCTACATGCACTTTATATGGCTATATCATTGCTCTGTTTTTGTTTTTTGAAACACAAGCTTCATGCAGTCACTTTATGGGATTAAGTAATGACTTATATTATGTACACACAAAAAAAGTTATGAATTACAATTTTGTTTTTTTGAGACTTATGGTTAAGTTATTTTGTCAAATTCTTATTCCTAATTTAAAATCATTACATTGTGCATTATACATTATTTATATGATATATTTCATTTTTAGTATGTCCTTGAATCTTACAATTCGATCCGACTTAAAATTCAGGATTCAAAACATAGCCTAGTGATTTTACGATTTGAATTGCGATTCAATAATGTTTCCCAACCATTTCCCCTTCCCTTTTTATATTGCATGCATGTTTGCATGCACAATAGAGACATGGCCAAAATGTTCACATTGTCATCTTTATTATAATTGTCATGGGACACGAGAAAAAAAAAAAGCAGGGCACTAGTAGAAGATAAATCTCATGAACATATTTTGTCAAAACTCAAATTAAGTATCTATTTCAAATGCCCACATAAGTCACTTATCCAAATAGTAGCTCTCCCAGTGGAATGCAATAAGGAAAAGAAAAAGTACAAACCTATGAAACTTTAAAATCCCTTCAACAAATATCACTACAAACATGCATTATTCTTTTCTTTCTTTTTTTGGAAGGAAAATTATACACTATTCATTCAAAGCTACATCAGCACACCTTCAATTTAGTAAATCTAGCAGTTATATATGATGTTGACTAAATAAGGAATTCAGTACCTATGAGCAAAGGAAATAAGCAAACCAGGAAAGAGAATATCTCCAAATCCAATCATGTCATAACCACCCCAAGGATCAAAAAGACGAGGAAATTTTAAAAGCATAGGAATTGCTTCCCCACCAGCCTTGTCACCTCGAGCAACCTAAAAATGAAAGCTAATATAAGAGTACCACAAAATATACCACAACTTTCTCTTCCTTTTTAATAAAACAAAAATCATATTAGAGAGAGAAAACCCAAGGCACCTTTGAATATATATATATATATATAGGGTCAGGATCATTTTATACCAGTGTAAGTTACACTCTCAATCTTGTCCGTTGATCCCACTTATATCTAAGGGCTCTAATTTTTTAGTAATGTGAGCCATTAAATACAAGTGATTCAATGATCAAGATTGAGTGTAAAACTTCTAACTCTTACACTGCCCCATATATATATATATATATATATATATATATATATATACGTGTTAAAAGAGTAGCTATCGTATTATTATTTACGGCACATATTTGTGTTACTCAACTCTCATACTGTAAACTTGTACTGCAAGGTGTACACGACCTCCTTTGGTTATAAATCATACTCAAGCATAAGATGCTTGATACTTAAGCATTCACCAGAATAACAGTTCTATCTAGATCCTCTCTCTCTACACTGTAACGGGGAGAAATGCCTAACCCTTTTCAGCTTCCCTTTGTGCATTCCTTCACAGACTAAATCTTTCCATATGTACCCATCCTTTTTGTGGTGATGCTTCATTTCCAGCCATTAGGTAAATCTTTTTCTCCTCCGAGTTGCAGCTGCTAGCCTGCTAGTACTAAATCTATCAGATCCCAATATCCATAGGAGTGCATGACCGTAGCACAAATATAAAAAGATGTCAATTGATACAACCCCAGAATTGCAGCCCCAACCAGTGCCCAATGCACCCTTATGCACCACCTGTTCACCACTACCCTCTGTCCATGCTCCCGCAAATAAGCATGCCAGCACCTTTGTCAAGGTTTCTTCCTCCGAACACTTCATGTTGGGGCAATAAATCTCCTCTAGCCTTGAATCTTGGGAACAAGCATCGGAACAGCGGTAAAAATCACGGATTCGAATATGGGAAACAACCTCTTTACAAAAAATATAAAGGTACAGCTGCATATAATCGACTCTCACCTCTACCTTTGCAAGTAGGGGAGCCTTGTGCACCAGGATTTGCCCTCTTTGCCCTTTCCTTAGTCACAGATCTTTTTTGTGCATGTTGCCACTGTTTTTGCCATTCTTACAGCATTATTTTTGGTTCCCGATGAGCTTCCTTCCGTACAATCAGTATGGAAACACACGAGACCTCCTCTAATGGCAATACCAAGATCAATATTTACTCATACGTGATCTGTTTTCCAAGTTATCACTACTGAGCGACTATCCAACCCCAATTACCTGTCTTGAGCAACAATTGTTCATCCCTCGTGTTTCTTTCCCCTTCGAATCACCCCCGCGTCACCTCCTCTCCAACCACCCACCGACCCCTACCTCCATTATCACCTTGCTTTGTTTCTATATCATGTCTTTCAGTTGTCGAATTGCTGTGTTGAGAGATTTTTGAGTTATTGTATTTGCTGCTATAGTGCTATTCATTATGCTATTCTTGGTATATCAATAAAAAAGAGATACCATGGGAAACAGTTGGCAATGGTGTCGGCAGAACAACACAAAAGACAGGATAAAATTGTTATCTAGCAGTTTTCTCTTGTTCTCTCTAGTTTTCTTCGCAGTGAATTTTTTCCTTCCTCTGGTTTCTCTCCTTAAGCAAACACGAGAAAAGTACAATATCCATTTTCTTTCCTTCCATTTCACCAAAACCAACAATGGCTTATTGATGATTAATCTCAGTGAAGTTGGCTTTTTGTAAAAATAAAATAAAAAATTGTTTTGTGTTGTTTTACATATTGCAGTCGAGTCAAGATTCATCCTCAATTCAACAATTTTATCCATATTTTACAGTGTTAATGTACACCTAGATTTCTGTTTCTTTTACTGCTTTTAAGTAATTGCATGCGTCCCACATTGATCCTAGTGCACTCACACCCCTCAACAAAATGGAATTGTGGAGTAGAAAACCATCTTCTGATTAAGACTAATCACACTTTAATCTTCCAAAACAATCTTTCTTCACGGTTTCAGATGTTGCCCTTACTGCGTATTACTTTGTTGCATGTGCTCTTACGATTTATTGCATCCAAAGTCTGAATTTTATTTTGTTTCCTATCCAGTTTCTTTATCTTCTTCACCCTCGTGTTATTATTATTTTATTTTATTTTGTCTCAGCTCTAGTGGATACACCTTATCTTGCCCTAATGTACTTACTTCCCCTCTCTTTGAGAATACTTATTTTCTATTAAGTTTGGGGACAATACTACTCATGCAAGTCCCAAAAAAAAATTTCTCATTAATACACCCTTCTTTTTATCTGTTGTTCTCTCTTCTAGTGAGGGGTGGCTATTTCTTTCCAACTCCTATATTTTAGATCTTCCGATATGAATAGTTGAAATGTGATAAAGGTGAGGACTGAGGAAAAATATAGACACACTAAACCCTATACCACATATAATACTTACATACACGTGGCCACTATAGCTTGTTTTTCATGGGCAGTAAGCAGCAGGATATGGAAATTCTCCTTCCAAAGAAGGTCCAGACACCACTAATTTTCCCAAAAGCACATTCTATTTTCTTTGCCCACATTGAAGCTGAAGACTGAAATGACATGCTCCAGAAATTCCTAACTGCTTTCTAAAGCTCTACCCCAAGAAGGACCATAACGCCAAACAGATAACATTTGAGTACAAATCAGTTTCGTAAATTTAACCTTTACTGAATCACTCCTTGATTCCAAGTTGTCAGTTATGTACATCTATATATTAATCAGTTAAATGTTAATTGTATTTTTCTGTTTAGATTTACTTTCTTGCTATGATTAAGAAGATACTGTGTCTTCTGACTTCATGTTTCTCCTTTCTCTTATCACTTTCCACAAAAGTTTCGTTTTTATCAAGTAAAAGAAAATAAGTACTTATATAACTCTATCGTTAAAGATGCAAGCTGCAACAGTCCAAGTAAAATAACTATACTAGTAAAAGTAAATACTTACTGCAATCATAACACTCTCATGGAATATCACTGGAGATATGAACACCCAAAAAATGTCGTATACAAAGGCACAACAAAGGAGTACAGTTGCAACCTGTTATATCAGATGCATAAGAAAAATAATAGAGCTGTTATAATAGATACAGAACAAAGTGAGGAAGGGAAGAATTATTAATTTGTTGTAGACATAAGGAAATCCATTCAGGTACCTTAATATTAGGTAATCGAGCCAACTGCAAGACTGTTATCATCAAACAGATGCCCTGTTAAGAACAAAGCAATATTTCAAGTGAATAGCACACAGTAAAAGATCAATCAGACAGCTTATCATCAGATAGTGGTATCAAACATAATTCAGATAACAAACCAGCTTCCTGTGCAATGCTTCAGAAAGCTCACCATGAAATTAACCAAGATCCAAATGTTGTGTTTGCCCGACAAGTGCAGATGCACACAGAGACATTATTTAATGATTTGCCAATAATTAACTTGAATAGGAATAAGGAAAATTACAAGAAAGGAAATATTGGCAAAAACATTTACAATTTATGAACTACGAACCACTCAGGTAGTTAACAAAGTTCAAAAGAATGGTTGATGAGTAGCCGCTTGTTAACTAAATTAACTACTTGAGAGATTCAGTATTCCTAAACTACAGAATTTGTTATACCAAGAATTCCTGCTTTTTGTAATTTCTCTACATACATACACGTATATGTACCAGTGCCTATATTTACACTCTTGTGCATATATATTTCATGTATATAAGTAAATTCAGTTAAATGTACGTGAAAGTGTAATAGGAAACAAGCACATATAAACACTAGGAGACATAATTTCAATGACAGTCAGTATTCATGGACAACTTTTAAGAAAGGAGACAGAATTTCACATGCTAAGCATCTTGAAATATATAAGTTTGAATTTAGAAACTGCAATGATAATAGAAAGATCCATCTTGCAGGTACTAGAATCTGAAACTTACAAGAATATCTTGGCCAACCCATGAATATGATTTCTGTCGAGTAGCAGCCCAGAAAATCGCAAATGCCACACAGAATAATAACACTACCAGCGAGAAAATAGAAATTTCCCCAAACAGAGGTAAATTCACTGTCTTCTGGCCACAATTACGGCATTTACTGCTCACATTTCAAAAAGGAAAAAAAAAAGGAAAGGGAAAGAGAAATTAACAGAACGTATGGCATGCAAAAAGAACATTGATTTTCCTTTTATGGCCAGAAAAGAGTGACAGTGGCTGTACCTTAAAGTGAGGCTTATAATACAATTGTGCATCCCCTGAAAATGAAGACAAACTTGAATTAATGCACAGAGGAATTTTAGAGCTTATGATTGTGTATGTTAATGATAATGTGGGCTGGTATTTGTGCTCTTAAAGCCTTTCTCAAACACTTTCACTCTCTTTCTCTCCTTTCTTACCTTCTACTTGTGTGTGAAACCCAACAAGGCTAATGTAGTCTCATTTGATTAGTACATGTCAAATGCTCAAATTCATATAAACTTTCAGCTTATATATAAGTAAATTTAATCATGGACGACGGGTAATTAATAATCTCTTCATGCACACCATGAAATATGATCTTTTGTCAATTAGCTAAAGTATAGAGTAAAGTCCATGGAGTTGAGCTACATTACCTCAATACCACCTATGCAGAAAAGTACAATCAGCACCCAGATAAACCAAGATGACATGAAGAAGAACAGTAGCACAAGAAAGGTAGATGCCGTTATGACAAATATGATAGCACCCTTTGAATCGATGTTCACAATTTCCTTATCAGAATCATCTTTAGCTGTTTCAGCGTTAGAAGATTCCTAACACAAGAAAAATATGTACAAATTAATACATTTGAAGTTGTGACAAAAGCAAACTTGAATAAATTTGCATCAATAAACAAAATGGAAGGAAGAAGACATGCTCCTTCACTCCATTGTAAAATGTGTGTTAGTTAATGAAATTATCAGTTGCTATAACAGAGGAAATCAAAGATAAAAAGAAATGTAGGTTAGTACATATGCAAGGTCAGTCTATGACTATACATTTCAGCATTGTTAAAATGTTAGGTGATTTTTGCTTGACAAAGGCATGTCCTCGCATCCAGAAAATTGCTAGCTTAAGGCATCACAAAAACACATTTAAGTACATATCATAAACTTTAAGGGTGATAAAAGGTTGTAAGGAAAGAACCTTGGGACACAATTCATTATAGCGTTCATCAGACTTCTCAGGAGCTGTTAGATCTGACCATAGTGAAGCACATATAATTGTTCCAACAGACATCAACCACAAAAATGCAACCGAGAAGTCTAGAAGTGTTTCTGGTGGAGCATATAACAAAATTTCCACTGCAATATACAACTCGAAATTAACCATCTGTGAAACATGTGGAAAATAAACCTGATGTCTAAGATAAATATGCATTATTTTATTGATAAAACTAATTATCAGAGGAAAATCATAATTCTTGTTTCATTGTACAAAGAAGTAAAATAAGGCAACACACTAAGCCTAATATTTCTGAATAATTACGATATGGCAAAGTTACACCATAATTAGGCCCAATCCTTCATCTATCCTTTAAGCTTATGTCTTTTTGGTATTTACTAGTTGATAGTTACTGCTAACTGGGTCAGTAAGTGAAATTGTGTCACTCTGATATCAGCTTTTGACATAATGACCACAATTCTGGCTCCACAAAAGGAAACCAAAATATGTCCCGGCCTGTGCATTTCACAAATAATATCAACATGAGCCTCATGTCAATGTAACTTAGACTACTTTCTCTTGTGCTAGTGTTGACCCTACTTTCTCTTGCGCTAGTGTTGTTTAGTCAAATCCGTTTGAAATTTCAACCCAGTAAAACCATGATGATTTGCTTATACAAAATACAAGAACTTCCTCCTCATTCTTCACTTCAATTTACAAGTGAACTTAAGACAACCAAATAGTATATCCAACACATAAAATAAACCTCTTCCCTGCTGCTACATAAAAATATAATCTCCCTCCTACACATCTTGTTTTATACTAAACAGCAACCAAGCCTTATCCCACTAGGTGACCCCAGCTTCAAGGTTCAATACACACCATTGGGCGAAATCAAAAACCCAAAGTTTCAATGAAACCTGTTAGAAAACATTAAGAGCAATGTCTTTTTCGATGGTTTCTCCAGTTTGTTTTCTTAGGTCTTCCTCTGCGGTTTTTATCATACTACCTTCCATTTGATTAACTTTTTTAATTGGAACCTCTAATGGTCTTCTTGTCATATGAACAAACCACTTAAGGTGAGTTTTCTTCATCTTTTATTCAATAGGTGCTACTCCAACTGGGTGGGGAATATACTCTTCAACGAGTACAAGAGAGGAGAATAAATTATACACATACACATACACATCTTTATAACAAAAACAAGCAACCAAGCCTTATCCAATTGGGTGGGGTCAGCTATATATTCTAAGCGACACCATTGAACTCATACACATCCTACTATTTGCACTATTTGCATCATAGAAGTATATCACAATGTATAATGATAATAATAGTGCAAATAGAAGGCCTGACCTCTCCTTCCAGATGCCAATAAATATCTTTCTCAAAGACAATAATAGTGCAAATAGAAATTCTAAGAATTGAAGGCCTGACCTCTCCTTCCGGATGCCAAAGATTTGTTGAGATCTTCTCCTTCTAACTTTGTTATCATCACAACAGGAATTGAAATGTTTGCCTCAGTGCTATTGGAGCATACCATCTCAAAGAGATCTGACAACAAATAAATTGTTAGATATAAGACAAAATACGATCATGTTAAACTTTAATGATAAAAACAGATAAAAGAATAGAGAGTAAGTCATTAATAGCAATGAAGACAATGTTTCAAGTAGTAAATTATAAAGCTAAAACATTTAATAAAAATGTTGGTATAAAGCAAGATGAGAGCAAGAAGGGCAAAAAGGACGGTCACTTTGTCTATGCCTATGTCAGTTGCCTTACTAATCAGATTTCATCTTTCCATTATGCATTCAACAATGTATTCAGATTTTGTCTGCTGTTTAATATACATGAATATGGTTCAATCTAAAAAAGTGCCAGTGCCAGTGCAAGTGTGCAACTCACTTCACACTGACTGTAAATGAGTGGGGAAGTCACGAGCCTAACATATGACACCTGTAGAGTCTTATGGACGGGACCCCTTACAAATTAAATAAAAAAGGGAACACAGTATGTAAAGCACTAAAATGAACCTTCTTCATCATTTATCACCAACATGCCAGTAGCGCCTCCAGACTCTGCAAATACAGCTTTAGTTGTGAAGTCACAACCCCCACGAACACAAAGAGCAACTGATCCAGATAACTACAAGATGGAAATGCATAACAAACTCAGCATGCTTCTTGAGAAAATGTAATATACTCCATTCGTATCAGATATTAACATACAATATCAATGAACTCCTTTATTATGTTAGAAGGTTTATCAAGTTTTCGAATTTGGTAGCCTCATTCAAGCTGAGCATTGATATCCTTAGGAAATGTCTACTCATTTAATCGGTGAAAAATACAGAACCTTAAAAGGAGTAAATGAAATAGAAAGGAACCTGTGACAATGAAGTGGAACAGCAATCTATAGGATTAGAAAAAACAGCAGGATATTTGACACTGTTTTCAGCCTTCTCTGGCAATAAAGAGCCAAATTTTGCAGTCACACCAGTATACGTACTGCCTTCCTCACCATCAACCCAGCTCTTCACCTTGACCTACAAACAGTAAATAAAATTGGAAACGGATGATGTATGTTGAAAGTTGAGAAGGGAATTCGTAATACACAAGATTGAAGATGAAACCTAAAATGTTGAGAAGAAGAAGAAAAGAAAAATAATAAACTCCAGATCCAACAAACAAAGCACGAATTAGTAGAATTGGAATTGATGGAAATACCAATTGGAAGGGATTATTGCAGGATTCGGACTTGGGAGCCCTCTCGTCGTCTTGTTGGACATCGTCGGCGCCTGCTGCAATCACAAACAATAACAACAACAACACACGGAGGCCGGGAGAAGAAAACGACGCCATTTTTGTGTTGACACTTGATGAACACTATTTGCTTTGTGTATTATTCTTCTCTTCTATCTCACGTCAACAATCAAAAATCAATAGAAACCGAACGAACTGGAATTCAATCACGCAATTTTCGCCAAATTACTTACTTACTGCTCTTCACTGCCTCACCCTTCAACTCAACTCAAGACCAACCTGCAACTTCAGTTACCATTTTTCAGTTTTCCCTTTTCATTATTCTATTTATACTAATATTATTATGAGGTGTGGCCCACGATTCACCAATCACCACCAACCATTGGATTCATCATAGACACCTATGATTCATTTTGGGGCTTATCAAATATGGCAAATCACACCCCACATAACATTTGCTGCTCTTTCCTCTACTTTCCTCCTCCACCATTTTAGTTTCTTCTTCTTCTTCTTTTCAATTTTAATCGATAAATCAAATCAAATAGAAATAGACACGGTGGAATAAAATTCTTCATTATTATTTGAAAATTTAACCATGGAGCAAAAAATTTTAATAACACTACTAAAGGGATGTATTGGATTAGAATTTAAAAAAAAAAAAATTAGATAAAAATTCTTATAGATTTTAAAAAATTATTTAGAATTGAAGGGACTTTTCTAAAAGACTTTTTTTACGATCAAGATTTCAAAAGATTAGATTTTAAAGGATTTTAATAGAATTTATAATATTTGAAAGAACAATATGGATTTATAATATTTTAAAAAATCATATGAATTTTTAACAAATATTCAAAATTACAAGAATCAATAAAAAATAACAAAGAAATGCAATGAAATTAATAAAAAAAGTAAAACCTAGTATAATTTTTTCAACCAGTCAAACATAATGTAATTTTTAACAAACATTCAAAATTACTAAACAACAGCTCTTCATATATTTAAAGTTATACTAGTCCTCCACGCATTAACATTTTCTCGTTCATGCTCTTAGGTTTGACAAATGGGTTAAAAATTATCTTCTTCATTTGGTATCAAAGCTATGCATATATGATTATAAGACCCAATTTTTTTAATTATTAAAATAATTCTAAATTTGCATATAGAACCTAAAGTCCATGATAAAATTTCAAACGAAATTTTTTGCAATTGATCTTGAAAACCTTGGGGTTTTTGTTCTACGTAATGAGAGTTTTCTATCCATATATCATATGCATATTTTCATTGAATATTCTAGGAAAATTTTGAATTTAAATTTATGGGTTTTATTACATGAAAGTTTATAAAATTTCTCAATTTTTTTTTCAATCGATATATTGAAACCTTAAATTGCTTTGGGGCTTCTGAAAAACAAATTTTTAGTTATCTTTTGACACAAAAATTGTTTGAAATCGTTTCTTATAGTGAAGGAATTTCGTCTATGAATGTATTGTTATGAATATAGGGTTCATATTGTGAAAGTTTTAATCTTTCTTTAAATTGATATTGTTTCCTTGATGTAAAACGAAAATTGGTTTGAGGGTTTAGTTCCCCTGTTATTTTTTTTTCACTATTTTATGTTTATTTAATACAAAAATCACACATTTTGTGCCAAAAAAAGAGTGACCCATAACTTGAAAAATTATTTTTTAAACTTCCAAAATTTCTCAAAAATATGCTGTTTTTTATATAGATTATATTAAAATATCGTTGATTTGTTGTTCCTGAGTTGTTTTGTGATGAAAATCGCTCAAAAATATATTATTTTTGAGTTTTGACGAAGCTCCATGACGGAACCTGAATTCGAGCATGTCAACCTGCCAAAAGAATAAGAAAACACGACAATCAAGAAATTTCAAGAAATCCTAGGATTTAAGGTGAGATTGTGAGAGAGACGTCATATTTATATTTCTTACTAAAAAGTCTCACAAAATTCACACCAATAAAAAATTCATTGAAATCGTTAGATTTTTGTATATCACAAGATTGTTTTCTATTGTTTAAAACCTTGATTGAATACCAACGAATCCTAATTGAATACCACATAATTTTTTTCAATCCATTAAAATCTTAATTGAATACCTATGGATTTTTTTATCAAAAAATAATCCATTAAAATCTTTTAAAATCTCAATCCAATACACCCCTAAGTATATTTATTCTATAGGTTATATTCATTCTTCAGTATTATATTATTCTTTAGATTATATTATTTTTCTGCGACAACTAAACTCAATATTTTAATATATTTTTTAAATTTCTCTCTCTTATAATGTGTTTAGTTGTTGCAAGATAGAGGAATCTAAAAAAATAATAAAATATTGTATTTAGTTATTGCAGTTTCTTTCAGTAATACGAGAATAATAAACTCCTTATATTATACAAAGCTTATTGCATAATGGTTATATCAAGTATAACAAATTAACAATCCATGGTTTGTATATGCAAGACGCGATTAATTACGTACATATATGCAATATTAATCACTTATTTTTTGTCATTAAAACTTAACAAAATTGGAAATTTATAGCAAATATCAACCTATTTGATAATTACCAAATATGAAGAGAAAAGAAAAGAAAAAAAAAATGTGAGATAAATTTTTTGTATATAAAAGAAATAAATTTTATTAATCCTCAAAATGAATTCCTAAACGAGTACAAGTTAGATATTGTGATTTAATTCTGTCATAGACATATCAAATGATTGTGTAGGGTTTAAATTTAAACGAAAAAAGTAATATCAATAGATTTATTATTACTTTTGCGGTGAAATAAAAAAAGTGGCAAAATGGGTAATGAATGCATCAAGTAGCACTAGAGTAGAGGTAGAGGCGCAGTGTGTCTATGCCATTGCCAGGTTGTGCTATCTAATATCTACCTATCTAATCTATAATCACAGCGAAGCTAAGCTGCAAGGCCAGTGTCTCTGTTTTTGAGATTGTTAGGAATTGGAATTGGAATTGGAATCTGAGCATAACAATGTCTGATTCGGAGGATGAGGGAGAAGAGTACCTGTTCAAGGTGGTCATAATCGGGGACTCAGCTGTGGGGAAATCGAACTTGCTGTCTCGCTACGCCCGCAACGAATTCAACTTGCACTCGAAGGCCACCATCGGAGTGGAGTTCCAGACGCAGAGCTTGGAAATCGATTCAAAGGAAGTGAAGGCTCAGATTTGGGATACCGCGGGCCAAGAACGCTTCCGTGCGGTGACCTCTGCCTACTACAGAGGCGCTGTCGGTGCTCTTATTGTCTACGACATTAGCCGCAGGACTACTTTCGACAGCGTCGGTCGCTGGCTCGACGAGCTTAAAAGTAACTCAACAAACTATTCTATATCTATATATCTATATCTAGATCTGATCTCTCTCTCTCTCTCTCATTATGATTATGCTTATGCATTCCTGCATTACTTCAATTGACTTTGTTGAGACTCACATGATCTAATAGGACATGTAGATTAGCTTCGGATCTGTGACCTTTATTTCTTTAACATTGTTTGATTGAAATTAAATTAGTTTCTTTCTTTGAGCATGTTTTGTTTGGCTCATGATCCTGATTCTTCTTTTTCCTTTCTTTCAGTTCATCTGTTTAGTATATATACCTAAGTGTGTTTGTGTTTGTGCTTAGTGCTTGCTTTACTACATACATGCATGTGCCTATTGATTTACAAGGCTGCCTTGTATGCTTACTCTTTCTGTTATCATCTTCACAGATGTTCTAGGACCAATATTAAGTGTGCCTGACAGTTTCATCCATCTTGCCTGCTGATTACACTCTTCTTCTTTTTTCAACTTGTATTGTTGTCTGATTGTGTGCTTGTTTATAAATACCTCCTCACAGTCTGCATTCAAGGATCGAAAGAATGGGGGAAAGAAATAAAACTAAAACTATTAGAGAGAGGAAAGTTATCATATCTTAATTAAGTAACTAGTTATTGATCATAGAGGAGGAGGATTCAACTCCATGTAATTATGAAACTTCACTAAACTCTGCTTTTCCTTATGTAAATTAAAACTTTAATCAACATCAAGTGTTTTGTCTTAAAATTTTTGGAAACTATATAATGCAGCTCATTGTGATACAACTGTTGCAACGATGCTTGTGGGCAACAAATGTGATTTGGACAATATCAGAGCGGTGAGCATAGAGGAAGGCAAAAGCCTTGCAGAAGCAGAAGGTCTGTTTTTCATGGAAACCTCAGCCTTGGACTCCACAAACGTTAATACGGCTTTTGAGATGGTTATTCGAGAGATATACAGCAACGTCAGCAGGAAGGTCCTCAACTCAGACACCTACAAGGCAGAATTATCTGTCGATAGGGTGAGCCTTGTTAATAATGGGTCCGCTGCATCAAAGCAAACCCAAGGCTATTTTTCTTGCTGTTCAATATGACCACAGTTCTCATTTCCAGCTAGCTTTGTATGTTGAATTTGGTTTTCGTTGGCTGATTATTAAATGGGCTGGCTTATTCCTTGGTGGATATGATTTGAAAAGTTCTTCTATTATAGACATATAGTAACAAAAACGTTGTCTTCAATTTTAAGAAAAAAAGGGTTTAATTGTATAATGGGGGGTACAAAGCTTGTAATTGCAGCAGATGAAGTGGTTTATGTCTTGTTTGGTGAAAATGTTTAATGATTTCTCGAATGTTTGATTGTCGAATTCCTTGTCTTTTTTTACTTTTTGGGTTATCTTGTTCTCCTTTCCACTAGTTTCGTTCACGGGAATCGTTCTATGGTTTTCTTGTAGATTTGGGTCAGGAATTGTTCTCCCTCTTTGCTGAATATTGTTTGTTGTTCTCTCAGCTAATCGGGATGAAATACGACTGTGTTTATCGTTTGACTGTTGTTTACCTACGTAGAATACAAGCCCTTGGCTTTTTAGCTATTTTGCCTTGTAAATAGCAATAAAAGTAGGAAAAAACTAGTAATATGTAACATGATATAAAGTTTTTTACCCACTCACCCATTGGTTTCCGCACCAGCATTTTTTACTTTTTGTTTTTATTATGGGTTTTATAAGAGTTATGTTGTAGGAAAAGTGATTGTGTAATGTTATAGAGATTCATTTTGCGTGCCTTAATTTTTTATTTATTTATTTTTTTAAAAAGTGTGGGCCCCACAAAATGTTGTGAGTGTAGGAAAGTTTGTTGTGTTATGTTAAAGGATAAAACAAAAATTCTTTTATTATATGTGTGGGACCCACATATATTTTTGTTTGAGTAGGAAAATCTATATATATTATGTAACATCACATTAGCTTTACCCATAAAAGTAATATGTAATTTTAGCCTTTTAACCTTTTAATGGAGATGTGCCTTAAACTTAATGGCATGAAGTCTCTGCAATATTACATTGAATGCTGGCTTGTGGAGTGCATGTCTTGGGTTGTCACCAGAAGTTGCCTTTAGATCACGAGTTCTTTTGATTTGATGGATATATGTGTCAGGCAACGAGTTCCATCCGATTTCACAAAAGACGCCTATGAAATGGTGCATGAGTGAACCACACGTTTAAAAGCTTTTGGCCGGCAGCTTTTTAATTTAAGAGTAAATACTTTTTTGCTCGTAAGCAAATTTTATGAGGCCTGTTTTAGTCTCTAGTAAATAAAAAGTTCATTGTGATTTATAATAAATTTAAAATGGATTTATTTAGTTAAAATTGTGATTTTTCACAAATTTAAAAAAGACTCATATTAGCCCTTAAAAGTACTAAAATGTCATTTTGAATTTTTTAAGGATCACGATGGACCTTTTTATTTACTAGGACTAAAGTGGGCATCGTAAAATTTGTTAAGAATCAAAAAAGGTATTTACTCTTAATTTAATTGATCAAGTTTTTATGCATGATCTATTCATAATTATCTGATAAACTTAGATAGACATATCAATAATTTTTTCAGCTGGTGTTTAGATACTTGATTTGAGAGTCGACTATTTAGCCAATTTAGTTAACTGATGTTTATTATTATTATTTAAATAAATATACATTTAGATATCTACGTTTAAGAGTGTCATTTATTTAACGGATTGTGCCCGTATTGATTAATTTGAATTTACTATTAGGAATACCACTTTGTAATTAAAGTTTAAAATACTATTTTGTTTACGAATGTCCAATTAAGGGTTCCGCTCTCCCACTACTTGTAGGGTAATGAAGCCTTAAAAGGTAGTAAGTGGCCTAAACTGATTATTATCACTTAGCAGAATAAAATTAATTAAATGCTTGTAAACGGTTCTAATCAAATGTTGATATGAATTTTGAATTTACTATTCATGAGAAAGAACTCTACATCAACGATTGTTTTAGGTAGTCAAGAACTTTAGAAAAGAAGAAGAAATTATAGCAATTTGATTTAATTATGTCAAAAGGCCATAAATTATACCGACTTCATTTTGTTTTTTTGTCATAAGTATGCAATTCTTCCATTTTTATGGGTTCACAATTCCAATATATAATAACAGGCTATATTTATTATATATGAAGATTAAAGTCAGAAAAAACCATTAATTATGAGTAATAGTCTCACAATTTATGCAACATATTTAGTATAATAATCACAGATTTAAAATATTTAAATGTCTAATTTGCTTTCTTTGCATTAATTATTTTATTTTTTTATCATTTGTGCCAACGTATTTTTTTTTTAGTTGCTAAGGCGGGGTAGGGACCTAACGCCTAAACTACAGCTTCCACAACGAAAAAAAGAAAAACCAAATAAATCATCTAACAAAAATATATGCTGTTTATTCTGGTTATCGTTTTAATGAAATACTATGAAATACTATGTTGTTTTAGATTTTCTTAAGTTCTCCCTTTCCTCCTGTTATTTCACTGTGATTAGAATTTTGCAGTTTGTCTAATTAATTTGTATAATTAATTCATCTCCTCAGCAATTGTTGCAGACTTGCAGCTGTTAATTTCTTACTTTTCTCTCTGATTTTCTTTAACTCATAGATATGTTATTATTGTATACAAACCTTCTTAAGTGGCAGCGTATGATAGGAATTCAATAGATTAAATGAAAAAATAGATTGAACCTAATTCTCTAATTAACAATCAGATTGTAATATAATAAAACTATAGTCTCCTTAAAAAAAGCATAAAAAAAAAAATCTAGTCTTCTTACTCAAAACAATTATCTTATTTAATATTTGTAGAATCGAAGTGTAAATACTAACTAACAAATTAACAATCAAACTAATTATAATTTCTATTTTAGTGTATCGGAATGTTAATAGTCATTTGATTCTTTCACGTAATAATAACTATTAAGTATCTCGTGCATTACACTCGTATTTTAAATCTAAATTATAAATTATAAAAAAAATGTAAAAAATATTTAAAATGATAAAAATACATATATAATTTTTTTGTTGGGATGAAGAGCTATATATGCCCAAGCCAAAAATGATAATTAATTCAAGTATAATTATGAAAATATAAATTAAAATTACAATGAATACATGGATAATTAATTCGTTTGCCATTTTTATACACGATAATAATAAAAAAAAAAGTTATCACGAAACATTATCGTCAAAAGCTGTGGCTTCGTCACTGTGCCACAGTTGGGATCAACTCTAGAGCAGTTTAATAAGAAAATACAAAAATTCTGAGATAGTGGAGGAAGTACCTTAGCTAGCACCCAATTACACAATTGTGAACCTGCCAACCCATCCCTATCATAATTTCCAATCCACACAACACGCAAACATAATACTATATTTTTTTTCAAAAAAAATTATAAATTAAGTAATAAGGTAAATCATAACAACCATTATAAATTAAATAACTTTTATTGCATGATTTATAAGTTTTATTAATCAATATGTAACATTGGACATTTTATTTTTTCCATTTTAAAAAAATACTGTATCTCTTAGATGGACTTCAAAACTTTTCCATGCCAATAAAATCTCAAAGCAAACCAACCTTAAAGAAATTTATTTATTTTTTACAAGTAATTATGAAAATTTTAGGTCGCGGTTATGAATAAGTGATTCGGTTCGGAACTAGTTCGGGTCGACCCTCTTTTTGAATATTACAGGAATCGAACTTGTAACTTAATACACACTACACACACCCAACACCACTAGGCTAATCCTAGTGGTGCAGGTCGACCCTCTTTTGAAAAGAAAAAAATTAAATTTTTTTTATAAAAATCAATTTGATTCGATTTGAAAACGGTTCGATTCGGTTCAAAATGATTCGGTTCTTAAACTGATTCTAAAAACCGGTTCGGTTCATGAATTGATTCTTTAAAAACTGATTCGGTTCATGAACTGATTTTTAAAAACCGATTATTTTAAAGTTCAGTTCGGTTCGGTTCATGATTCAGTTTAGTTTTTTTTAGTTTTTTTTAGTTATTTTACACATTCTTACTTCTTTCCATCTTAATTTTCTAACTAACATCATTCCACCAACACCAAAAGATTTGAAGAAAGTAAGAAATCTATTGAAAATGAACCGAGGGGAGAAAGTGAATAAGTGACAGCAAAAAAAAGACACGATAAGCTGACCCATGATGACTTCAGCAACAACCTATAGTTGGCCCGGCAACAATTTAGAACTTCTAGAAGCTTTTGGTACATTGAAATAGAATAATAGAATAAGAAATATCTCTTTTCAGTTCCTACTACTTTGATAGCTTTGCTTTGACATTGAAAGCACCCTTTTTTTTTTTTTTTTTTTTTTTTTTTGCATTTCACTATCAGATACAGAAAAGAAACTATTGAGACCTCCAATATTTCTTCATCTCAAAGCCATTCTTGCCATATTGATAGTCTTCAATAGTTTTCTCAATTTCAGACTGTGTATTCATCACAAAAGGCCCATACTGAGCCACTGGTTCGTTAATTGGCTGTCCTCCAATCAGCACAAACCTCAAAGGGTTCGAAGAGTTATTCCACACACTGAGGCCATCACCTTGACCCAAAACCAGGACATGGTGTGCTATATTTGGTGACGAGCTCGGAGACCCAAACACTCCTTCCCCTTCAATTACATAAACAAAGGAATTCCATGACTCTTGAATACTCTGATGCAACACAGCTCCTGGCATCATTGAGAAATCAAGGAACATGGATGGAGTTCGTGTGTACACAGGAGAACGCACTCCCATTGCTTCTCCTGCTATCACTCTCACTTCAACCCCATCTTTTTCTGCTCCCGGTATGTTCTCACTGGGAAGTTCTTGATAATTAGGTTCAATCCTGATTCAAAAGTCCAACAAATTAAAAAATAAAATATAATGTCAAATAGTCATCAAATCAAACATGGCAATTAGATTAGAAAATCTTTGGTTAATGGGATAAGATATATATATATTACATTTTGTCATTGGATGATAAATTGATCCAAAGCTGCAATCCCTTGTTGCTTGCTTCTGCTGGCATTTCAGAGTGAATTATTCCTCTGCCTGCGGTCATCCACTGCACATGATGATGTAACAGTAGTCCAATTAAGCAAATATAATTTTTGTATCACTTATTATTATCATTAAAATTAATGTTCATACCTGAACATCCCCAGTTCTTATTGTACCCTTGTGTCCAGCAAAATCTTGGTGAGTTATGCCTCCCTGAAATCCCAAAATAAAAAAAGGTAAATTAAATGTTTTAGCCAATTTGGCAATTACAATCAAATGTGTTCAAGATTAAATAAAGGTAACTAACTAAGTATACCTCTAGCATGTAGGTCACGGTCTCAAAACCTGCAAAAGAGATGCAAATCAATAAATATATAAGGAAACAAAAATAATAACGAAAGAGAGAAGGAGGACAATGAAAAAACCTCTGTGTGGATGATCAGGAAATCCTCCAGGAGGAGATACTGCAAAGTCAAACACGCAACCTCGTCTTAAAATACTATATATATTTATTTAAGTGTTGTGTAACAACAAAACGGGGTCAACAACCAATAATAAGGTGTACCTGAGAAGTGATCCAGCATTAGAAAGGGATCCAAGTTCTTCAACTCGCTTCTGAGAATCACATATCAAATCAATCCATAAAATATAAAAAGAGGAGTTTGGATGCAAAATAGAAAAATACCTTCCAATGCCTCTCCTGACAACTGCTCCATCCCCTTCGTGCTGAGATCTGGCCAAAACCTTCTTGACAACCAATCTGGGTGTGTTGAAAGCAGGGGAAATATCTGATTCTGACATGATATTTCTCAGAGACGAAAGAGATCGTGGGGTATTACTATTACTATTACTATTACTATTAGTGAACCTCCAATTGAGCAGTGAAAGGTGCTTCTTTATAGCTCTCATATATTATTCCTGTGTTTATGTGAACACTGGTGTTAGACATACATGTACTTATATAGGTATCATTATTCGTTGAGAAATAACTAAGAATGCGGAAAGGGAAGATGGCTTAGTTGGAAGTTGGATTGGAGGCGTGGGGAAATATGGGATGGGCCCCACCCCTTCTCCATTCAACATGACATCAACCTCTTGTCATCATGATGAGTGCCACCAATCTCATCACGTGTGTCCTTTTTTGTAATTTCTCATACCCCTTTTGGGAGTTCACAATATTACAAGGGAATGGGTTATTTTATTTATGCTAGGAATAAGTTATTTTACCCACTATTTTTTTTTGTCTATTTTTATTTATCACTTTAAAGTATCATTATATCAGAATCTTAATATATTTTTTTTATTTTTTTTTGAGATTCTGATCTAACAGTATTAAAAAATAATAAATAAAGATAAATAGAAAAAATAATAAGTAGAATAATCTATCTATTTGTTAGAATATATTACGAGTGCAGGCTGCGGAGTTCATATATATAATTTTTAGTTTAGCATAAAATAAAATAAAAAACAAATTGTAAGGGTTGGTACCATTGTAGAAAGTAGGAACGAATCAATCTTGCCAACTGCATGTTTGGTATTCATTTGATAATCATCATTAATCACGGATTCTTCGGAGTTAACAATTCTATAGTATACATATTTGGTTGTTTCAAGATTCGTATTCACTACAAATGCGCTGGACATGAGCCAAAAACCACTAACGATATTAGTCGATTACATAGTCAGAGGAGAAGCCAATATTACAATAACCTAACAACAGACTCTAAATCCATAAAACGTCACCAAAAATTAGGGAACAATGTGCAGCTTCAGTACTATAGAGTCAATATGTTTCACTGTGAGAAGAAGACCGATCAAAATAAAACTCGTAATTCCGGATTTGAACTCAATTCGCTAATGTATGATAAACCAAAATGGTTAGAAATGTGGTCATAGCTTGGTAAATTCGACATGGTTCTAGACTTTTAAATGAATTTGGTTTCAATCAATTAGGATGGGAAATGACAAAGTTATTAATATTTTAAGGAACTTAGGGTTGCTAAATTACCCATAATCTCATTTGGCCTTAATGTCTTTTACTTTCTTCATCAGAAGCATTGCTCATGCCTCTCGGCATCATATGGTTATTACACGCTGCTTGTGAAACAGCGTGGCGTATCGCATGAAAATGTCTCATCTTCGTATACACAGCACACGTGGAGGTTTTGGAGATCAACTGCTCCCAAACACCATTTTCACTATTTCCAATGCTTCATGGTCACATCACACTAAGGTAATTTATGGTGGTTCTTAACATTGAACAATTTCTTGTTGAACATAAAGCCTAAAAACCGAGACAACGATGCTTTTGCCATTTGTTTTGGTCAAATATTTATCGGATTGTCATGTTAAATTTTATTTATCAAAATGTCACATCACCAATATACAATGAGATTACGAGGCACCATGTCAACAAGTTTAATGTCACGTAATCTTCCTATACTGTGTAGCGAGATTACGTGACAGAGCCTAATTCGCTGCATTATGCAGCATTTTATGTGGTGCTAGTAACAATTTGACATGTGGATTGAGAGGATCAATAAAAAAATTAATATTTATCTAATATTAAATTGTCTTTATCATTTTTCCGTGTATACTCCACTCCATTGTCTTTATTGTGCAGTATAATTTTCAAAAAGAAAACAATAAATAAATCAACATTTATTAGATATTAAATCGTCTTTATCGTTTTCTTATGAATACACCATCTAGACACTCTTTCGTCTTTATTGTGTATTATATTTTCCAAAATAAATAAATAATAAATCAGCATTTATTGGATATTAAATTATTTTTATCGTTAGCTTACCAATTTTTTTTTTGTTTTTATCGTTTTTTCATGAGCATTTCATCGTCTTTGTTACGTATTATTTTTTTTTAAAGAAAACAAAAAAAATCAGCATTTATTGGACATTAATTCGTCTTTATCATTTTCTCATGGACACTCCATCTTCTTTATTGTGTATTATATTTTCCAAAAAAAAAAAACAAATAAGCATTTATTGGACATTAATTCATCTTTATCGTTTTCCCATGGATACTCCATTGTCTTAATTGTATATTATATTTTTCAAATAGGAAAAAAAAAATCAACATTTATTCGTCCTCTTAATCCACGTGTCAAATTGTTATCGACGACACATAAAACGCTTCACAATGTAGCGAATTAGGCCCTGCCACGTAATCTCGCTAAACAGTGCAGCGAGATTACGTGGCTTAAACTTGCTGACATGGTTCTATGTAATCTCGTTGCATAGTGTAGCAAGTTTGATGACATGACATTTTGACAAAAATAAATTCTAATATAGCAATCTGGTAAATTTGTGCCAAAAAGGTGATAAAATGGTCGTTGTCCCCCTAAAATCCCATGGGAGGTCAGTCATATTTCAAATCTCTCGACCTGGCAAATTCATTTCAATGAGTGTCCAAAGTTAAAAATATATGAGTGTGAATCTTAAATTTCATGGATAAATATTTAGTACATATTTAAACGGGCACCAAAATTTTTTATCATCTTTACAACCAACCTAATCACCATTGATTTTCATTAATCTAACGGTTATAATTTATTGAATTTATTGAGAATTAATAATTAATTAATAAATATTGCGATCCAATAATTTTCAATATATTACAACCTTTAGATTGACGGAAATCAACAGTGATTAGGTTAGTTGTAAAAGTGATAAACTTTTTTGGTGGTAAGTATATCCTTCCCCTATATTTAAATCAATTTATCTTGCTTTAAGAAAATTTTGTAGTGAAAATATTTCAATGATAATATTTAGTTAAAAATGTTGAATATAATTTTCATAAAATGTAAGAGAAAACCTCGTATTTACAATTTGATTATTATTTTATTTTATTTAGTTATTGAAATAGTTACATGTACTTTTTAATTTTGTATGCATAATTTAAATGAAAAGATATCATAAAATTCATTAATTTTTTAAGACATTTTTTTTATAATTATTATTCTTTTTAATTCTACAAAAGATTTTTCTATTTAAATTTCTTAAAGATATTATATACTAACCAAAATCTTTATGCACTATTTTATGTTATATTTAAAAAATCGTTAATGCGTCTCGTGTTAATATTACTAATATAAACAAAATAGTCATTAATGAAAGATATATAAATTAAATCAATTATAATATTATTGAAGTACTCTTTTTTTAAGAAAGGACCCACAATAGAGGTAAGAGTAAGACATAAAAAGCTCACAAGAAGACCATGGGGAGGCGTAAAAATGCCATAAAAAATGGGATATTGTAGGATTTGAAATCATATGCTTTCATTGCATTTCTCACAACTCTCTTAATAAAATTGTCTTGTCACTAAAAATTGAAAAATGAAAAAGGGATGAAAAGTAAAATATATATATATATATATAAAAGTCAAAAATTAGAAAAAGAAATTTATATTAAAGAAATTTAAAGTTCAAAAATTTATTATGTAACAAGAATAATGAAAATAATTTTATAATAAATGCACAAAGAATTTCCCCATTTTTCATTTACTTACAATCCTTAGCCACACTCATATTTGTACATTCTTCTCTCCCCATAGTGCCTCGTACGGACGGGACGACGAAGGAAAACTCTATAGTTGCTTCTCTCTGGATCAAACGAGAATAACTATTATTAGGCATGTGAAGCCCCATGCCAACTGAACGTTGGGTCAATCCAACTAAATCTGGCTGGCCCAACAGTTGAACCTAAGCGAAAGATGAAGGATTAAGAGTAACCTCTCTTGCTTCTAATGCAAGTCGATAACTTCTTTTCCCCCTAATGATGCCTTGGACCCACCTGAGGGGACTCATCACATCTCATCTTAAATGTGCTTCAATAGATATTAATAAATTTAAAAAATATCCCAAATAACTTTGATTTGATCAAATATATTTACATTTACAGTTAAGAACATTTTATCACAAAAATAAGGGGTATGTTTTTCTCTTACAATAGGAGAAAAATAACTCTTACAACCAACACAATAAAAAGTCATGCCACCTTTTTTCTTTTCTTTTCAATTAAGTGAATTCCACGGGATTTTGAATTAGCAGGAGAGGTGTTAGTTTCTCCAAGGAGAAATATCTTTAAAAAAAATAATTACATGATAATGTCTTTGAAAACACGCAATCTTCTTTGTCCTACAATTCCCTACTATTATTCTTTTATTTTTACTACACCTCTTAGTTTACCACTTCTTATGACTCCACCAATTTTCTAATGTAAGAATTTGTTTTACAAACAATTTCCCTCTTTGCATTCTTTTACGACTTTCATAATTTCGTATTAAAAATAATTCCTCCTCATATCTTGTAAATTTTCATATTTTTATTTTTATTATGTATTTTTTATATATATTATTTATTTTGAATCGATCACATAATCTCAATTCATTGGGCCAGTTTTTATGGCTCATTTAAGGGTTTAGATCATTACATCCTTAAAATGAGACAAATATTATCTCACCATACCGAATCTTACTCTCAAAGCACACACACCTCATGAACTAAGTGAGAATGTTTGTCTCACCACTAGTGGGCCTACAAGAATAGAATGGTTATGACTCTTATTATTAAGGAATTTTCTCCACTTATAAATACTTTTCATTGCTGGTACACCTTTTGCACAATCATTCTCATTGTTGTTACTGTGTCTTAATATAGTCACAAAGTTATCGTGCTTATCACATTCTCCTTGATTCTCAACCTTCACCCGAGACCTAATTGGGGTGACGCTCCTGTGGAGCTTAAATCTATACATCTGACTCACTATATCATTATTATATTGACATACTACATCCATTGAGGAAATCATATCAATTTCTACCAACTTATAAATAAAATAAAGAAATTATGACAGTCTATTATTTTAATATAAACTTTAAATATTTAAATATCACCCTACTTTTGTTTTAGAAATATTTCATTCGTTTATCTAGGCCGGTGGCAAATGGTGATGGTGATGGCGATAATTAGTTATAGCGTTGAATCTCATGTTCTCATGGAAGCATGAAGGAGATATCTTAATTATTAACTGTTTAGTATTAAACATTCATAACCTAATTAGTATATCGTAACATAATTAAATGAATACGAATATAAAAATAAATCAAATATAGAATATCCTATATTTATTAATTATTTGATATAAGATAACAATTTGAAGATAAGGATTAATAGTTAATAGGATAGATTATGTTTCGAAAGAAAACAAGAGAGCTCTATCCAAAAAAGAAAACAAGAGAGGTTATTTTTGGGACAATAATTTCCCATTTTTTCCTTTTAAATTTTAACCACTCTGTTATGATAGCGTATCACGCAACGAGTATGATCAAATGAGCCACTATTGGCTTGGCAAACAATTGATAAGAGCAAAGTATGATAATCAATTTTATCCACCAAATGAGTCCTGAAAATTTATAATGTGACAAAACTATTATTCATTGTACGCGAGAATACGGTGTTAAATGATTTGAGTTCATTTTTCCTTCAGGGAAACTCATGAAAAAACAAAACAAAATAAAGTGAGTAATATAGCGGGCAACAGTGTGAGTCGCTATTGGTAGGCCTAGGGTTCGTTGTCTTTATTTCTCTTCACACGCGGAAATTGATCCTCTTATGTTACAACTGAAGAGAACAAAACAATTCCCCAAACAGAAAAAAGAGAACAAAACAAAATCTTTCTGTTCCATTCCATCCTATTTTATTTTGTTTGCACAAAAAACGCTATTATAATAGCTACCAAAAAAAAAAAAAAAAATCAATTATAGCCATGTTATGTATAATTATGAGTAGAGGTTTGACTTGTTCCGAAACTAACCTAATATTTTGGTCATCAATTTTTGTTTAATTTGCAACAACACATGATGTAATGCAAACTCGTTATAAAGATGCATTAAATTTATTTATGATATCCTATCGATTGCTTTGAAGTTTGAACTGAACCGCGTTATTGTTCTATGGCAAGGCTATGGCGTTAGTTGTAAATTGAAAACGAAACCCGTGACCGTTTTCAAAAGTAAAACAAAGTGAGCTTTCCACGTTACTTGATTTTGGGCCATAAATTTCTTTTTTTGGTAAACAGAGCCATAAATTAATTTGGCTTAGTTAACGTATACCGAATGATAACTATTATGAAGTTTGTTTGATTTGAAATTTGAAAACTTAACGGTGATCATTTTGTCGCTTTTGAACAAAAAAATTATCAGACCACTGCGTCACAGTAAATTTCTCAAAATTTGACATGTGGCATTTTTGGTTCTGACGTGGCATATTTCGCTACACTGTGTAGCGAATTACTTGCATGCATAATTCGCTACACTGTGTAGCAAATTATGCCCCGTGGCATTTTGACAAAATTTAATGTTGGCGTGGCATTCTGATAAAATTAAAACAGGAAATTTGTCCAAACGTGACATTTTGGTCACTGTCGCAAACTTTCTTTTCTTAACATACTTTATTTTCAGGAAAAAGTATTTTTCGGAAATAAAATTATGGGTTTTTTTTTTTCTGATGTTACTTTAGATAACTTTATCTAATGTTCATCAAAACGACGTCGTTTTGGGACGGAAATTATGGTAATTTTATAATTTTAATTTATTTCAGGGTTATAATAGTCTTTATCACTCTAATTTTTTTAATTTTTCAACCCAAAACGACGTCGTTTCGATGAACATTAGATAAAGTTATCTAAAGTAACATCGGAAACTTTTTTCCCTAAAATTATTTAGTGAATTCAAAGCAACTTCGTTTTGAGTTATAAGATTAAAAAATATAATAATAAAGACTAAAATAATCTTACAATATATTATAATTATAAAAATACCTTAATTTTCGTTCTAAAATGACATCATTTTAAGCTCATTGAAGATAACTTATCTCCATTAACGAGAAAAATATACTTTACCCTTATTTTAAAGAATTTATTATTTTTCGTGGTATACGAGATAACTTATAGAGTAAATATCTTTTGGGTCTCTAACAAAAAATACGGTACCCATTTTAGTCCCTTACAAAAAAAAAATTAGTCTCGAGATCCCTGACAAATTCAAAGTGGACCCATTTTAGTCCTTTTGAGGGACTAATATGGGTCTTTTTTGAATTTGTGAGGGACCACAATTTCAACTAAATGGTTCCATTTTGAATTTGTCAAGGACCTCGAGACTACTTTTTTTTTGTAAGGGACTAAAATAGGTACCGTGTTTTTTGTTAGGGACCAAAAATGACATTTACTCTAACTTATATATACATGAAAATTGATAGGATTTTTTTTCATTTTTTTCCCTCACATGATTTCATATACTTTAATATGTGTATAAAAAATAAATTTATTGACTTACTAAAAAAATTTATCTCCTAAAAACATACGCTGTTAAAATAATTAAAAAAAAGGAAAAAACATGCGTTTTGGATTAAATTTTTTTTTTTTAATTTTAGGAAAAAAATTAAAAAAGAATAATTATTTTTCATAAAAGAAAAAAACCTGAAAGGAACAGAACAAATCAAACACGCTATTAAATATTAATACACTAATCGGACTCCGAGTGGTTCTTTTTGTTGGGGGGACCCACCTTTCGATTATTTTAGGGAGCAGACTGAGCAGTCATCATCGAAGATTTTCTAGCCCATGTGCTAATGAGATGATGTGTCCTCTCTTCTGCGTATGTAAGCCCTACACCTGTGTCTTTCACGTTTGCAAGCAACTTTATCAGGCTCCATCTGCGACTACAAAACTCCATACGATATAATTGGTCATAAAGCTATATTCTTATTAAATTATCAACTTTCCCATTCCTGGCCTCCTCTTTTTTTTTTTTTTTTTTTTTTTAAATTCTTTATATATATTAAGTTTTTTTATGCCAGCTTATGAATTTTCAATACATTATCAGAAAGGTTTTGGAAAAAGTCGTGGTATCCTGTTTCAACAAAACATAATTCGATACAGGAGAAGAGAAGACAAGAAAGCAAAGATATATCCTATATTCATAAAAGTTAGGGAGGGGAAGTTTGCTTTTGTTGTAGCAAACAAAAACCGCAATTATTGTAAATGTCAAGGAAAAATACATCCAAAACGAATAATCATTTATTTGATCTGATTTTATATCGTAAGACTAAGACGTGAATTTAATAATTATTGTAAATAAAAAATAATATAATTATTTGTAGTGTAATTATTCTTATGATATATTATGGGTAGGTGAGAGCAAACGTGTTTTGTTCATACACCAATAATATAAAAAGAGAGAAAACAAAAAATATAATATAAAAATGTTACAATAATAATTAAAATAAAAATAAAAAGGAAATTTGGAAGATAAGATAAAATGAGGTAATTGAGGGGGGGTATAGAGAAAGGACAAAACATAAAATAATAATGAAGATACGACAGGTAAGTGGTGGTGGTGGTAGTGCCAGCTGGCAATGAAACGGAAGGAAAATATAAAAAAGAAAAAATAGGGAGAGGAGAGGAGAGATTGGGCGTAGAAATTTCAATTTCAATTTCAATTTGATTTGATTTGCGAAGGGAAGGGAAGGAAGGAAGGAAGTGTTGGATTGGATGAATGAGTGAAACTGTAAAAGTGGAGTCTCGGGACGGAAGGATGACGATCACTATGCAGTCGACGCCGGGAAGCTCAGGGTACTTAGATTTGTATCCTGAGCGTAAGATGTCCTTCTTCAAGAATCCTTACATTCTCGGTCTCGCTGCTGTCGCTGGCATCGGTGGTCTCCTCTTTGGCTACGACACTGGTTTCTTCTTCTATTCCTTCTTCTTCTTTTTATTAATCAATACCAATTCCTCACCTCACTTCACTTCACATCACACACACTACTTTATTTAATTCATCTCTTTTCTAGGTTCCCTAACTGGACTATGTTCATCAAACTACTTCCGCTTGTAAATAATTCTCAAGTTACTTCAATTCCTGATTCTGCCTTCTTCCATGTTAAATACCCATCTTTTAGATCATAGCGTCTCATATTAACTTGCTCTGTTTTGGACATCGTTTCCTCCTAATCTCTTAACTTTTTCTGTCTCTCGCTGATGCTATTTTTTCTTATTCATATTCTCATAGGTGTCATATCAGGAGCCCTTCTATATATTAAAGATGATTTCGAAGAAGTTAGAAACAGTAGTTTTCTACAGGTACAATCCTTTTTCTTCTCTTTCAATTTTGACTTCATATGTTTTGTTATTATTATTATCTGCTTCTGTTTCTCAGTCTGCGAATTTCATTATTATCTTTTGGATGTTCTTTTTCAACTGGATTGTTATCATTATGCTTGCAAAATTATTTTATTTCTCAACATTAGCATCTATTATGCCCGAAGCTGTCTGTGTGTTGTATGATGTGTGTCTGTTTTCCTAGTGAGTGTAGAACTGACTGCTACAAGAGAATTAGAGAATAGAGATCCATAACTGCAACTGTCTAATTGAATTGGAGGAGACTGGTTAATTAAAAAAATTTCTTTCCAATTCCAAGAAAGAAAAGAATAGAGTAGTGTTTACTTATTCTTTCTCATTGGATCATTCTAATCACTCTTGAGTTTCCAGGAAACAATTGTCAGCATGGCAATTGCTGGTGCCATTGTTGGAGCAGCAGTAGGTGGTTGGATTAACGATGCTTATGGACGAAAGAAGGCCACACTCTTGGCTGATGTGATCTTTGCTCTCGGAGCGATTCTCATGGCTGCTGCACCGGATCCTTATGTTCTCATAGTGGGACGTCTTTTGGTTGGTTTGGGTGTCGGCGTAGCTTCTGTTACTGCTCCTGTGTATATTGCAGAAGCATCGCCATCTGAAATAAGGGGGTCATTAGTGAGCACAAATGTGCTCATGATAACTGGTGGACAGTTTATTTCCTATCTTGTGAACCTTGCTTTTACAGGGGTTAGTATTCCATGCTCTGCTGTTCAATTGGGTGTTGTCAATATCTTCTGTTAATGAAAAGAATATAGGATATAGTTTTCCATTTCACTTGTTGACCCGCCAAAGTTATGAAGATGTCCTTATTCTATCCATATGTTTGCTTTTGGGTATATTATTTCTCTAATCAATTGAGCAGGTTCCTGGGACATGGCGATGGATGCTTGGTGTTTCAGGCGTGCCAGCAATTGTTCAGTTTATTCTCATGTTCTTCCTGCCTGAATCCCCAAGATGGCTTTTTATAAAGGTACAAAATTGCCTTATTGCTCTTATCAAGAATTATGTCCGAGATGTTACACTTGAAAGCTACTTGTTTATGAAGCCATCTTAAAATTTTATCTTTGTGTACAGAATAGGAAAAATGAAGCTGTTGATGTGCTTTCCAAGATCTATGACTTATCTCGCTTAGAGGACGAAGTTGATTTCCTAACTGCTCAATCAGAGCAAGAGCGCCAAAGAAGGAGCAAAATCAAATTCTGGCATGTTTTTAAATCAAAAGAAATCATGCTGGCATTCCTTGTTGGAGGCGGACTTCTGGTAATAAAATGTTTACAAAGAGACTGTTCTTCCAAAACATAACTTTCTCATGGTGAAAGGACCTTTGTAAATGCTTTTTGCTGTCAGTAGGTTAACTAGAATAATTTTGCTTTACTAAACATATTTATGAGTTATTGCAGAGTTGAAATGCCACTTAGGGGAAATCATAGGCTCGCTCAAAATTTTTAGGCTTGTTCTAAAACAGAAGTTTATACTTGAAAGCTATAAGTCATATGAGCATGGCTTGCTTACATAACTATAGATGATAGCATATGCTACTAGCCCCATGAAACTTAAGTTGGCATCTTGTGTGAAAATACCTTAGGGTTGTTAGTTTTATAAATTTGAAAATTTAGCACTGAATTTGTAATGTTCAGCACTCAATTTGAAAATCATTATGTTTGAAACATTTCATTTTAAGAGCTGAAATTGTATTGAAAAGAAACTATGAGCATTTAACATGACAAAAAGCTGTGTTAAAAATGCTACTGCTAAATACATTCATTGATCTCTCACGTGCTGAATGTTTTCACTACTTTTTACTCAATTTCATCTTAGCATGTATTAAATAAACACCATTAAATTAAATCTTTTCATTTCAGCTTTGAATTGAGTTTTCAGACCAGCTTTCAATTAAATCTTTTCATACTTTTTACTGGCAGTTGAACACGTTTCAGAATTAGGTTCTGTATTTGAATATAAATGACATCAGTTTATGTTAGTGAAATGTGTTCTTATAGCATCCAATGGTTTATGGTTGTGCAGTTTTTTCAGCAGTTTACAGGTATAAACACAGTGATGTATTACAGCCCAACTATTGTCCAAATGGCTGGCTTCGAGGCTAATCAGTTGGCTCTTCTACTGTCCCTCATAGTTGCCGGCATGAATGCTGCCGGAACAATTCTAGGCATTTACCTAATCGACTTTGCAGGGCGGAAAAAATTGGCCCTTTCTAGCTTAGGAGGAGTAATTGCATCCCTGATCATCTTGTCCGTGGCATTTTATAAGAAATCATCATCTTCGGATGAATTGTATGGATGGCTTGCAATTATAGGCTTAGCATTGTATATTGGTTTTTTCTCGCCAGGAATGGGGCCTGTACCGTGGACTGTGAACTCAGAGATATATCCCGAAGAATATCGAGGTATCTGTGGGGGCATGTCAGCTACTGTGTGTTGGATTTCGAATTTGATTGTTTCAGAGTCCTTTCTTTCAATTGCTGATAGTATAGGGGTTGCTTCTACTTTCTTGATTCTTGCTGTTATAGCTGTGGTTGCATTTCTATTTGTGCTTCTGTATGTTCCTGAAACCAAAGGATTGACATTTGATGAAGTGGAAGTAATATGGAGGGAGAGAGCTTGGGGCAAGAACCCAAACACACACAACCTTCTTGAGCACGGAAGTCAATCCTAGGGTGCCAGCCTGTTGGCTTTATTTGATACATCATCACGTTGCATATCTAAAGTACATTCCATGTATGCATCTTATGACTTTATATTATATTTTATATATATATATATATATTCACATGTCGGATTTGGTTAACGTTGACTTGCCTAATAGTTTCACATTTATAAATTGCGGGTTGGAAACTGAGGCTTGCGAGGCTTTATAGACCATTGTTAAAATCGTATAGGTTATTTTAACTTTCGTTCTTAATTTTTTAGAGTTCCACTTTTTAAGTAAATGGTCATTTAGCTCTCGATATGTGAACGTTATAGTATTTATATTTGACATCAGTTTTAATCCACAGATATTATAACTTTTTAATATATGCATCTAATAATAAAATATTATATTATTTAATAAGTTTGACCATTTAATTAATTATCTGAGGTGGATTATATGATAACATATTATTGCATGCAAGTAAGCGTAAATCTTTTTTAACCCTATTAGCGTATAAAAATCAAATTTTGATTTCAAATTGTTGGATTGGAGGTAACCGCTTTGTCATGATTGTTGGATCCTAACTTCGAATTTTACTTTTGTTCATTTTCAAATATTTATTGTAATAATAGTAATAATTAGTCGACAGTGACATAAAATTCGTAAGATGGGCTTTCTCCGTCAGGAAATATTTTTTATTTAATATGTGCATTTGGATATAATTTTTCCCCAAAAAAAAAAAAATCAAAATTAATTTAAAAAATAATAATCTAACTTTGTCTCAACTTCATTTTAATCACTTTCGCCCCACCCCCACCATTACATTACAATATATATATATATATATATATATATATATATATATATATAAAAGTAATTTTGTATATAAAAAGTATTTGTTAATTATAATATTCAAATAATTTTTATATATTCTATTCAAATATAAAATAATTTTAAATTTTTAAAAAATCCTTATTAAATAAACTAGTCATAAAAAAATTTATTTCAAAAACCTGTCCAAACGAATTCCGGATTGAACGAGCTGAAATATAAACAATAGTTAAATCTATTTGGTTATATCTTTGGAAGAATGAACATATCTCAAACATCCCAGTCAACACATAAATTGTTAATGTCATATTTGTGGCATGATATTCTTGTAAAATTTACTTTAATCAAATACATTTATATTGTAATCATATTGAACTCTCTTTTTATAAATCGATAATATATTGTAATGATAGCCAAAAATGACATTGAAGATAGTAATTTTTTCCATCAGTATCATTTGTCATTGCTTAATATACATATGAATGACAATTTTGAAGATAGTAATTTTTTACATCATTATCATTTGTCATTGCTTAATATACATATCAATGACAATTTTTAACATTATCTGTTGACACAATATGACACAAAAAGTTCATATTCAGGGTTGAATCTCTTTTTTTTAATTTGTGCTGTGTTATGTGTCAACTCGCTCAACACATCATACATGAACAATATTCAGTATACATATTACTTGTATTTTATTGTGTCACGTCAATTTGCATAATAAGTAAAATACTTTGAGGTTAGTATGTTATTCGTATTGTATTATGTCAACTTGCAAAATAAATTAGTTCTCACCTATCTCTCTCTCTCTCTCTATATATATATATATATATATATATTACCTATTTAATTAATCTTCCTACCCTTATTATCTTTTTATTATCGCTAGATTGAATTTAAATCAACGGTCTCAAAAATAATATTAAAAAAAAATGACACACCTCTAGATTTTTCTTCTCACTTCCTTATTTTTATCAAAAAATTACACTTTTATTTCTCTATCTTTTGCCTAATACACCTAACAAAGATAAAAAGGTAGTAAGGAGTAAGGATAGAAAGATTAAATATATAGGGAATATATATATATAGGTAGATTCTTTCACACTGGTGTCAAATTTTAAAATTTGACACTAAATCCTATCCGTTGATTTCTATCAATCAATGGTTATGATTTACTAAGAATTAATATTAATTAATAAGTTTGATTCTCAATAAATAATAATCGTTGATTGACAGAAATCAAAAGTTAGAATTTGAGGGCTTATCGTTTCTCAAGCTGTTTGAGATAATTTTCTTTCTTGCACTAAATCATAACCGTACAAAGATGGATCAATGATGATAAAGGAAGAGAGAGGAAATGAGAATCATAACTATTTAAAAGTGAATCAATTCATATAAGAAAATAAATAAATAAAACGACGTAGTTTTTGGATGGACGGAGACAAATATATCTGAAGCAGCTTGACTCACATATATATGGTAAAATTATTTTTACAGCCGCTTAACGTACAACAATGAAAGGTGTATGATTATGATTTCTCACATTTAATGATTTTATTTTTTATATAGTTATAATTCTCCATATTTAATGTTTTTACTTATATATATGACAATTATTTGTTGTATTTAGCTGATTTTTGTTCCTTCCAGTCCCCTCCCCTGGTGTCTATTTATTATATTTAGCTGATTTAGGTGATTTTGGAAAAACTAGTTGTATTGTTTCTTCTTAGCTTATTTGGGGTACATCCCCGGATAAAAAAAAAAGTCACTTAGCAAAACAAGAAAACAAACTCTAATTAAATTAAGGAGGAAATTCAAAATATTGTTACTTTTTTTTTTACTAACTCTATATTTGGCAAAAAAAAGAAGTTCTTTCAATCCAAATGAAAAAGACTAACCTTTTAACCTATCAAGCAAACCTTACCATATCTGAACCCAACAGAAAATACCAACAAACCCCAACTTATTTTGTTTATCCCAAAGATTCAAATTTATGCTAACTAACCTCACAAACTTGGACTGAGTAAATGAAAAGCATAAAGCCCATTGCATTAAAAAAATAAAAATAAAGACCCAAGCTCAAGTTCAAAACGCACACTCTACGTACCGGACGAAGAGAGTAATTAATTAAGAAGACAAAAATGGATGGATGGATGGTGTGTAAATGTTAAAAACTTTAAACAGCAATGGAAATGGAAAATAAATCTTTACGACAGAGAGGACAAGAAGAATGACCGGTATTCAACCAATTGCGGAGACACGTGGAATGGAAAACATGAATACAAACTCCTAAAGGTTGAATTGTTCCATGCAAATAGCGCATTCACTCGAGAACCTTTTAAGTTGCGGCAACTTTATCTTATACATCCTCCGATTTCCTTTTTGTACTAATCTGTATGATTCCCTCTCTGCCCTTACACCTTCAAGCTGCTCATCATCATCTCTTCTGCCTCCTCTGCTGCTGCTGCTGCTTGATGATGACCCCCCTGCAGCAGCAGCAGCCTGACTTTGACTACTTTGAGTTTGAGCCCTTACACTTTGTGACTGTGGTGGTGTGGCAGGTGCAGGTGCAGGTGTATCTGTATCTGTATGCTCTAATTGTCTCCTTCTCATTTTCCCCCAAACAAGAAACAGTAACTGAAGGATCAATAACAATATGATTATGGAATACACAATAAAATTATGGTCTTGTGGTGTATGAGCTATAAGAAGCCACAAACATACTGGGAACAATATAATTATCATCATATCCATGGCAAAACGCCACGCCGGACGCCCACAATCCATAGGGAGGAGTAGGAGGAGGAGGCTGATTACTTAACTAATTAAATCAATAATAATCAATATTATTGTATTGTGAGATGTGAAATGTACAAGAATAATAATGAAACTGATCAGAGAGAGTAGGCAATTGTTCAAGCGAGTTATAGAAAGATGAGGAGAATATTGTTGAGACTTACTTATGATACCATTCTAAATTTGAATATAGATAAATATCAATTATCAATTTGATTTTAACTTGTTTGCGGGTTTTAAATAAAATATTTACTACTAGTTTGTTTGTGTCATTGTGTTTTTTATTGTTTTTTTTGTGTGTGTAAAACTACCATTACTAAAAAAACCCTAAAAAAATTGTTAGTAATAATTAATGAATTAATTTAAATGAAGTGATACGCTAATTATCATAACAATAAAGATAACAATCAGCACAAATCTAACAAAGCAAGAATATCACTTCAAACAAACTTATAACAAATCCAAGTTTTTTAAAAAATCGTTTTTGCAATTTGTATTTTATCTTGGGCTTATTATTTCTCAAGTTGCTTGAGATAATTTTATCTTCAGCTACTAAATCATAACCGTACAAAGATGGATCAATGATTATAAAGGAAAAGAGAGAAAAAGAAGATGGATCGATGGTGATAAAGGAAGAGAGAGAAAAATGAAATCATAACCATTCGAAGGTGAATCAATTAATATAAGAAAATAAATAAACAAAACGACATAATTTTTGGATGGCCGGAGATAAACTTATATTTTTCCGTTTTATCTTTTGTTTTGTATTCTTACGTGGATTTGAAATATTTTATGGGCAATGTTTTTCTCATGTTACATGAAATATCATTGTTTTATGTAGAGACATAATTAGTTGGGTCCCACAACTAGAAAAAAGAAAAAAGAAAAAGAAATGTTGGCTCAGATTTTGATGGGTGTATAACATGAGATAAGCTTTCTCACTGTGACATGAGAATAACATTTTTCAAATTTTATTTACTTTACCATAGAATAAACTAAGCCTATTAATAAAGGAAAAAAATAATGTAATGATATTTTAGATTATTTTGTCTAATGTTTATCGAAACGACGTTGTTTTGGGTTGAAAAATTAAAAAACTAGAATGATAAAAATTGTTATAACTCTGAAATAAATTAAAATTACAACACCATGATTTTCGCCTAAAACATATCGTTTTTGTGAACATTAAACAAAGTTGTCTAAACTAACTCATTGATAAATGTCATGCAACCACCCCTTTAATTTCAACAGTAAAGCATCTAAGCAAAGAACGTTTTAATTTTACTTACTGAAAAATCTCACAGCCACAAAAACATAAAATAGTTATGAAAACAATTTGATTGTCATGCAACTACCCCTTTTAATTTTTCGCCCTTAGAGCTGTTTGATTGTATTATGGTATTTTTGTTCTTAAAACTTTTTTAGAATAATTATGAATTACGAAAATAGTTATTTTCTATGTAACACAAAATTGAATTATATTGAATATAATAAGAGTAAATGATTTCTCCGGTTAATGAAGATAAGTTATTTTCGATGAGCACAAAACGACGTTATTTTGGGACAAAAATCAAGATATTTTTGTAATTCTAATATATTGTAGGGTTACATTAATATTTAACATTATAATTTTTTAAACTTATAACTCCAAAATCTAAAATGACGTCGTTTTGAGCTCAATGGAGATAACTTTATATCGAGTGAGTGATCGGAGAAATACTTTTTTCATATAACAAACCTTTATGATTTTTTTTTTAATTCTTTTCAGAAAAGAGCCGCAACTATCCCCTCTCATTTTAAATTTTTTTCTTTCAAATGAGTGTCATGCACAGCCCCTCACGCATTGATTAATCTATCAGACAAATTTAAGGGAAGTATTTTGCTAACAATTTGGTATTTTGAGCATGAGTGTCATTGCACAATTGCACTTGCACATGGTCTCGTTTTGGAAAACTGCTAGTCATTGTACGGTCATATTTGAAAACAGCTTCAGCTTCTTTGCCACACAAGGGATGAATTAATTAAGCAGCTTCTATCACACAAGACAACTTATATATATTCATTGCTAGCGGAGACATATTTGATATTCCATAGGTTGTTCCAATTCAACTGCAAAGTTCATTCAGCAACACAAAGTATGCATGCATTAATATCACTCTTCACAATTGCTTCAGCTAGAAAAAATAAAATTCACTAGTCTTGTTTACAGGAGATAAACTTATCAATAATAAATATAAAACAAACTCAAAATTTCAAACTTCTTTTTGGAGTTACCCAACCCTAATTATCTCTTTGAGACGAGTTGGCTCCCTCCGGTATCCCCATGAGCTTCGACTCTTTGAGCCGGCTATGAGACTAATCCCAAACTTCTTTCTTATCCTTTTCGGAATTTTCGTTAAAAGCTATTTATTTAACGGACAAGTGTAAATGTAGCTATTCATAAATTCACGTCTTATTAAATGGAGAAAAAGTCCACCGAAAAGAATCAAGAAAGAAAATCTGGTTTCATGCTTTAAAAAAAAAAAGAAAAAAGTGTAGAGCCAAATTTACGGAAAACACCAAGAAGACCGCTTCAAGTGAGTACTTCAGCCACTCAAACCGCTTATATATTTCCTAACTTATCGTATGCTAATAGAACTAACTATATACGTACCATAACCTCTCATCTTAGCCGTTCATTAATTAGTCATTGGTTATTTACACTCTCTCAACTATGAGTAGAGCAATGTTCGACTAAGATCCGTGTCCATCGTTCACTATATATACTATATATATATTTAATGAATATTGACAACAAGCGAGTGGCAACAAATTAATATATATATATATATATATAAGCTTCTTCATTGTGATAACTAGTTTTCATCAGTTTCAGCTAAATTAATAAGCTAGCTCCGGAAGGAAAGGGTTTTGCATGCAAAATTGTTTGTATGAGAGTTTAGATAATTGAAAGAACTAGTTCGTGGTATCTCTGTGGATTTAGAAAGTTAAAAAAGTTTCAACCATAAATGACAAAAAGTTTCAACCAGGCTCGGCTATCTTCTTCTTGGCGAATATTATTGGCGTTTGTAATTGTTGGTTCTTGTTCTTCGCCATCACCGGAATTTGACACTATTCCCGAGGAGTTCACTATATCGGTCACCAAGTTTCGCAAAAGGTTCATTAATTACTCCATTTTCTATGTCTCATCTCATCATGCCATCTCATCTCTATGCATGTCTCATCTCATCATGCACATCCACTAATGTTGTTGTTGTTTTTTCTTTTTTTTAACAATATATACCTTAGCGTATAACAAAAGTTATGCTCCTGTTGATGTATATATGTGTGTGAAAGTGAAACACAATATGTGTGTGATTATATGTATCCTACGTTATTAATTGTTTATTTTGGACATGTTCTTCAATTTCTGTTCTACAATATAATTATAATTAAAATACAATTACTGCCTGAATCACTTTAATTTGTTTTCAGTTGCTTCGTCGCTGACTTTGTAGTTTAAAACAAAGATTTACGTTTTGCAGATGGAACCAGGAATGGCTTCTTCACCCACTCCCAACTCCCTCAATGTTGATGCAATCGAGGTTAGTTATTCTTACTAGATCACGTGTACTTTCAATTTGCTTCCTAGTGATGATAGCAACAGATCAAGAGGAGGTGTTGGTTGTGGGTTTCAATTTTTTAGTTTCAATTTCACGCTGTAACGCATTTTATAGAAATAGATTGAACATTATTCTAATTAGATATTAAAAAACTAGAAGGCTGTTGTGCATGTCATATAGTTTAATTATTAGTAGTTCCACTTATTTTTCCTTTTATGGTTGGGTTTGACTTCACACATTCTAATTTGCTTATTTATCCACTCAAATATCATAAATAGATTCCTTTTGCATGTGGAAAGAAAAAATATTACAAAGTAAACTTGTTTTTTTCTTTATGTATGATATATATGTTTGGTTTTAAAAAAACAAAAAAAAACAGGTGACACGAGGAAATCGTAGCTACAGAAAACAGGAAGCCCAAGATGATGGGAAGAGTAAAGAAGGGTGGAAAACTGCAATCATCTTGCTAGGTACTGATTAAACAAATGATCGGCTAACTCATCATTCAATTTTCATTTTTCAAAATATCAGAAATGAGTAGCAATACATACATTAATAATAAGTTGAACAATTCATTGGTTTGTTTAGAAAAGTGTTGCATGTTTTCTTCCCTTTCCTTACTTTCTTTTGTCAATTGTCTAATTGGAATAAACATGTTGTCCTCTAATAATTTGAATCATGCACTGAATGCAGCGAATCAAGCACTAGCTACACTAGCTTTCTTTGGAGTTGGAGTGAACTTGGTTCTGTTTCTAACTAGAGTCCTTGGTCAAGACAGTGCCGAGGCTGCTAATAGTGTGAGCAAGTGGACGGGAACAGTTTACATATTCTCACTGATTGGAGCATTCCTTAGTGATTCTTACTGGGGTCGATATTTAACATGCGCAGTCTTTCAGCTCTTTTTTGTTGTGGTATATTTTTTTTTTACTTCACATCTTGCTAACAAACTTTGGTTAACATTATTATGAAATATTATATTTGCAATGTTGAACATGAACAGGGCTTGGGGTTGTTGTCGTTTACATCTTGGCGATTCTTGATAAAGCCACCAGGTTGTGGTGATGAAGAAACACAATGTGTGGAACCATCCTCAGTGGGCATTGGTTTTTTCTACATGTCCATATATCTAGTGGCATTTGGATATGGAGGGCATCAACCCACGTTAGCAACCTTCGGTGCAGATCAATTTGATGAGAAGAATCCTAAACAGAAGAACTCAAGAGAAGCTTTCTTTTGTTATTTTTACTTTGCCCTCAATGTTGGATCTCTGTTCTCCAATACTATATTAGTCTATTGTGAGGATTCAGGGATGTGGACAATAGGTTTCTCTGTGTCATTGGCTTCTGCTGTTATCGCCTTACTTTTATTCTTCTCAGGATATCGCAAATATAGATACGTAAAGGCATGTGGGAACCCTGTGGGAAGGGTAGCTCAGGTATTTGTGGCTACTGCTAGGAAGTGGAAGGTTCATCCAGCCAAGGAAGAACAACTTTATGAGGTTGATGGTCCAGAATCTGCCATAAGAGGGAGTAGAAAGATTCTCCACAGCCATGATTTTGGGTAATAAATTATGTCATGTCATGTCATGATTTCGATGAAAACTAAGTAAAATAGCTACATAATTTGTCTACAACAGATTTGCAATATCTGATTGCATGTTTCATTTTTCTTGATGTTGAGCAGATTCATGGACAAGGCAGCAACAATAACAGAGAAAGATGCAAATGGTCCTAAGAATCCTTGGCGGCTCTGCACAGTAACTCAAGTTGAGGAAGCAAAATGCGTGTTGAGAATGTTACCGGTTTGGCTATGTACTATCATTTACTCTGTTGTATTTACACAAATGGCTTCACTTTTTGTGGAGCAAGGGGATGTCATGAACTCTAAGATAGGAAATTTTCATTTACCAGCAGCTAGCATGTCAGTGTTTGATATCTGCAGTGTCCTTTTATGCACAGGAATTTATCGCCAAATCCTTGTTCCATTAGCTGGAAAATTAAGTGGTAATCCTAAGGGACTAAGTGAGCTTCAAAGAATGGGAATTGGCCTAATAATTGGAATGTTAGCAATGATTGCAGCTGGTGCCACAGAGTTTGAAAGGCTCAAACATGTTAAGCCTGGGGAGAAGGCTAGTTCTTTGACTATATTTTGCCAAATCCCACAGTATGTTTTGGTTGGTGCTTCAGAAGTATTCATGTATGTGGGTCAATTGGAGTTCTTTAATGGGCAAGCCCCAGATGGCATAAAGAGCTTTGGGAGCTCACTTTGCATGGCTTCAATATCTCTTGGAAACTATGTAAGTAGCATGTTGATTTACATGGTCATGGAAATCACTGCAAGAGGCGAGAAGCCAGGGTGGATTCCGAATAACTTGAATGTGGGCCACATGGATAGGTTTTTCTTCCTCCTTGCAGTTCTAACTGCATTTGACTTTGTGCTCTACTTATTCTGTGCTCGGTGGTACAAGAGCATCAACCTTCAAGTCAGTGAGGAAGAAAATGATATGGAAAGCCTAGAGGATGATGAAGTGATTAGTAAAGTTTGATTGGGATTTGGGAGCTTCAGTTGTTTTGGATTCCTTTTCTTTCTTTTCTTTTTCTTTCCTTTCTTTCAAGGCATTAATTGTTTATATATCTTGGTAATTTCCCTTCAAGAATAGTCTCTTCTAGTGGCAGAAAGCTTGACCAGCTCAATTTTTAGAAAATTGAAAGATATATTGCTGGGGTGATTGCTTTCTTGGTGACACTGGACAAAATTGAAAGTATTTTTGAATAAGATGTCAAATTTGGCACATTAGGTTGAGTTACTCATAATGTGTATTAGGGTTTAGATTTAGGATTCGCACGTAGGTTGAGTTAATCAAAATATGTATTAGCATGACAAGTTAAGATATCAAAATGTCAAATTTAAAAATGATTACTAAAAGAAAAAAAATAAAAATAGAAAACATTTTCATCATCAAAAGGCATTTTAGGCTTTCTGTTCTGGTGGCCCAGATAGTCAAGTTCTAAATTTTCAGAAATCGTCAACTTGGAAAGTATATTATTCATAGCGTTTATGTAGTAAGATAAGGTATGGGTGAGGAAAAAAAGTTTGCGGTGGATAATAGTGAATGCACACAAGAAAGAAGCTTGCATGGTGTGACTTAAATTGGATACTCCTCTCTTTTGTGTGTGTTTGTCTAGAGGTATGTGCGAGGAAAGATTGGTTACTAGTTGCATATATATATAGAATGCACAAAACAAACTACGGTAGCTTAATAATCACTCAGCTATATAGGGTTATGGAAACGTTACTCATTCTTTGTTCGCCTTCTAGTTAAGCATTTGAAACCTGACAATCTGTATATCTAAGGATTCTGTTATTTTCAAATAGTTTTCTGTCCATGATATTATAAATTCCCACATAATTTTTTTATTTTAAGGTGTTATCTCAACCTTTTGGATAATCTTAATCTTAAAAAATGACACAAATATAAAGAAGTCAATGAGATCATTTTACATATATATTTTCTAGACAAGAATGTACAATGTTGAAATATTTTCTTTTTCTAAGACAGTCAAGCACGGACTTTTCATATACAAGCAGCATAATTTTTTTTTAAAATGAAAAATTGGATACCATCAAAATTGGAACTCCGGAAATGAGGAGGCAAAGATATATTTTGTATAATACTACAGATTCTCCCCAGACACAATGGCATGCAGCTGCTTTGCAGGCCATGTTACATCAATAAGTCCATGAAGAAGGGGAGCAATATCTTCTGCCATAGTCTTCAGAAGAGTTCTACATTCTGTAACAAACAATTATTTACAAGGGATTAAACAACAGAATATAAAATCTGTGCACTTAATGCAATATGTTCATATCCATCATCCTTTTTGAATATATTTTACACTCTATGTCTTAATCACTACTGTATGATCAAACTGAAAATGGAGGCAGTTGCCGGACAAGCTGGAGGGAGAAGAATCAAAATAGTCTCAAGAGGTTCTTGGTATTAGTAGGTAATTCTTGTTGAATGCAATGCTTGTAAGAATTAGTTATCTGACTGAAAACAAGCCAACGATGAGTATTTTTGTAAGAAATTGAAAAAGTGGAGTAAGAGTGGCTCTAATAAAAACTTGCTTAATGCAGTGGATGATTCTCAAACAACTAGTTAAGCAAAATGCAGTTTAAAAATTATTAATTAATATTATTTAAAGGGGGCGAACAGGAGTAGTGGTAAAACTGTTCCTTCATAATTGAAATAATTGAAAGGTCATGGGTTCGAATCCAGTAAACAGCTTCTTTGCAATCATGCAAGGGTAAGGCTGCGTACAAGGATTTCCTCTACCTCACACTCGCTAGTCGGGTTTAACGGAGAGTGATTTTTTTTTTTTTATTATTCAGAGGTCATATATAAATGAACAATATATGAAATCTCATTATGCAATTTAGAGAAAGAAGAAATAGGTTACCGGATTTAGGCTATATATCATGTAGATGGATTATGTTGATTCAAGGTGCCAGAAGCAGCAGATTTGCAACAGTTGTTATTAGTATTGATAAAAAGATCCACGACATTGGACATTTATTGTGGTCTTCAGAAAGTAGTTAGCGATAAGTATTGAATGCACAAGGAATCATGATCAAATTTTTTTATTGAATATGCTTTCAATGGTATCTATTTTATATTCAGATCTCTTCGTGATCTTCATTTGGATCCAATTAAGGTGGTTTGTGTTGGTATCCTTGTGTGAGATATGGTTCTTAGTGGGCCTGAGAAGCAAACAAGCTTCGATATATATATATATATATTGATCCAGCCATAAGAGAAGCCAGGTTATCATGATGAGAATGTTCATAATCACTAAGGCTGCGAGAAGATTGTTTTGAATAATTTCACATAAATAAATGGAAATTTTTATATTTAAATGTACAAAGTGAATTACTATACTTATCCAAGAACCTTATTTTGGGAATATGAACTAGGGCATTTTTTTCTTGAAATGTTGTTCATTAAGATGTTTTATTACTTGCTATATAAGATGGATCAGTTAATTGTGTAGTTACAAAGGTATCAACATCATTTGTTTTCATCATTTGTTTTCTTTTCCCTCTCTTAGAAGTTAGAAGTGTACTTTGCTTTTACATTAGCTTATACTTTTTCTCCCTTTTACATTACAATGATAATAGTCTTCAATAGTTTCAAAAATTGGCAAGATTCTAATAAAAGTAGATTAAAAGTGCAGAAGGTGCCAAACCTGATATTTTACTGAAATTAAGTAAGGACATAGATGCAAGAGTCTTGAACTCAAGTTCTCCATTTTCCAGGATTCCTTTCAACTGAGAGATGATGGTTAAGAGGGCAGGAAGATGCACTCCAGCATTAAATAGTGTACAAAGTGAGGAGCTCAACCATGTAACAGTTATTAGACACGCCCTCACCAAATCTAGGTGTCTAGAATCTAAACAACTAGATATAGTCTTCAAAAATGGGCTTTCTCCATTACCAATCAATGATTCTAACAAGTTCATTTGCAACTCTTCACCCCTTTCTTCTTCATCTTCCTATCATTTTAATTGATATAATCAGCCAAGACACATTCAGTACTCATGCAAGCAACAAGAGTTTCATGATATACAATGCTCAGTTGTAAACATTTGATTTTCTTTAAGAAGTCTAGATTCTTGGGTGTCAAAAAGATTTTTCCAGAAACAAGATAATCCGTTATAGTTGAAGCTGTTCATGGTACATTTGATAAATGGACTTCCATGATCTACCTTGCAAGATACGTATTTTAATTTCTTCCATAAATAAATTTATCATTTGTTCGGTTCTATTAAACCGTATAATGATACCTCAAGGGTATGCGCTCAGAGATATCCTATGGATGGGTATCTTGGTTGGCTTATAGCCAATATCCGCATCACTGCGCACAAGCAATAGGCTTATAGCCAAGACGTGGGTGTGTGCACAGTTTGGGCAGAAGTAGTAAATGAGTTCAGAGTGTATACCTGGGATCTTTAACCTCTTATTTATAAGGGTTACCTCTTGGGCTTGTGTAGATCTCCCAGTTGTAGTAGGATTTAACTTCCTTTCTGTTGGGATAGAGACTCTATCCTTAGCTGCCTTACTGTTTTATATTGTTAGGATAATTGGAGAATTATCCTTTAAGGGATCCTTGGGTAGGTGGTTAGGATATGGAAATATTCCATAACATCATTAAACACATGCTAAAAGGATTTATCCAGTAGATTAAAAGTTAGAAATTGTTAGAGAAATATAAAACCATTAATATTACCTCACTCAACAGCTTAAGCTTTTGGGTTGAATTGGTTCTTTACATGGTATCAGAGATTCAGTGACCACGAGGTCACGAGTTCGACCCTCGTCACCCCCCATTTTCTAGTGGAATTAAATAAGCACAAGGTAAAACAAAAATTGGGTTGTGCAATATTCACGAAGCCCAAAGGGCTCTTTCGCTCACTCAACAGCTTAAACTTTTGGTTTGAAATGGTTCTTTACATGGTATCAGAGCCTCGGTGTCACAGGTTTGATCCTCACAGCCCCCCATTTAATTAATAATTAATTAAGTCTTGTGGAGTTTCTTCGCATAGGTAGATGAGCCCGTGCATTGTCCACCCTTCAAGCCTAGTGGGCTCTCGTGTGAGGGGACATGTTAGAGAATAATATAAACTATTAAAAAAACCCTCACCCAACAGCTTAAGCTTTTGGGTTGAAATGGTTCTTTACAGAAATACCCAAGAAACACTCAAGGGTGTGTTTGGTACAAGAGAAATTTTTTGGTGACTGGGAATCATGATTAATGGGAATTCAGTAGAAATTGAGTTTACTTGGAATCTTACGAAAGATGTGTTTGGTTCGCCAAAATATTACCGGGAATATTGGGTAAAAATTACTGATTCCATATTTGGTTTAGAACGAAATATGACTTGGAATATGAGGTTATTTTACAAAAATAACCCCAAACTATTTTTACTTTTGTAATTGATAGATTGGGTCTAGATTTTTATGTGTATTGGGGTATTTTTGTCTCAAAATTTATTGTTGTGGTTTCCCTTTACTTGGTATTCTGATTGGTATTCCGAATTACCATATTATTTTTGGTAATCTGAATAGTGACTTTTCTTTATAAATCAAATTACCGGTAATCCTTGGATATTCGGGAATCGTAATTTATTCCTTCTACCAAACGTGGTAATTACATTTACCAAAGAAGGATTACCGGTAATCCTCTCCAAAAACTTGAACCAAACACCCCCCAATTGTGAAAATTTAGAAACAAAAAGACTGAAAACCTACCAATGAAATGGTTACATCTGAATGCTGGCCTTCTTCTTCATGGCTAGGAGGTTTCACTTGTGAGCTATCATTATTATAACCTGCTTGTTTTAAGATGCTACTCATGGTCTGTGTCTTTCCAGTTGAAGAAAAATGCCCACACAAGATTAAAAGAGCTCTGCAACACTTTACTCGGGCCTTCTCATCATTTAAGCTGGCATCAAGTCCCACTGCAATGGCATTCACAGCCATCTCTCTGTATATGCTAAACTTTTGAGGCTCAACCTGCAGTTCAAACTTGTTCTAGTCAATAACTGAGCAAGAAAGATATTCAATTTCTTTCACCTGGTGAAAGGAGAATCATAGTGAGAAAAGGTATACTACATATAGAAACCAAACACACATTATTTTAGCAATGCTTTTGTCCTTGGTTTCTACTTTCCTTTAAACTGCTAACTCTTGTAAAATTAGTTATTTATTTGCTTATTGCTAATAATTTCATTCACTGCTTGGTTAGATTTTCAGGAAAGTTCAACAACATACTGCTTCCCTCCTTATACAAACCAATTTGGAGATTCATTCGGCGTGTAAACAGACCACATATGAAACATTGTAAATTTTGTAAAGTATCTTATTAACTAATAAAATATCGCAATCGCAAAAAATAATTTTTTATAATAATTAAGAAATGATAAATGAAAATCATGATGACATATTGCATTCCGGAGTCTAGATCAACAATAACAATTTAACAGCAACTAATCCTAAAGAAGTAAATTTCTTTACAAGAATTTTTAAAAAATTAATTTAATTAAAGAAAAAGTTATATCAAAGAGATCAAAAGAGTGGTTCACATTGCAGGTAACAGGGCAGGCGTTTTGTTTGTAAGGCCAAATGTGCTGGATACCTTAATTTGTTTCCATAGAAAAAAATGGTTAATAACGAAGCAAATTGCAAGATTTAAAGTTAGGTTTGGATTGCATGTTATCCTATTAAATAAAAACAACCTCAACATCATATACGAGCATTTATGTACAGGTAAACTGCCCCTGTCCAGGTTTCAAGTGTTTGTTCTATTCTAAACGTCTGATTTTTTATTTTATTTTTTACAATTTTTCCTGCAGAAGAAAGGTGGAGAGGTGGAAAAATGTAGCAGCATCCCTTAAAATCATTGATAAACAATGATAATTTCATGCATGAATTGTGTGTTACAAAGTAATCGTAGGTTTTAATTTTATATGTAAAAGCACAATCAGCAACATGTTAGTATCAACTTATAAGTCACATTGTGTGTCAATATTTACATGTAAGAAACTATACAACAAAGCATAATAAGATATGATTTTTCATTACTTTTACTAATCTAACTTTTAGAATTAATTTAATACAAATATATATTAAATAATGAGAGATTTGACAATTTCCTGTCACAAGATTCCTACAGTAACATGATTGACTATAATTAAATACTAAATTTGTTAGGGTGGTCGGTCAGCTTGCCTCTTCCACCTTTCATGTAAGACCAGCCGAGATTATTTTTAATGATGATACAAGAAAATTGGCATGAAATTATTTGAGCATACCAGTAGATCAAAGTGTAACAAAAGGACAGCAATTAGAGGCTTTTCATGCGGAGAAGAATTGGCGAGATAAATGAGCAGAACATGCATTGTATTAAATACATCTTCACCCGCCAAGCTACTTATGAATGAAGTAACATCCTTTCTCCTGCAAAAAAAGTAGTCAAGTAATTAAAAAAGAGGATGAGTAAGGAAAAATTTTAAATGCAAAAGGAGGAGGGATGATTTTGTGTATAAATTTGACCAATAAGTTGCAATAGGCTAGAAAACAATCAAAGTGGGCTCTGATGAATTGAATATCAAACTTTGATAATACTCACCTCTTCATCGATACAAGCTCAGTAAGGAATACTATTGCATTTGTTATTGAGGTAACCTCCTTGCTGTGAAGAAGCTGACAAAGACATTTTCTGTCAATACTCTTTGCTATCTGAAATATACAATCTGAGTCTGCTTGAATACAGTTTATCAAGAGTGACAACACTTGTGATTTTTCTTCCACATTTCCCAGTTCAAACCTCCTTAACAGAAATGAAAGAACTCCTAAAGAGATGAGACGCTTAGCATAAGTTGATTTGTCCTCTTCTTGCAAAGATGAGAGAAGACTCTTTAACTTGAAAACGGTAGCCTCATCCCTCTTTTTCAACTTAAGTTCCTTTGAATTTCCCACTGTTTGAAAAGCAAAATCCAGAAGGTGACTAAAGTGTTCTGACTTCCAATTATCGATCAAACGCTTCAAAATAAGGTTGGTAAGTGGCATCACTACACATTCTAAGGTATTTCCTGTTACCGGGCATGTTCTGTTTCCCTTTTCAAACCATGCTTTGATGGCTTCTCTTTCAAAGGTTTGACCAGTCTCTAGAGTTACTGGTTCCTCAAAGAGATTTCCATTAAGAGGACAAATAAATTCCTGTGGAATGCTTGGAAAAAATGATCCTGCACCAAAATGTTTATGTAGTGGATTTATCTCTCTGCCAGGAAATCCAATATTTAATAGAAAATAGGTTATCTGAAGGAAGGTATTTTAATCAAACATTACTTTTCTCACCTTCAACTGCAGAGCTTATCTTATTTGGCTGCATATGAGAGATGATAAATCAGATAAGGTGATAAAAAATATGAACTATTAATAACAGTAAATAATCAAGAGTACCAAAACACTACATTTATAACATAGTTGAAGACTAATATCTAATTAGACAGAAAACGGTAGAGCAACTGGGATGGAAAGAGTTTTATATGTTCTGCATTTCTGAAACAGACATAGTTACCCTTCTGAGAGCAAGTTCATTTACTTTTCCATGTGGTTGAGCATCAATTGTGCCGCTGTTTAAATTAGTTTGTATGGAGAAAGAGTTATTAATTTCATTGCTGAGATTCGTTTCTTGCCATTCTTCTACAGCCATCATTGAAGTTCCTTTCTGCTGTCAAATATTATTGACAATATGAAAACATGTGAGACGTAGAGCAAGAGAGGAATAGAAACAATTATGTTAATGCGTCTCTAAGAATAAAGATATAATTCCAAAGAAAAAAAACCCTTGTAATAAATTATGTACTATGATTCACTCCTCAACCTATATGACTCCAAACCTACAACGTGCATAATTTGATTCAAAAATGTATAGCCATCAAAATAAAAGGAATGATTCTGCTGAGATATATAAAATCATTAATGTAACCTCACCCAACAGCTTAAGCTTTTGGGTTGAATCGGTTCTTTACATGGTATCAGAGTCTCGGTGTACCGAGTTCGATCCTCACTTTCTTTCTAGTAGAATTTCTTTCTTCGTACATGTAGGTGGACATATGCATTGTCCACCCTTCAAGCCCAGTGGGCTCTCGTGTGAGGGGGCGTGTTGAGATATATAAAATCATTAATGTAACCTCACCCAACAGCTTAAGCTTTTGGGTTGAATCGGTTCTTTACAGATTCCAAACAAAATGACCACACGTACAATTTCATAAATATATAACAGTGGACTTGCTAAATGTATTTCATAGAGTGATAAGAGAGATTGACACTGCAATGATCAAGCACATTATAAAGAAGGAATTTGATTAGTAAGAACCTCCAGTATGGCAGTGCCTTTCTTGAGATGCTAATATACACGTTTTCACTCATTCTATGTTGCTACAATTCAGACTTCGCACATCACATACTGAAGAGGACTCAAGGTAATTAATTTAAAGCAGGAAATAGATAATCACTTATTGACTTAACTAACCACTTGGGTAATTGTTTTTAAACTGGAAATAGTTATACAATTCCAAGAATTCCTTTTGTGTAATTTTCCAATCAAAGAAATAGGCAGAAAAGATAAATTACTTACAGGATGGAATGCACCGACTAGTACACTTTGAGTGAAATCTTCAACATCTTGATCCGTAAATTTAACAGTTTCAGACTCATACACTATTGTTTGTTCAACAATAGTTGAACCATAAGAGCCTCTCACGCAATTTTCTAGTTTATCTTCATCCTCATTATCTTTGACTTCATAAACTCCAGGTTTACTCGAATTCCCAAAGACAGAATCATATAGTTTCTTGCTGACCAGTGGCTGTGGTGAGAATGGTTCAGGGGAGCTAGCAGACTCCGAAGAATGACCATGTGAACTAACCTGTTGACTTCCTGTAACAGATATTGAAGGAATGCCGATAGAAGGAATAGATGGAGATTCTACTCCTTCAGCGAGCCAATCTTTGTAGTATACGGCAAATGTATGAGTTCCGGAATCCAAATGTTCATCATACACTTTTTGAAGAAGCTTCAGCTTTCCTGTTTTGCTTGCTGCATCCACTAGAATTTCAGCTTCCTTGTTGCACCATGCCTTCAAATGGGAAAGTTGTGGAGAAAATAGGTGCTCCCACAGTTCAGGCAACAATATTGTCCTTGCCTGAAAAGGTGAATCACAGAACACTTGCAAGAGATGCTTTGCTGACACCTCCTTTTTTCTCTGTATCATATATACCACACTGAGGTAAAGATGAGCACATGCTGACAGCTTATAATTCGGGATACCACATGTAAACCCATACTTCAAATCATTTAAACTCAAACCTGTAATAATGCTTAGCTGCATGGTGGCTCTCTTCAGATATGTGGTAGATATAGGCTCCTCAGCAGTTTGTTCTACGGTCTCAATTGCATGCTCGAGACTTCTTATGACTTTGGTCTCAGTATTGTTCTCTTCTTCCAGTTCAACAAAATTCAAGGAGGAGAAACAATTGTGACGCAATGTAGACCGAAAGTCCTCATCTTTTAGAAATCGTTTTATATACCCATTTAGAATGGAAACTATTGCTTGGACAGCAACTTCATCAAGAGCGAAACTAGAAGCTATTTGCATAGCGTGATCTCTATTTTTATTGCTGCCATCTTCAATGTTTTTGCTATTAGATCTAGTGTACGAGTCCTCCTGGGATTTTATACTCTTTCTATTCCCACTCCAGTGTCCAAGCATATGATTACTGGAACTTCTGCTATGCATCTTACTCATTTTTGGGTCCTTGACTTGCTTTCCCACAAGTTCATTGAAATTCTTTTCTTTGCCTCTTCTAGAATTAGACACTTGGTCTGAATAAATATCTTCAACTATGCTATCTTCTTGCTCACTCACCTCAACAATCTCATACCTTGGCTTGTATTCTGATGAACTGTTATCAATTCCTTTGCCTGATTTTTTATCGGTTGAACGTTTCTTCTCAGTTTCATTCTTCAAACGTTCATCCATTTTGTCTCTTATGAAGAGGCTATCCCTTGGCCTCCGGTTCTTAGCAGTATGAGTATCACTTTGTAGCGGTCCACTTCTAATCTGAGATTGTGAGGCATCAGATTTTGTTCTGTGTGTTTTGATTCTTTCACTTGATACACAAAGTCTCTCTTCGAAAGAGTAAAGTGGCTCACTCAAAGCACCATTGTGGAAGGAAAATCTAGACCTTGTCACTCTTCTTCTTCCTTTGAACCCTTCCTCTGCAAGAAGCTCCTCCAAAGATGAAGCCATTTATATGCCGTCCCCAAAAATTAACCCTCTAACAAAAAAGTGAATTGATTTCACCAAATTGCAACTCTTCCTGTAGGCAAAGATCAGAAACATTCAAACTCAGGACAAATTATCAAGTTGAAAACTACATCAGGATATTGGAAGTGAAGTAAAAAGTGAAAAAGAAAAAAGAATAATCAATAATCTTAACAACCCTGATGGCTCTAAAATAAGTTCAAAATGAATTTCCAGGACCTTAATAGCTCAATATTTAAGCATGTTGCCATATCCCATTATGATGTGATTTTAACTAAGTATCAAAATGAGAGTAAAAAGACAGTTTACCTGAGGCTTTTTTTGTTGTTGATTTTGGTTCAAACACCATAAGAATCAAACTTGTTACAACTAACATCTGCAACACCATCAAAATACTGTCATATTAAAAACCGGGTATGCATGCAATACTGAAAACAAAAAGGGAAACTTGTGGGTTCTGTCTTCAGACAAATGAAGGAATCTCGGGAAAAGAGAACAAAGGAGAATGATGGAGTTGATGATTGGTGAAAGACCACAATATAAATTAATGAACTATAAACGAAAGGAAAAAGTGTGTATCACAAATTTAGTTTCTTTTTAAGCGAAAGAAAGAGATAAATTATAAGAGAGAAAATTGGTGAATTTTTTTTTAAAGACGTGGGTCTCACCTCATTGTAAGAGTGAAAAGATATAAAGTGTGTCATTTAAATGAGATATCTTTTTTCCATAAACAAAAAAATGATAGCTAAGTTGATGCATGAAAACTAAGTAAGTAAAAGTGAAAGTATGATTCGATATTTAAAGTATTGATCCTGGAATGCCTCGAACAAAATTAACTTACGTGGAGTATATATGTGATTTATTAAAAAAAAATAAAAAAAGTAATGAAATATAAACAAGATGATTAAAAAAACAAAAACAAACACAAAAAAACAAACACAAAATAGAGTGAAGAAGAACAATTGGAAACAAGTGAATGCGCATGAGTTCATTTGACAAGTGAAAGGCGGCACATGAGAGAGAGGAGAAGACTTTTGAGACAAAGCGAACGAACATGTCCAACATTTGAATGTTTCAAGGACGGTCGAAACTGTCTTTCCCTTTATCAATAGTTTTTGTTGTTGTTATTGTTGTTGTATTTGCAGGCCGTTTTGTTGCTTCGGAGTCTCATAATCATATGCATATTCATATTAATATGTTAACAATAATAGGAATAGGAATAGGAATAGAACTAATCACTAACTGTTTCCAACCGCCCCCTTTCTCTCTCTTGCCCCACCAAATTGGTTTTATAAATCAGGGAACTTTGCTCTGTTTCTAGGTGCCACATGGAAACATCAAAGCGCTAAGAAAACCATGCTAAAAAAATAATAATAACGAGACTGTTAATTGTTTCTATCTCCTCCTTTATTATTATTGATCCACTTTTGTATGATTATGATTCTCCACATGACATAATTATGTGAATTTTCACATGAGAGGATCCAGATTCACTCTGACTCTCTGAGTACATAACAAGAAAAATGCTGCATGCATGTCTTACATTTCGGAGCATTAGAATTAAAACCCGTTTTACATCTCTCTTTTTTTTCGCTAAAAAAATTTCTTTTTTAAATTAAAGCTACTTTAAAGCTATATTTTAAAAAAAAAATAAAAATTATTTGATAATTATATAAAAATTTTAACTTAAAAATTACTTAAAATTATTCATTTAAAAAAATTGATACAATTTTAAAAAAAATTCTCTTAGAAGTTTTTAATTTTTGATTTTTTTTTCTTCATTGTTAAAAAACTCTTTTTATCACAAAATTTTTTTATTAAAAATTATTTGACATAACTTCTACGAAAGGAGAAGTTAAAAAAAATATCTCTCAAACATGTACTTAGAATAAGGTGTATACGAAAAGGATAGGAACAAATTATAATAAAATGATAAAATTGTACTAATGTGAAGCATTATTGATAACTCATAAAATAAATACTATCTTTATCATTTATATATAAAAAAATTTATGTAACCTTTTATTCTTGTGTAATGTAAATATTTACTCATATAAGATATCCCATGTAGGGGAGAGACCCTTGAGAATAAATGTGTTGATTTCCATTTGGAGAAAGGTTCTTGGAGAATGACTGCGTACTTCAGAGATATTATATGATATATTACAAATTATTTTACTCATAAAAGTGTTTTCACTTTGCGAAACATTATCTCTGAACGTATACCTCTTTTGAAAATAGCCCAAACTCTTTTCAAGGCCATACAAAAGAGCTACCTTATTTTCCTTTGTCTTTTACCAAAGCGAAGGTTCACACACCTTAAAACATTATTCTACATATAAAAGTGTGCTCGCTTTGCAAAACTGTAACTCCTAGCACATACCTCCTTTGAAAATGGTCATATTCACATATAAGGCTCAAAGAAGAAACTTATTCATTTTTCTTTTTATCTAACCAATCAAATGTTTAAACATCTAATCATATAGTCTTTAGATCGTATAAGTGCTCACTAGCACAAACAGTCACTCTTAAAACATACTTCCTTTGTAAATGGCTAAAAGGCACATAAAGGAAACCATGTCAATTTCATGATTTCAATGCTTTAATCCATCAAATTCAAGCTTATCATATACATCTAATCCAAGATTCATTAACATATTCATGATTTCTCAAGGTTCCACAATTAAAGCACACAAACCTCAAAGTGGCATCTTCACAACCAAGGAATTCTTCAACCATTTAACTCCTACACTCTCTTATACATACATACATACATACATATATTCCAAAGCCTACACATTTCAAACTCATATTTCCCCTAAGGTCGAACATGCATAGGAGAGGAGCCATAGGATTTTCTTTTTATTTACACAATTCAAACTCTTAGAATATATTCTTCCCTACTTATAACTCAAAACTCCAAAGACAAGGCATAATCATTAAACCCTATCATATGTGTTGTACATGCTTTTCGCTTTTGATGCATGTACATTTTAGTATTCAAGAATTGTTATGAGATGAGGTATATTTTGATATGTGGTGTAATATATCATGTGAATTAAAAAGGAAAAAGAATATTTTAAACTATTCACAGATGAATTCGGACATTGTTTCCGAAAACATGCTCAGTGAGTCATTAACTGTACAATTTTGCACGCAAAATCGTAAAACTTTTGAACTGAATACTTTTGGTCTAAAAATGACTTGTATGGCATATGTTGGACTTGAACATACTTTTAGAACTTTTTCAGGTTTCTAAACTCTACCGATTGCCTAAACGGCGGTACAAATATTCGACAGAACACGTTTTACGAGATTTTTGCAAGAAGTGTCAGACTACACAATTTTCCATTCTGAACTCATATTTGACATCAGAAATCCAAATTAGGTCTCTAACATCATTCGGCTCATTTCCGAGCTCTACCAGTTTCTACACAGCAAGGAAAAATACCCGGCAGAAGTCATTGTTCATGACCTAGTCATGATTACAGTCTAAATACTCAAAATCACGTTCAGAATCTAATTATGACATTCAAATCCTTAAATTAAATCTCTAATTAAGATTTACTAGTTGAGGTCATTACACCGGTGAGCTACCCCGATATATTATTATAATAAATAATATATTTTGTTTCGACTAGATAACATGAAAGATATAATTATATATGGACTGAATGAATTTCATGACTGTTTTTTATCTGATGAAGGAATACAGAATGATACATTTATAGTCTCAACATTTGGACATATTTGAATTTGAAAAGAATACATTTTATAATTATAAATGAACCAAGTCAAGCTCAGGCCTAGCCTTTAATTTTTCATAAACAAGTCAGTCAAGCCCAGAATTTAGCTCGTTCCAAGCTAATGGATCAAACCAGACTCAAAATATTTTTCATAGACTTGACTCGTTTAATCTAAAATTTGACTCAAGTCAGCTCATTTACATCCCTACGGAAAGGGAATACAATTGAAAGGCAAGAGTTGATTAAGAGTTTGGGTTGATCCACCAACTCGTAGTTAGTCTCACATGCAAAAGTACATTAGCTTTAAACAAACACTAGGGCTATCAAAAACAAAGAAAAGAAAAAACTTGGTCTTCAGCGTCATATAATTTTCAAATAAATAAATGAATTAAGTGTTCATCAAGATTATATACCACATTAAAAAAAACATTAACTTATAACCTACACAAATAAAGTGGGAAACAAAGGGATTGACATTTAGTACAACTCTGTTGTGGAAAACAATCTCCAAGGCTGCTTGTGCTTTTGTCCTTTTGAGTTAATTCAGATTTGAATTGAATCATCTCATATTCCCTCTCAACATTATCAGAGAAAAACACAAAAACAAGTCTAATGCACCCTACACAAATAATGATAGGCCCCATTATAATTAATGTTGTCATTCTCTCAAGGAAGATGAGACGTTCCAAGTCCCTCCAAAGATGCATAGCAAAGGGCCCAAATATCAACGAACAAGACCAAAGCGAATACGCAAGTGTCAGATGGTCAAGGGATACGAAAGGTGAAGCCAAATTTAAATCAAAATTACTTTCATTGATGTTTGACAATAATAATAATAATAATAAAATGCTGTAACGAAAGTGAAGCCTAGAATCTTTCTCATTCCTAGTCACTACTAGTTAGAATTGTTACAGAAAACCTTGCTGAAGCTGTTAGTGCAACCAGAACCAAGGATTTTATTTAAGAAACTATTCCTTGTTGCGAGAAGAGCGCTCCTTCCTTTGGCCTCCAAGAATACGAGAAATTTGCAAACCTCTGCTGAACGCTTGGTTGAACAGCATACGTGTTTGAAATTCTGAAACGAAAGGAAACCAAGCCAGAAAAGCAACAGGAGTGAACAAAAGTAAACCCATGACAATCTCGTAACTGCGAGCAAGAGTTTTTACTGATCCCCAAAATCCAGCTCGGCGTACTATAGGTTTTAACGCTTGTGCAATCTGCAAAATAAAATAACAATGACAAAGACAAAGAGAAACCTAAACCACAAACAAGTTGAAAAAGATAATGCAATAGTATAATTATAATATATCTGCCCCATGATACTAGACAAGAAACAAAAGGGAAGATGAATAAATAAATAAATACACTTAACTAAAGACAGATTATATACAAATATTACCCTAATTTGATATCTATGAAATTCAAAATCAAAAGTTAATGAGTTCACAAGTCCTTCCAGAAGTTCAGAGTCTCTGGCTAACATTCAGAAAATTTTCACATAGATGGGGGATATAACATGATCCGTGATGTTATGCGGGCCCTTTACCCTGCCCGGTAGTCCTTTGTAGTTCCCGATTTTTCACAAATAAATAACTAAATAAAATAATTGGGGATATAGCACACCTCTCCAAAAGAATATGCATTAGTTTAGTAGGGAGGGAATGGAAACAAAATTCACCTGTAGCATTCCCCAACCAGTTGGCATGAAGGCGAGAATGCAAACAACAATATCCTGCAATGTCATATGTGGAAGAGCAATCAAAGTAACAAGAATCGAGACAAAAGTTAGGAATATCAATCCTTTGATTAGTCGGAAGACAAGTTGAAAATTTGCACTGAATTTACGCCTCCCAATGGACACCGTCTGAGACAATGAGGAAAAAAAACTGAAATTTGTTAGACCATAAGAAAGTAGTGTTTGTACTTTGTAGGCAAGAAAATGAACAAGACCCTCCTTATCTTACTAAATTCAATATAAGAAAACTCCTAACACACAATGCAAAGATGAGCAAAGGCCCCATTGAGACAATATATTGCATCCATTGTGTAAGCATATATGTAAAATTATAACATGCCCCTACAAATAATTTGTACATCGTGGAAGCATACATGTACAATTATAAAATGCCCCTACAAGATACAGAGCAGCTTGTTACTAACCTTCATGACAAACAATATTACTAAGATCACAAACCACGAAATGCCATAGACCTGTTAGCCAAGGAAAGGATATCCATTATGCCATTCAACTCACCAAATTGTGGTAACAGAGATAAAAAGGTAGGAAAAAGGGAACATAACTTAAAACTTACCATAAAACTTTTTGTGCCCTTCTTCGTAATCTTTAAGTGATAAACGAGACCATACTGGTAGATAAAAAATCGCAATGATAACAATATCTCCACTATGATTCCCCGTATTCCTGAATATTGGAGATGCTCTTGTTCCTCTTCCCACCAAGATTCCCAACTTTTTTCAGGTGGTACACCTATACCTCCTCGGTTACTAATCCATTTATTCCAATCAGTCCAATCATCAACAATTTTCTGCCATTCAAACCCAGAGGGATTGAACAAGAAGGGAGCAAACAGCCAGGTGCCCACCATAAACCACATCGATATGGTAATCAAGACATAAGCAACTGCAGTTCTGTACGTATGACCAAATATTTGATATACAATAAGCAATGTCATGAGCTCAATACCCTTGACAAAGTGGCTACGGGAGTAAAGTCTATAATTATCAGCAAACTTAGCATGGAAAACCACAAACCCACGTCCTGTGGGTCTATATTTTGCACCTCCATGAAGTAGTGTCCTTCCAAAATAGTGAGTCTTTGTCCCCAGTGAAAATGTGAAAAATACAGGGGCCAGCTGCAACTGCATTAAGATGAACTCACTGAGTGCAGTTCGGAAGCCCCTTTCCAAGCCTATTTCCATCAACATGGGCAAGGCCATTAAAAATCCAATTTGAACAAATGACTGAGAAGCCAGAGCCACTTGAAGAGGCTTATTGTCTCGAACGGCTTTTTGTGTACTCAAACCTTCTTCAAGCCCACTGAGAACAAGATAAAGGCGACCATAGAGGAATACATAAACAGTGAGAACGGTTATCTGCACAGAATTGAAAAGGGGGGAAGGCTCAGAAACCCATTATATAAAATCTAAAAAAATATGACCATAGAATTTTTAGTTCACATTGTACCTCCCCTGGTCTTTAAGATCAGGGAGCTGCTCTGGGTAGGGGGTTCTGTCCCCCACCTGTCATTTCCTATTACCAATAGGGCTCTTCCTAGTTAATTTTAAAAAATAAAATAAAAATAAATAATATGCAAGTAAATGTTAACTCTGGTGATAACATACAAGAGTGCTGAAATAGAATCCAACAGTGGTGAAGTAACAGGACAGCATTCTGAAGAAGTCAAAACGGTGCCCAAGTCGGTATACATCTCGACTTAGTGTTTGCTCTCCATTGCCATTGGCTATCTTTGCTTCAAACATAGAAATCTGGTTGAGACCCACATCTCTTCCCTTCCCAACTTGTATGTATTCATGATGAGTAACATTTCCTTCACGGAGTGTAGAGTTGAAGCCTGGAAATAACATAGAAAAACTCTGATGAAAATACAATCAAATACAAAGCAAATAAAAAGGAACTGGAAGACACTGTACCAGCAAAAATATCTTCACTCAGATTGATAACCTTGGAGGCTTTACTGACACCCCCTCTTGTAAGGTGAAAAAGCCTATCAAAGACATCAGGATGACCATAGTGGAAACGAACCCTACATGAGCAGAAAAAGGGATGCAGATTATACATTTATTTTTATGTACTCAGTCTGCCCAAGAGAATGATAACTTGGACTTCCAGCAGAAATCTTATGTATTTGTAGAAGATCAGAAAGATTATTTTCCAGATGTCAAATCTCTAATTCCTCTCTAGAATCAATTAAGAATCAATTTTGCATTTCATCTTTATTAGGAGTGATTTGCTTCCTTATTTAACTCACATGTGGTGTATATATATTTTAACCTGTTATTATTGTAATACAATTCAATATTCAGACTATCAAGAGCAGGTTTGATTCCATTGTCAAATCGGAAGCTCCCTCTTCCAAAAACCATCACCAACCAGTATTTACCACAAAAATCATACCTAGAGTTCCGATCATCAATGTAAAGGAACCGGTCGACGCAAGAGAAAATTTTCAACTAGCGTTTCATTCAACGAAAATCATACTTAATAAACTCTTATGTTTCGTTTACGCTTTTACTCACCCCTACCGTTTTTACGTAAACTCTATGTTTTAACAACATTGGTCATCAGCCTAATCCTATCTATAGAAGCAAATTCAATATTCAAATTCCTATTAAAGGAAAAAATCAATCACTAATTAATAGGAAATAAAAGCGGAAAAATTCTAATCCTAATTTCCTACACAAATAAATATTTGTAATAAGGACAATCTACCAATTTCTAACAGATTTAATATTCGGTTTCAATTTAGTTTTAAGAACTTGCTCTCTCTTTCTTTCTCTCTCTGTCTCTCTCTAATTTAGTAATTCTCTTAGAATTAGAAAGCAGTAGGTTTATTCCAAATTTCTGTCCATATGATCCTGCACTTGGAAAGAAGAACCAGTAGAACAAATTACCTCAAGGGATTAGCCAACAATCTCTGACCAATTGTCACGAAACTTGTTTCTTGATTTGACATGAACCATGCAAGGGAAGAAACACTAAAACCAGAGCAAGACAATAGTCAGAAAAACAACGGAAATTATAACTTGTAGTTGCAAACACACCGATATGGATTTACCTTCCAGTAAATATATGCTCCCTAAGTCCAAGAATACTTGGGAACCTCACACCGTCATGCTTCTTAAGAAATTCTTGCAACAAATTTCTCATTTTCAAAGCTTCTTCCATATAGTTATCCTATAAAAGATACAACTTAATCACATGGTATGATGAGACCTTATAATGATGAGCTCTTCTTATATGACCATCGTACCTGGTTCATATCTATTGTTTGCAAGCCTTCTCCACGTGTGAAAATTATGGCATGATTCTGATTTTCAGGCTTACCCTCACCCAAAATCGCTGGTCCAGGTAGCTTTATTTTATATATGACCTGATTAAGACAATCAAATTGAGGATTAAGTAAATATTAATGGATGTTATTACGAAGTAAATAAATGATAGCTTAGACAACATTTTGTATCAAGAGTTGTATTAAATTCTATAGATACAGTACGCAACATTTTTTCCTATCTCAAATTAAATAAAACAAACAATTGTTTCTTTATATAAGTTAGAGCGTATTTAATTTTATTCAAAAAAGTTACTAGAAAGTAAAGAGGGACACCATTGTTTCTTCCTGGCTTGAATTAACTAATACAGAACCATTGTTTCTTTATAGAAGAGTTTATTTATGTTTATACAAAATAAAATTTTATTTGAAAGGAGAAATTTGAAGTTAGATGCTCAAAGCTGAAAAATATATTCCTACGAATGACTAATTTCTATCAACATACTCCCCAATCGAACATCTAGCCCAAGCTCTGATTAAGGGAGGCTACTTGGAGTATGGGCACGCAGGGTATCAGCACTCAGTTTCCGGATTCTAACCTAGTAGGAAAACTGAAGAGAAAATCATATACAGGCTTCATTTACCAAAATCCAAATACCTGGTCCAGATTCTGCTCAGGCTCCGAAGAATTACTGGATTTTGGCATAGCCTTCACCAAGCAAGAGTAGTAAACCTTGTTGATCTTTTTCTGTCTACTGTCTTTGATAGGTTCCTCCACCTCATCAATATAGGCAACTCGAAGTGAAGGATATCTGCCAAATGAAAATATATAAACCAATTAATAACCACAAAATATTTTACAAATTTAACAAAACAGACACATTAGGCACCAAGACTAAAACTCTTGAGCCTCTATTAGAAATGTAATATATAAAATTATTAATGTGACATTCACTTTGTTGAAATATATAAAACCATTAATGTAGCCTCACTCAATAGCTTAAGCTTTTGGGTTGAATTGGTTCTTTACATGGTATCAAAGCCTCGTGTCCCAGGTTCGATCCTCGCCGCTCCCCACTTTCTTTCAAGTGGAATTTCTTTGTTCGCACAGATAGTGGACCTGTGCATTGTCCACCCTTCAAGCCCAGTGGGCTCTTGTGTGAGGGAGCGTGTTGAAATATATAAAACTATTAATGTAGCCTCACCCAATAGCTTAAGCTTTTGGGTTGAATTGGTTCTTTACACACTTAATAACTTAAACTTTTGGGTTGATACGTGGCGTTGTGCCTCTAGAGCCATTGCCCACTTTTGGTTGGTAACCCCATGAATACTCGAAGAAGCTTTTGCTTGAGAGGGAGTTGACAAATTATAGCACTCACACAGAGGGAGATTCTTCAAGCATTCATGGGATTATCAACCAAGAGTGTGCAAGTCTTGGTTTCAAACATGGACCCAGAGGCACAAACCCAAACACTAATCACCATCTTCAAATACTTGGCCTAGCTAATAACCTAGCTAGCACAGGCCAATCAATCATTAGCTCTAATACCACCGTGAATGTGTTGAGCAATAATCCACCACAACAAGTAACAACGCCACGTCTCAACCCGAAAGTTTAAGCTATTAAGTGAATGTCACATTAATGATTTTATATTTTATATCTCTAACACACTTTCTCACGCAAGAGCCCTTAGGCTTGTTCTGCGCATAATACACATGCCTATTTTTTTTTGGTTTTCCTTGAGTTGATTTTATCTTACTTTTTTATTTTTTATTAGAAAACGGAGACAGTGATAATCAAACTCATGACCATTTGATCACATAGGCTTTGATACTATGTAAAGTGTCAATTCAACCCGAAAAACTTAAGTTGTTGAGAGAAAACAAATGAATGGTTTTTCTATTTTATATTAATATTTCTAACATATCCCCTCACATAAGAGCTCAATGGTCTTGAAGGGTGGACAATGCACAAGCCCGCCTACTTGTGTTAAGAAATTCCAGAATTAAATATTTATTAGAAAAATAAGAGTGGCGAGGATCGAACTTAAGACCACTTGGTCATAGATTCTGATAGCATGTCACAACCTCCAATGCTTACCTTGTCATAAGCCTTAATATGTCATGTGCACGAGCAGCACCAGATCGCTTGTCAATGCCATATTGTTGGCATGATACCACGTATGTGAATTTCATATCAGCTACTGCTTGACACTGAGTCCGCAATGACCTTTCCCCCGTTGAGTTATCATCTGAGTTTTCTATGACTTTATAACCTTCCATCAAGTCTGCCCATTTATATCAGCCAAAACCCAACAAAAAAAGCTACAAGCTGTAAGTTTCATTAACTAATAAAGTGACAACCAAAGTACATGCAACTAAAGAAATTCCACTTAATCATTATAGAGAGAAGGAACAGTCACCTTCATCTTTGACCATATCAAGAAAAGCTTGGAGCTCCAAAGCTTTTCTATAATACATCATACCTCTTACTGCATGAATAAGAATACTTCAGTCAATTGCAACTTTAAGTGACATTCTAAACTCTCGAGGCTAGAAAATAACTATATAAAATAAATACAAAAGCACTTAAATTGTATATGTGCATGCATGCTTGTTCGTGAGAGAGAGAGAGAACCAGTTCTAGTCAAAGTTTGCCCTCTATATGATGCCCAAAGACGAAGTTCTTCTAACTCGTCGGATTCATTCCCTTTAAGTTCCTCCTCACTAGAGCACTTCACTCGCTCAAGAAAGTTGTTCCACTCATCTGTGCATCAATAACCAAAAAGATAACAAGAAATGCATTAGATATCCCATCCAATTTTCACAATTATATAGCAAAGAGATTTAGGGGTAAAATTGAACCTGGAAAAATCTTTTGCAAGTAGAACAGTATTGAAACACCATCTTCATTCGGTGAATCCAAATCATGTAATGAGAAGAGAACCTCTTCTGTATAATATGGTGTTAAAACCCTATAACCAAAGTCCACAACAACCAAAAATTAATAATAAAAATGTACATGCACCTAAACTGATAGGGATTTAATAATTTTAAACAAATAATTCTCAGTGCTCATGCCATTAAATTAATAATTTGAGTAAACACCCTTTTTAGTCCCTGGCAATATCTTCGAAGTCCTTTTCAGTCCCTGGCAATAAAAAAGGACCAAATCGGTCCCTGAAAGTACAAGAAAAGGGCCACTCTACATATTTGGGAGTTGACATAAGGACTAACATGACCCTTTTTTTGTAATTTCAAGGACCGATTTGGTCTTTTTTTATTGTCAGGGACTAAAAAGGACTTCGTAGATATTGACAGGGACTAAAAAGGGTATTTACTCTAATAATTTCAACGGGATACAATTTAAAGCTGAAATACAATAAAATAAAATTATGAAGCTTTTAGCCAGACACACTATGATGGATAATACAACTTTGTTTCTTTCTTGTCAAACCTCCAAAAAAAATATTATCCGTGAGAACTTCTTCAGAAAACTAAACATTCAATTCAGCCACGCCTTTCACAATATTAGAATAGCCCATAAAATTTACAAACTAAAACTTCTGGTCACAAAAGTACTTCACAGAATTTAAATCTTGAATGTTTCACATGCCAAACTGAAGAGTTAATTATGCATACTGTGAAAAATAAGCAAAATCCCACAGAACTTTGAATCTTCAGTCAACAAGAATGCAAGAAAAGGAACAGGTTAAGATAATGCAAATTGCAAATTGGGAGGGGATATTTCCTAGATCTATGATACGTAACTGAGTCAGAGAAAAGGAAAATTTGGAAAGGGAACTTGTATTAATCATATTGAATACAAACACGGACCCAATATAGCTATTACACTGTAGTGTTCAAGGAAAACTACAAGAAATGGAAAGGAAAATTACAGAACAAACAAAAGTTACAAGACTGGGAATTAAGAAAAATGCAATATTGATATCCAAAACAATTTGAGAGGTTCTGGTTCTCTCCCATGAGCCCAAGAGTCACAACTTTCCAAGATGACTCCAAATGATTCCTATAACACCTCATATATTTGAAATGAATATTAATAATTAAATTGTGGGTTAGAGGGTATGTTTATGGGAAACTCCGAGTTTTAAGTCCAAATACACACGAAGGGTAAAACGGTAAATTGACAAATGCGTAACCCTGATAAGTGAGATGGTAAAATTAGACCTCATTTGAGAAAAATAATACTGGAAATGGATTCAGAACGAAATTTGGAGTGGATAGGCAAGTTTCTGAAAAATTGATGAATAGTGATTTTTACTGGATAAAATACTGCCGTGAAAATTCCACCGAGTAAACCAGAAACAAGATTACTGATCTAGGATTTGATTATATGCTGAAAGAGGTATATAGAGTTAAGAAAAGTGATTGTTCGAAATATTTAGTGAATTTTAATGGTTTTTGGAAAAACATGCCTACAGGGCACAACTGGGGGGTAAAATTGTAATTTCACCAAATTACCGGGAAACTCTGGAGTCACCTGTTAAAGTATAAGTAAAGGACTTTAGTGAATATTAAATTTTTTATTTAATGAATGATTCATGAAGTAATTGGAGATTAGTGGGTTAAATGAGTTTAAGTGAAAAACCGACCAAGTGGGACCCATCCCACTTAAGTGAACTAAAGCCATATGTGCTTAACACTATTTAGTCACCTCTTCCACCCCCAATTTTGTCCAAAACCCGCGGCCATCACAAGGTATAGAGCAAGTTGGCATTTCAATTTTCCTTCATCAAATGGCTTAGTATCTTACATGAAAATTTAAGTAAAACACCTAGTGAACTCAACCCACACCTCCATTCTCCTTGAAAACCTCTACATCTTGAGATATCTCTCCTTGAAAGTCACAAAAATTTGAAGAAAGTGGAACCATTGGTAGTTGTTGCTTAATTGGTTGCTTGGAAGTCATTCATAAGGGGCTTAAGCATTGATTTGTGGTAAGTTTCCATACCTTTTCTTGGATTTTCCTTTGGATTGAAAATGTGATGACCTAAGTGTATGTGTGAGTTGATTAGTTGGAAGCATGTAATGGTAGTGTCTCTTTGGAATTTAATGCTCACGATGATGAATGACGATGATTGAACCAATAAAAATTATGGTGATATAGTTTTGTAACTTAGACAATTTTTGGATGGATGAATGTTGATTTCTTGTAAAACAAGTTATTGAGGAATTGTGTAAATAAGTTATGGATGACTTGAATCATTAATAACAAGGTAAAATGAGTGTGTAATGCATGTGAATTGGTTGGAAAACCTTTGGCCCCTTTGATATGCATCTTCGGCCTTAGACCAATTAATTAGGAAAAATGGTGCAAAAATGTGTTAGGACATATAATCACGAGGTGTGGTGTGTGGATGACTTGGTTGATGATCTAAACAAGTGCCATAAATCATTGGAATGTTGAAAAATCACTTTGGACTCCTTTAAGGTAACCCTCGGCCATTATAGTGTAAATTGGGAGAAAATGGTGCTAAATTATAATGCAGAGTAAATAAGGATTGTAATGGTATTGAAAAAGGTTGTGTAGCCATAGAGATGATTGGATGTAATTAAAACACATTGGGTAACATTTTTGGGCCTTGTGGCCGAACCTAAGGTATTGATGGGGGGATTGCATTGTATTGTTTTGTTGTGACTTGTTGGACAAGTTATTGATGACATGGTTTGTACGATCATGTAGATTGTCTCCCTCGAACCCAATCGTTGAGGACTGACTCTTGGAGCTCTTTTGGGATTGCCTTTGATCCTTAACCATAAGGATTTTGGTAAGTGCAAAACTCCCTCTAATGTGTAATTGCTTGATTGTGAATCATGATGATCCAATTGGTAATTGAAATAGAATGACCTTTTGTTGTAGGCATTTCGTGTGAAAGTGAAAGTTTGGGAGATAACTTGTGGTGGAAGCTATCTAGATTGGAAGCTTCTACAAGGTAAACTCTTTGTCCTGGGGTTAATCTTTGTTTGTGCTCCACCACGCCCATTGGGGTAGTGATTGGAATTTGTGGATTGTAATGGTGTGTAATATGACATGCTCATGCATTTTGACATGATTGTTTGATATATGTTTTGATATACCTGTATCTCTGGCCAATAGATAGATTTGTGGGGACTTCCATTGGATAGGTCTCTGTAGGGAGTTTCCATTGGTATAATGCCATAGTGCTGTCTTCGTTTTGGGAGCGGTACTAGGAATGTCTCGGGAGTTATAAGATGGGTTCCTTGAATTATATCCAGGGAATATGTTCTTGGAATTAGGCCCATTTTGATTGATTGATATATGACTTGTTATATGTATATTATTACTGCTTTGCATTTGTGTGAGTCATTGGGTGGAGTGACCCTCCAAGACCATTGGTTTACTGAGATTGTCAAATCTCACCCCGCGTTATAGGGTTTATATTTCAGGTACCACTAGTGCAGCTGGAGAGGCATTGGGCAAGAGGCCTACTTAGGACTTCATTTGTGGATTTGGAGTTGCATCCGCATTTTGGGATTTTAGAGTGGTTTATTTATTATTGCCTATATATATTCTTGACTTAATGTATGAACATTTTTCTTGCATGTAGGATATTGTCATGCTTGGTTGTTCATGCTTTTGTACTAAGTCAAGTAGTTTTAATTTTAGTATGGATTGTATTATGTGAAAGTAGCGAGGAATTGTAATAGTTATATCATTAATGTAGTAAATTCTATTGCATCATTTAAGGATCTTGTGTAATTAAACATTGATGTATATGATGAGAAGACAATAGGCTTATTCTAGGTAATGATGTGATTTTGATTATGGTAAATGCATGAAAATGGAATAATGTGATTGAAACAGATAGTAGCTTGTAATATAAGTATGATGGATAATACCTTGGAAATTAAGTAATGATCTTAGTTGTTGTATATTGTGGGTTGTAAGAGCACCAAGGTTTGTTGAGCTTTTGTGTGCCACCCTATGGTCAATTAGGTGCCTTTATAAGAAATTGGAACACACTTGTATAACTGGAATTAGTTAATAAAACAAAGGAGGTGCTGTCGAAATTTATAAGAAATTGGTCCGATTTTTACCTAACTTTGGGAGACCATACCTCATTTTAAAGCCTAGGATGTCAGCTATACTGACTTAAAATTTGGCGTCTTTTCGAGTTGTAAAACACCCTGTGTGTCGCAATGAGTGATGGCTGCCCAAAACTAGCCATTTGGACCTGCATTCGGGTCTGGGATTCAAAAAATTCTACCTCCCTCATTTCTTATTAAAATTAGGCTTATGATATACCAAATTGAAGGTCTAGGTGTCTAGTATACTGTATAAAAATTTGAGAGCAATCCGATCAGTGGATCGTCTGGAATTCCAGGAGCCGTGAGGGATGTTGGTGAACCTGTAGAGCTGTGTTGACAGATTTGAAGGATCAACTTATAGCGAGAACTCCGTTTGAGGCGTGTGATACCTTGTTGGAAAGCTTGAGGAGTCTAGTTTAACATAGTAAAAGATGGAAAATTATTAGTGAGTGGATCACGCCCAGTTTTGTTTAAACCGAGGCATACTCTAGTTTGGAAATTATGTCATTGAGTATTTTGCTTTGTTAGTTTATGGGAATCACCTAACAACCTTAGATAGGTGTTGTGTGATAGTTAAAGCATTAGTATTTATGTTTCCGCATTAGTTTTGAGTTACGATCACAGTTTGTAAATTGTTTATATGGATGTTTTTATAAATGCGAAGTTTTGTAAATGTTAATAAAAAGAAAAAGTTTTCCCATATTTTTAAATGAGCCGTTGTGATTGTAATTGTGTTTACTATCATAATTAATGAAAACACACCGGTCCGGGGAACGGGGTGTTACAATTCCCCCCTTGCTATTAATAACCAGTTCCGTAAGATGGGTGTGACTCTAACTACCCAATTCCCATCTTACTAATTCCCTTCTAACCAATTGCTGCTAACTCAGCATTGGTAATTGGAAGCTGCAATATACCCTCCCAAATCTATTATGTGGCACATCCATATCAATCTATAACTTAACTGATTCACAAATTTCAACAGGAAAACATAAGATTTGGGACTAAAAGAAAGCTCACGAGAATGAAAGCATGTTGCGAACTTTTGGTGCCACAGGCATGTCCATAAACAAAGAATTTGAGAAGAAAGAAATACGCCTTCTTGCTTCTAAGTTAGATGGTACATCCATTGCAGATTCTTTTGTCGTAAGTAGCAAGAAAAGCCGATTAATCTAACAAAAAATTAAAGAAGTCATGAAAACGAACATCACCATTCAAACTTTAAGCAGAAAAAATCAATTGGTAACAAACCTTCTCTGTCCAAGCTGGCGTCAATGGTTCAATTGGAAAATTGATAGCTCCTTCAGATGCAAATAACTGGTGCCGTGGCTCAGGCTCAAGGGGAAGCATCCCCTCATGTCCGTATCCTCCATGGCTTGAATCTACCAAACTATTGAAACAATATGATACAATCATAATCAAGGGGGGAGGAAGAAGATGCTTGTTAAAGAGGTAGAGACATGGGGATATATGCATGCATCACCTAAATATATGATCCTGATCCTCCATCATTATATCTCTTGTCACAACCTCCAGCATGTCCTGGAATAAAATCACAACTTGGTCCCTATCTTTCTGACTATTTTCCAACTGCAATAATTTAAAAACCAGGGTAAGATTTTGACAATCACTCTGAAAAGGAACTAAATGTACTAAACAGATGTACCTAAAAAAAGTACTAAATTGAGTAAAAGAGTGCTAAAATATTACCAAATATTTTATTAGCTGAACAAACTGTCCATAGAGGCTAGGAAGAGCACTCATTTTGAATTCAGATATCAATTTACCCGCTTCTATATGTTTGTCTACTTCATCGAACATGTACTCTATAACCCTGAAATGAAATATGCCAACAAAGTTAAAAGGAATTAGATAAACAGGAACGTTTTATAAGTCAGTTTGAACTTGAAAAGATATATCATCAAGAGTGATAAAGCCAGCTCTTCCCCATAGCATTTTATCAAGTGGCCTATAATCACTTAACATTTTGAGCTAGGCAGGAATATTACACTAGACTATCACTCAGAGTACAACTACATCAAACTGCTTCAAGCGACTTACGGTATCTCCCGTGGCCCTTGAACCATTTGGTTAATAATGCTCTTAAATGAAGCATAGCACTCACGGACAGCACAAGACATGTAGTCGTCTGCCTCAATTCTCTTTCTCAGCTCTCGATCCTTTCCATTGCTGTCCTTGGCCATATCTAGTGCAATTGGGATCTAAAGAGCATATAGCCACAAATAGAATTATTCAATGATTTATGGAAATGAAGGTAGCTAGGTCTCAAAAAGAAGTGACAATAAAAAAAGAAAGAAAGAAAACCTTGCTAGCAAGTAGAAAAGGGGGCCATTGTATAAGGTTCAACTGAGTATCAGCCCAATAAGGAACAAGCAAAAGGTCCATCTCCCTGAATAGTATAACCATCAGCACACTACTGTAGAAAAAATCCAGCGGTCCAGCAAGAGAGAAAGCAGATCAAGAACCAGAATACTAAACCCTCAAATTACCTATTACTAATAAGATCTTCCTCTCTGAAACTAGTAATTATTTGGTTCCACAATTGTGCAAACCTTGCAGGTTCCTTCCCTTTGTTTGATGGGATCTGAATCGATCGGCCAAAATAATGTTATCCAACAACAAGATGCTCTAATTTTATATCACAAGCTCAAGTGATTATAAAAGTAAAACAGTTAACCTCAGCAAATCTATGAGAAAAAGCGGCCTTTAATCCTTTTTTCTTTGGCTCCTTCGTTTCCTCTGGAATCAAACTGGCATTGAAGGCACCAGGCAATGATTGAAAACGAGACCTAAGCATTCCTAAGGTCCGTATCTGAAACCAAGATAAGCAGCTAAGATGCAGAAAAATAATTATTGTTTAAGAGCAAAAGATATTTTATTCAATAGTCATTGTTCTATGCATGCAAGTCTAGAACTAATCAAGAGTTATAGTGATGTAGACTGAGCCCATCTTTATTTCTCCTCGCATACACCTTCTTGATTGGGGGCTTTCTAGTAACATGATTATGGACAGATAACATTGCTTTTAGTGCTGTACTGCCCAAAAGTGAAAGAAAATTTGGAGAAGCGACAGGAACAGAGGAAAAAGAATAAGCATATCTATTATTACAGCAACAATAACTTCAACCTTCTTAGATTTCCCACCAAAGTATATCCACAAAATAAAAACAAGAAAAACTGAAGATCCATAAGAAATCACTACGTCAGTGATCATTGGAGTGAACAATCTACTAACCTCCCCAAGGCGACGGAATGCACCATAAATCCCACCAAATAAGGTTGAGAATATGGCATACCAAATTTGGGTATCCATAAAGTATACCTGAGAAAAGAAAGGAGTTATATGATTATGCTACAGATATAAATAACATGATGTGAATCAGGTATGTCATAAACCCTTACAAGAATAATTGGAGCCCAAAGTGCAACTACAACGCCAATATTGTTCCTAGCTGCAAAGTACACAACCACTTATAAAAAAAACTTCTAAGAAAATGAACTAATACGAAAGCCTGAGCATTCAACCTTATTACCATGGGGAAAGAATTCATGCCACTGGAAAGTCGAGATTTTTACACTCATTATAGCTTTCGTAGGTCCCACCAGAGGTTTTATCTATAGAAAGAATGTAAGAAAGTTTAAACAAGTAACAAAAAGTTGATAAAAGAAGAAATTCACTAAGATAGGAGAAGATTACAGAGAAAATGGAGGATACGAGATCCCAAAAAAAAAAAAAAAAACATATTCATAAACACAATTGTGTGAAACTGTAGAAGTGAATACGAATAAGCAAAAGACAATCACAGAGTCATCTGAATGAAATGAAAGATTTGAAAGAATATTCCGAGTTTCAGAAGGAATGAAAAGTTAAAACGTATCACCTCTATATAGTAACTGAAAGCCAACTTCGTAATTATAAGTAGGACCCAAAACACCGTGTACCTGATGTTATAAAAAATGATACATTAATATCAGATGCATAGGAATATTACACCATTCACAGGAAAAAGAAACTTTTCAACTTTATATTCTTACTTGAAAATCGAAAATGAGCTCTCCTGCATTCCCCTACCAACATACAGACGAGGCTGACAATTGTAAAGCACCGGAAACATCAAGTATGAACATAAATATCACAGTAATAATGGCACAAAACTGTTTCTAGGTGTACCAAATTGGAAAAAAAAAAAAGGATGAATCACTGCCTACCTGTGACCACCACATAATTAGCATCACAATCCTGTAGTTCGACCTCTCGAGAAAACGACGAATGAATGGCATCAGAAAGAATATCACAGCGATCATATTTGGTGACAGGTAAAAAACAACAGCCAAAATAAACAATGAAGGCGAACTTGAACCACTTCCAAACCAACTTTTGATGATTTGAGCAAACCCATGAGGATTATCCCATGAATACGCATAAGTAACTGACAGAACAACCACCCATGCTGCAGCTGCAACAACTTTTAGAATGTATCGTAACTTGACATAATGTGACATACTCTGGTGTGCTTTCCAACTTAGGATTACATCAAGAACAGCTGCCAAGTGGGAGGGGAGGAAGATTAACATGAGTAACCTCCACTTTCTGAAATGAAAGTATTCCTAAAATATACATTTACAGCAGGAAAAATAAAAACATAAAGGAAATAGATGTTGACTTCTTATTTTAATTTTCATGAAACCAAGTCTTAGGGGTACATATTATATAAGTGCTAATTGCTAAGACAAGGAGACAAGCCATTCTTATGTGTTTTAGAATAGCTTCCCATAATGAAATTTTGATCTGAATCTTGAATACTGCACCTTCAATTTACCACAGCACATACCCAAACAACTAAGTTGTTCAATAAAATAGTAACAAGACTATGACAAAGTATCCAATCACACTGAGGAAGTTATAATCAGGAATAGGATACTATTGACAAAGATCTAAATATCTAACAAGACAGAACATAATGAATATAGAGCATGATGACTCACTTCAAAGTCACATAATGGTTACTTTAGAGGTGTTTCAAGCTGAACTGTCTCAATTCAATTGGAAAACTAAATGAGTTATACAAGCGCAATGGACCCCGTAATGGGTTGATATTACACTGATGCATAGAAAGCACTCAAATAAAGCTATAGTATGATAATAAGGAAACTGCTTTGGGTTTAAATAATTAGTGATTATTGTAGTGCACTTTATGTGCCATTTGCTCAACAGAGCTATCTCTCTGTAAAACATAGAAACTCCTCCAAATAACTATTAGCAAGTGTACAACAAAAAAAAAGGAGAAAAATCCTGACTGAAATAAGATGCTCAGATAAAACTTTTGTTCAAAGACACTAGCTTAAGCTTCCTTGCGAGAATGTATCCAATGAACTCCTCAAAAGGGTTTCTCTTTCTCCTCTATTATGCTTGCTTTATTTTGCCTACTTCAAGAGGATATGTTATCCTTCAGTTATGACTTTTCCCTTCCTATAAAGGAACCCTTATTTAATAAAAAATAAACAACCTATAAGCATTGCTATAGTATTAAGGATACATTTTGTTTAAAATCATTGAAAGCTATAGCAATCCGAGAAGAATGCTCCTCCTACAGGATATAAAATAAAATATCAGATGCCTGATGACCAAAATACTACGGTCTACTGATTCTACCTATTGTCTCCACTCGTCAATTCCACTTGCTTTTTTCCTCAGTTTACAACTGCCCGCTCTCTTTTTCTATAAAGCAGTTCCACCACCCCTTGAAACCATAGTTGTCAATTCCAGATAGCAACACAGTGCAGTCAACCCCAGATAGCAACATAGGGAATAGCAGGATGGCCGCTATATCGAAGATTATGTATAAAAATGTAATTTATACTATATACATATAAATGCTTAAAATTAAAAAAAATACCATAATTAAAGACCTATTCATCATTAATAATATCAAAAGTCATAAGAGACATATTCTAGATACACAATCACCTTATATCAAAGGCATAATTAACAAGTCAATAACATAGGGCTGTGAAAAAAAAAAGTACAGATAGAGGACGTTATGGAACTGCCAAAAAAAAAGAGGCGGTACAGGTGCAGAGAATGGAGACAACACACTTCACAAACAGAAGGTGGGGTGAGAGAAGGGAGGCTCGGGGTCACGCCTTGAGAGAAGGGAGGGACACAACGGAAATGACCAAAAAACCCTAAAAAACTAGGTGGGTTGCGTCACAAAAATGGGGGGAAAGAGAGGTTTTTACCCGCCTGACAAAGTAGCAGCCTCAATTTGGAGCCATGGCATGGTGCATGATAGCACGACAAACCAGTGCAATTAACTAACCTGCTTGAAACTTTAAAAGGGACTGTTACGTAGTTAACCAAAAACTTTCACTAATTTAATCTTACTCTGGCAGTTACAACTTTCACTAATGTACAGCACGTAAGGTCAAAGTAGCACATTAGGTTACTATGTCAAACGGAAACACAGTTGACTAAATGCAGAAAGGACGAGGCATAGTCTCAAAGTCACAAGTTAAGCTGCAATATCATAATTGGATATTGAATTATAAGTGCAAATAATATTGGCTAGTACCTACCTTGGCCAAACTTCAATATAGCTGCTGTTATAAACACACTTAAGACATTCTTGAATACATCACCATTGAAGATTACACTTGGATCCCCAGATCCATTCCAAGCAATTATAATCATAGCCTAATGACAAATTAACCATTTTCAGGGGTAGATCTTATTTTGCAAAGGATTAAAAGAAAAATAAATGCTCACATGGAAGGAGAGAGCAATAAAATGCAGAAAAGATTTAATACCTGTAAACACAGAATGAAAAAACTCCACATGCGGTCAAAACTTCTGAAAATGTGCCAAAATGACCTTATCTCAACAAAATTCACTTTCCCAATCCCTCTGTCTCTGTTAGCTGGCTTGTCATCCTGTACAAGTTGTAGCAAGGCTTAAGATGCAGTGGCAGATATAAGTTTCGGCAGCAATGACTGGCATATACACTACAAACAATTCACATTATTCATAACTAAGCACAAAAGATTTTCTTTGCATTTTCAGCCAAAGTTCCAAGTATTAAGCAAATGATAACATGATTTTTCTTTTTGATGGAAAATGGGCATATCGAACCAGGAAGTAACCAGTATATCATTATATAGGGAACCGATGATTGACTCTGAGTCAATTTTGAAAACAAATCTAATCTAATCCCTAAAATACATAAACTATCAGATAAAGGGGGAAACAAGAGATAATTATCTTAAATACTAAAACAGAACATGATAGAATCCTCATCTCCTAAAAAGTGGAACTAAATTATCAACATCCTTAATCGTAGGAAACCAAGTTGGTGACAATTAGGAAACAACTGGATTAGGATAAAGGCCAGCTGTATGGCATGAGGGTCTGCAACAATAATCTCTCACTTAAAAGATTTTGGGGGAAAACTAAATGCTTATGGTCAACATCAGCATCAACAACACCTTTATCCCGAATAAGTTGGGGTCAGTAGTCAATGAACTCAAATAAAAAGCAAGCTTATCGTCAACATATGAGGAGAAAATCAGAGATTATTAATCAATGCTTACGTTAGATTTGTCAATATGTAGCTGCTCAGCTGGCAGACAAAAGAAATCAGCATCAGCACGCATTGGCCAACCTAACCGAAAACAATCGGCAGACCTACAATTATGACGTTAAAAATGAATTCATAGACAGGTATTAATAATGAATACTAGAGAAAGTTAAAAGAAATAATTATACCAGAAATATTCATTTAAATCATCATAGTTCCTCCATTGTGAATGCTTTGACCTTCCCTTTTTGCTTCGTCCAGCTTCCTTTTGAGCCAAGAAATATCAATAATTTCATTTTATCAATATAAAAATGAAAGAAATAAATTTTATATGGATGTGATGGCCACAAACAAAAATGAAGGAAAAGAAGACAGTGATTAATGTTAGAATAACCTTTGCAATCACATCATAAATAGGAGTGACCACTTTCCGTAAGAAGGCCTCCTCTTCACCTCCATATGCTGGCTTGACATTCTCTCCAGTCATTGGACTTACATTACCAGCAAGCATACCATACAATTCAAAAGCCATCTACAGAAGCCATCATGAAAAGATCCCAAATGTTAATATTCAACAAAAGTGGTAAGTTACCATCAAAAAGTTTCATTCGACACCAACATATAATTATTTATAATAGGCAAAGGTGATAATGTCAGAAAATGCCCAAACCATAGGGAGAACACATCCACACATATATGAGAACTAAATGTTCCAATGAAAATAGCCATAAACAGCATATTACGTATCACTAGGAAACAAAATGACAACAATAAAAAAATTTGTATCCTTTTAAACTCTTGTATGAATTAATTTTATAGAGTCGCTGGATGAGGTCGTGATGCTCTTAATTTCCATCCCGCTTAGGTTTAAACATCAAGAAAGTACAAATAGTTCTTATAAGTGCACTTTGTGTTCCTTCTTACTTCTCACAGAAATTATCCTTTTTAAATTTAAACTATTTTTTCATTCAGAAAAAGAAACATTAGATAAACCAGGAAAGTACAACTAGGTAGGAACAATGAAGCTATTTGGTAAAGATATCAGAATGTTTTGTACCTAAGACAATGAATTCACAATATCACAAGGCACAGCCAAATCAATATTTATAAAAAAAATTAAAAAAAAAATGTGTTTTTTGCATTATATAGATACAGAAATCCGTAAAGGAACAATTCCCAACTAGAAAGCACTAATACAGCTCCCAAATGCATATCAAACATAAACCACCACATAAGTCACAGGGTTAAAGCATGTTATTCAACAAACTTGTTCATATGAAAATATTACTTCAAAGGTTTAGACATGGCTTGATTACCTTGAAAATTTCATGTAGTGAAAAAAAAATTAAAAACCCTTGTACAGTTATGTCATTATCACTTAGCAACCTATGGTTTATGAAGTGTCATTGTTGGGGCTCCATTATCACTTACTCTCTCTATTTTGAAACAAAATGTGATATAGTGCCAAAGCAACTAAGGGTTATCCAACAACTGGTCCAAGGGATCGTGCACAACAGTTCAAACATGGGTTTTTCTTTCTGTCAAAAGGTTTGGAATCAATGGGAAAGTGAAGATCAAAGGAAAGAGGACTATGGAGAAAAAAGGATTACCCAAGCAAAAGAGACAAAGAAATGGTAACAGGAAAAGTTTGTTATTTTCGTTCCAAGGTGAAAACTGTAAAGAAACAAGCTGATGCATGCGCAAACACACAAAATATACAGGAATCAATTAGTTTGAGAATGCATCAAAACATTTATAAAAATCAGGAAAATGGGAAACAGCAAAGATGACCCAAACATTTCTGGAAAAGTAAATAAACATCATAGATTGGTTGAAGTTACAAAGCATACATTATGATATATATAACAAAGGCATTCTGGCATGAATCTTAGGTTGGCAGCTTCACCCCATATTAGAAGATACAGACCCATGTATAGTAGTTTGCGCTGCTGCATTTCTTGCTGTATGGTTGGTAACCTGCAATATGCATCCACGAGGTATGTTACATGGAGAACTGAGACATAAGAGTTAAAACATGCTACAAATAAAAACCCAGACACTGAATCAGAACTCACATATCAATTTAAATACCCACACACAGATTTAACATAATCATAGTGTAAAGCAATCAATTCAACCCAATAGCTTAAGCTATTAGATGAAGTTCATATTAATGGTTTTTTATTATATTTCTTTAACACTCCACCTCACACAAGAGCACAGGCTCATCTACCTGTGCTAAAAAACTTCACAATATCTAATTATTTATTGATAAAATAGAGGGTGCACACAGATTTAACATAATCATAGTGTAAGGCAATCAATTCAACCCAATAGCTTAAGCTATTACGTGAAATTCATATTAATGGTTTTTTATTATATTTCTTTAACACGCCACCTCACACAAGAGTCAATACAGAGAACCACCTACCTATGCTAAAAAACTTCACAATATCTAATTATTTATTGATAAGATGAGGGACAGTGAGGATCAAACTCATGATCACTTTGTCACAGTAACTCTGATACCATGTAAAGCAATTCAACCCAGAAGCTTAAGTTGTTAAGTGAAGATCATATTAATGATTTTATAATATATTTCTCTGACACACAAGTTAAACTGTACATCTCCAAAGAAAATAGTTTCAAAATCTTGTCGCTGTATAGACTTAAACAAACAGCTCCTAGTCAGCAAGACAGTAATTATATTATCTTTCAACATTAGGACAACAGAAACACTCACCAAAGACTACTTTTCCGATCCAAATACTTGCACCACTTTTTATAATTCTTGAACAGTTTCTTCATCACTTCTAACAGTGCAGGCTCATCCAACTAATCAAACAAAATTTACTAGTCACAAGCAGAACTGGCACAAATTACAGTATGCATAGTGGTACTAATGAAAACTGAAAAGAAAAAGATTGGGTTTGGTTTATGTTCCGTTTTCGTTTTCATTTTCATTTGATATGATTTTCACTAATAATTACTTTTCATTTTGTTTCCCATTTTCAAGAATTTGCAAAGGAAAAATAGTTAAAACAACAAAATCTGTTTTCTGTATTTCCTTCACAATATCATGGAAACAGGAAACAATATGAAAATAATGTGGCACTTTAGTAATTATAAACGAGAACATATCAACTGAAAATGAAAACAAAAAACAAACCACAAACACCACCTTACATTGTTCCCAAATGAAGATACATTGTCATCAGAAATAAAGAATGGAATGTTTATGTAACGTGCAGGCCTTGTGAACTCCTTAAAAATGAAATTCAGCTAAAAGGCATACATTTACAGCCTGAGGAAAGAAATAATTTGCACACATCATCATCAGTATTAAATGCTTCTTAACAAAAGAAATCACCATGCATCTTAACAACAACCATTAACACTGCAACTTGAGACATTAGTATTAAATGCTTCCCCCACCCTCCAACCATAACAGAGTGCATTTATATAAGAAGTTTTAGAGAAGCGTTAAATTTTATGTATTAAATTGAGCATGACAGACAGAGCCAGCCTTCAAGATTAAACTGTAAACAATATAGTAAAAACTTCAGATGCTCCATAATATCAGAAACAGTAAAAAGGGAACAATAGGAGAAGCAAATGCTGCATAGTAGCCTCTAACATAGGATCAACCAACGAAAACACTTCTTCTGTTTTCCCTCATTTTTTCTTTTCATGTAAAAATATTAAACAAAAATAAACAATTCTTTCTGAAAAAAGTTAGGGCCTGTTCGATTTCTATTTCTAAGAGCAGTTTTTAGTTTTTCGAACAAAAAAATTAAAAAAATTGTTTGAAAAGTGTTGTTTTGTAAAAATACCTTCCCAAAACAATAGCTGTTTTTTAGTTTTTAAAACTAAAATTGGAGAACTTAGAGATGTTCTCAAAAATTGTCTTTTGGTTTTGTTGTTTTTGTGGTGGCAATTTTGTAATAATGAAATTTCATTAGTGGCATTTTCATAAACAAATCCAACTTTTTTTTCAATTTTAAATTGCTCTACGATCGCATTCTTGTAATTATGAAGGTTCATTAATGACACTTTTATAAATAAATCCAACTCCTTTATAACTTTAGATCCAACTACATTAAAACAGTTTTATAAATAGATTAATGACACTTTTTATTTTAAAAATTTACAAAACAGTTTCAAAGAACTAAAAAACAAAATTAATTCAAACAGACCGTAAAATTGAAAATGTGTGTAAGTACTTCAATTAAAAACTGACCTTTGGCTGCTGATCAGGCTTTGGAAATTGTCTTATGTGAACATTAGCAAGCAATAAGATCAAATGCTCTCTCTGATTTGCAACATTGTGCTTCTGCATTTTTGTATAAATTATATATTAAAACCATGAGGAGGCAATGAAGAAGTTAAAAAAAAAAAATACAAGACTGTTCAAACAACTAAATGTTGCAAATATAGAATGTATAATTTAATAATTCTGATATATTTCATTTTTTATTCTATTAGACAGATTATAGGGAAGATATGTGACAGATTATAGGTCTGATTTACTCCTTATTTGTTTCCCTATATTCAGCTCTTTATTAGGATTATTCACATATTAGTTTATACACCATTTGTAAATGACCATTCAAGTAAATAATATTCAGAATTCCAAATTCCAACTACAAATAACCTCACAGATCCAGATTGTGTTTTACCTGAAATCCAAACATCGATCCAAGCCAATCTAGAATGTCTTCATCTTTTTTTTTCTTGTAGTCCTTAGGCCAGGGAAGACCCCTAGTGTTACGAAGAGCATGTACAGTAGCTTGGATCTATAAAGAAATATGAATAAGTATTCTCTTAAACACAAGGTAGCCAAAATTACAAATGCCTCAAACTAAAGATCATGCCTCAGGAAATTTCATTATAGCCTGATTTGCACTATCAGGATCAAGAGGAAGAATATTGTAAGGGACTAAGATCTCAGTCTTCTCAGCAACTTTATCTTGGGTCTCCAAAATCTATTACAATGGCAATTGCAAATAAATCATACGTATAATGTAATAGCCAGTAAAAATGTAGCAAGTTATTAGAATATGGATTCACATATAAGGGAACACCAATAAAAAGATAACATCTTAGGAGCTATAAAAAAATAACCTCGCGATCAACTTCCATAGATTGGGTCACGTTAACAGCCTTCAAAACCTCGAAAAGAACATTAGCAGTCTGATATGCCTTGGTAAGCTGTGCACTGAAAGAAGAGACAAATTATTAGTCCTACAATAGCCAGAGAGCATATCACATTGAAGATTATATAGAGACTCTACCGGTCAGCTTTATCAGCAGCATTTTGTAAAGCTTGAATATATTTTTTGTAGTAGTGCTGATAGAAACTCTGCATCTCACGAGCATCACTTTTCTTTACCCTTCCCTTCAGTGTTGGATCATTTTCCTAACAATGATGGAACAAATTGACAATTATGTAGAGAGAGAGGCTTAGCATGAAATAATTTAAATTAGTATAGAGGAGCATTAGAGGCAAGTGCATTTCAAGATGGCAGGCAGCCCATATCAAATATAGAAAACTTTGTTTCCTCAAAAGACCGATAAAGTAATGCAGAACTTATACACGGACAACAAGCAGGAAGCATGATGTTAAGTGCATGTTGCAGAGGCAGAAAAAAAAAATACGCATGAGAATGGTTACTCTTTCAAGGCGTTGAAGAAGGGCGGTTTTGAATTGGCGAACACCACGACCGCTTGAAGTGGGGTCCAACCTATGAGCTTTCTCAAAGGCATAAAAGCGGCCTGCAAGATTCAAGATCAGGAAACTTAACATGCATCCTGATACCAAACAACAACAACAACAAAAGTAAGGATTGAGAACGGAACTTGAACTTGAACTTGAACTTACAGAGATAAGCAACTCTGGGATGGGTCTTCTCGATTTCATTAGCAACACGAAGAATGGGTGCAACCTCGACGAGAGAAGAAGGCACAACTTCACTGTCAAATATGGACTCTCCCAGGTTCCCAGCAGTCTGCGTCCGCATGATCTGCCTCCGCGGCGGCGGCTCCGAGGGCCCCGCCCCCCTCGAAGACGAGGACGACATTCCGATCAAACTGTCTCTCTCTCTCTCTCTCCTTTCTCTTCCTATCCTGTTATAACTATACATACAGCACAAACAAACGCAAAACACGAAAAGAAGAATCAACGGTTAGAACAAGGTGGTCAATAATAAACAAAGAGAAGGACTAAGCTGCATTGCATAAATTATCTATGAGATAGAAAAAGTACCATCCGAGAAGGAAATAAAAGCTAAGATTCTGATTCTGATTCTGATTCGAGAATATAGAATATGCAGTGCACACTGCACAGCACAGCACGTAGGTAGTTAAGATGCAGCAGCAGGGATGGAATGCGATGCGATGATGGCTATTGATTGAGGAAACCCTAGCAGCCCAAATGCAGATGCAGAGGCAGAGGCAGAGAGTGGAACTGCAAGCTACTTCGGAGCGAAGCAAAAGGTTGGTAATAACAAAAGAGAGAGAGAGAGAGAGAGAGAGAGCTCAAGTTACTATTGATGCTTGCTTACGCAGCACAATCACAGCAGACAAAGACACTTTTATTTTCATTTCTTCTCTTATCTTTTCTTTTCTTTTCTTTTTTGTGCTTCTATGACTGTGGGGTGGGGTCACACTCACAATCTTTTGCAATTTCGGTGTGTCAAAATGGACAACATTTTCCTCCATATAACGCTCTTGCCACTCTTATCATGCTTCACAGCTGAAGTGCTGAACTGAACTTTGCTTTTTCAAGAGTTAACTTTATTCTTTTATTAGACCAATCTTTCTTAAGAGTTAAGACAGAGAGAGAAAGATTCCAAATTATATTTTACTAAATCGATCTTATTATATTCTTTCATCGGTGATCTCTCTTTACCGCAAATTTCACATGGCTCATATTGGATTTATTTATTTATTTATTGAAAGAAATATTCTTATTATTAAAAATATTCACTATCATTCTACTACTTCATAATTACTACTGGATTAGAATTTTCTTTTTCTTCAAAAAAAATTATGTTTGTTAATCCAATTTATTTCTATATTCAAATAGCAAAAGTGACTTGAAGAATAGTGTTTTTAATAAATAATATGTATTTGATACGGTTAATATATTCTACGATATGTATATTTAATAAATAGAGTGAGAAAAAAAATCACTTCTATTTAACTTGTGCTCCCATATAATTGGTTTATCATGTGAAATATAAAAATAAACCTATTTTATAAAATGTTATATCTAATATTTTTGTGCCCCAAATTGAGAAAAAACATATACTTTCTGAAAACGTTGAGTGCAAACATTTTGTGTGCTTAAGAACCTTGGTCGAGAGGGCGTCTGTGTTCGCCCAAGAAAATTGTGACCAATTTTCATTATATATGCCTATTATTCTCCATCATCTCCTCCCTAGTTATTTCTCGTGGAATTGGACTGAAAATTCAAATTTCAATTCAAATGCACGGTCCAATATAATTAAAATTAGGAATTCCAATTTTAATTCAAATACTAATTTCATATATTTTAGGGTGTGCATGACAACCTTCCCGGAATGAGTTTTTTTTTAATTTTTGTTCTCAGGAACAAAAATGGATGAGAATTGCGTTTGATAAAATCGGTTTATTTTTTTGTTCCCGGGATGAACCGGTTTTTTTTTATTCTGGAGAACAAAAAAAAAGAATCAAAAAATTTCTACTTTTCTAATTCTGGGCACAAAAAGAGAATCAATTTTCTCTCACACTCTCACCCACGCTCGTAATTGTCAACCACAGATACATGCTTGCTCAACCTCGTCATAACATAAATAGAAATTTGACAATTCTGGGCACATAAATTTCTCTTGATAATTCTGTGATTCTCACAATTCCTCTCATGTGCAACCTCGTCACAATTCTGGGCACATAAATTTCTCTTGATAATTATGTGATTCTCATAATAACTTTATCATTAACGCTCGTAAAGGACGGGTTTGGTGGCGCTTGTTCTTTTTGGGGTCATTTTGATCTTAGCAACTCAGGAAGCACCGATGAACGAAGTGGATTCACCCAGCACCGCAATGCACGGGTTCGTCGTTGGCTATTTCAGCATACCAAAACAACCCCTTTTGAATGGTTACTCTGTTTTCCACTTACCAGAACAACCCTAAACGCAATACCCAATGAAATTCTAATTCTCAGAATGAAAAAAAAACTGTATTAACAAACGTAATTCTGATTCTCGGAATAAAAATAAAATATGTTAACAAACATAATTCTGATTCTCAGAACTCTTCTAAAGCACATAAATAAATAAATAAATCATTTTTTTCAGAAACAGTGCCAGGAATTAGAATGGTTGTCATGCGCAGTCTTAATGTTGTCAAAATCAAGTGTCTGTGTGTAAATAGAAGAAAATAGTAAAAACATAAATCGTAGAATCGACATAAAATATAAAAATTTTATTTCTTAAGATCAAGATATAGAATTATATATATATATATATATATATACTCAAACAATTGCATAATAAATTATATAAGTCACTGTTCAAACAATTGCATGATAAATGATATAAGTTACTACTCAAACAATTGCATAATTATTTTTTTATTATGCAATGGTAAAAAGATATATTCAAATTGGGGCCTTCCAAAATATCTATCTTTATAAAGTTAACTTTTCAAAAAATCTATATCAAATTGGGGCCTTCCAAACTTTAAAACATGGCCTGAAAGAAAAAAAATTATAAATATTGAACATTCAAATTCGTTTTTGAAAACAGTCGAATGAAATGGCACACTTAGAAGCCAAAAATCAAGATGAAGCTTCAAATAACTATCCTCGATTTTTATATATACAGATAATAATAAATCTTGAAGCCTTGACTTAAGAAAGTATCATCGCAAAACCTAAAAGAGTTGGTCTCATTTTTTAAAATACTTGGAGGAAGTGAAAAAGGATGGCTCAGCCTGAACACCAAGATGAAAGTTTTGTACCCAAAAAAAAAAAATGAAAGTGGAAAAACATTGTGCATTCTGATTTGGGGAAATATAATTTCTTTTGTTTGAAAACAAAATCGAATCGTGGGTTAAAAGTTGATTCGATTCAATTTTTGGTATAAGTAAAAACATAAAAATTTACATTTTCATCATTTTTATGGGGCTTTTTACTGCAAATTATTTCTAATTATATTTTGACACGTATTATTTTAGTAAAAACATATATTTATACGTTTTTAGTCTATTTTTTACAACAGTTATGCATCTATCAATATCTAAAAGAGGACATTATTTTTTCTTTGCTCGATGGTTTTTAACTATTAAAGAAGAAAAACAATTTCCACTACACTAAATATAAAAATAAAGTGTTTTAGGAAAAATATTTATATATACAAACAATATAAATTAATAAATCAATGGATGAAATTTTTTAAGTGAAATGAAATAATTTAATTAATAGAATAACTTATTTTTTACCTCTTGAGGTTATATGATCTATCACTTGATTCCAATATTGTGGTCATAAAATATTTTTCTTAATCTTTATATTATATTATTTTCATATTATAAATTAAAATTAAAATTAAATTATATATTAATGATTAAAATAAAATTTATATGTTTATAAATTATTTTAAACATTATCTTAATTAGTATTTAAAAATATGAATTATTTATTTATATTACACTAAAAACTAAAAATATTATTTAACATATGAAAATTAATAATGGAAGTTAGATAGCTCAAAAAAAATAATGTAAGTTGAAGAACGCTGCTCATGGAAATATTTTTTATGCTCTAAGACCACCCAATAATTTGGTGCTTCCTCTCACAATATTAATTTTTTCTTTTCTTTTCTACCCCTGTTATGTTTCCTCTTTCCTAATTTTACCCTTCTATTTATACTAAGGGGGTGTTTGGTAGGGATTTTGTTATAGATATCTAGACAACTTCTATTGATATTTCAATTTAACCATATTTGGTACAACACTTACAAAAATTTAACTAGGAAAATTCATTGCCCATCCATCTTGATTTGTTAGTAAAATTTCATGAAAAAATACTATTCCAAAAATCCAAAGAAGAGGTGGTATTTTGAACTTTACTAGGGAAAGAAAAAAAGAGGTTGAAATGAGGGCAAAATTGACCCTACTCAATCTCTTTCTTTTGTGGAAATTCAAAAAGTAGTGTGGTTATTTTTGTAATTTTACCCATTTTTCCATCAATATTTTACCTTCAACCAAACATAGACTTGAAAAATTTTAATCAATTTTTTTGATAATATTTTGTCCTACCAAACGACTTTTTTTCATTTTTACCATCAAACTTACTTTTTATCGTTTCCCCAATAATTGTATTTACCTGGTAAAAAAATTTTCTCCTCTATCAAACACTCCTTAAGGATCACCTAAAAATAGTGGTCCCGGACGATTCTCTCGTTGCTCATTCAAATTTGGGGAAATATGATTTTTTTTTTTAATAAAATCGGATAGTTGATTAAAAATTATCTCGGTTCAATTTGTGGATATAAATAAAGGTTTTACACGTCTCCTTTTAGGGAGAAGTCGCGAGATTCCCACAAAATGAACAAAAAATGGGGATCACTTAAAAAAAAAAGTAAAAAGTGAGACACAACGTTCGAACTCTCAGCAACGCAGAATAAGTGACTTCTCCTTTCACAAAAGAAGTGATTTTCCCATAAATAAAAATGTAAAAATTTACGTTTCAACTATATTTAGGGACGTTTGGTATGTATGATTCTTTAAGATTATTGAGAAACTGAATTTTTTTAAATTTTAAATTTACAAATATTATCATAAACTGAATATAAAAATCATATTTTAAAAATTGATATTCCCGGCAAAAAAAAAATTTCTATTTTACCAAACGCTCCCTTACATGTTTACATGGCATTTTTTCTAAAAATTATTTTTACTTACATTTTGACACATATTATTTTAATAAAAACATATAATTTTATATTTTTAGTCTCGTTTTTTACAACGGTGATGCACCTATCAATATCTAGAAGAGGACGTTATTTTCCTTTGATCAATGATTTTTAACTATTTTAAGGATGAAAAAAGTTTATATTACACTAAATATAAGAAGAAAGTCTCTTGGGAAAAATATTTATGGGATAACAACTTCTCATGTTGGTGGAGAAGTTGTTATTTTGCAGCTGACACAATAATTAGGAGAGAGAAAAGAGAAAGAAGTGAGAGAAAAATGATTGAAGTGGGCTCCGCCATTAATGTATCTATAACATGAGAAAACTATTCTTCTTTGAAAGGAGAAGTATAAACCCCAATATTTATATATACAAACAACACAAATTAATAAATCAATAGATAAAATCTTTTAAGTGAAATGAAATAATTTAATTAATAGAATAACTAAAATTAACTTAGTATTTATTTTTAATTATAATAATTATCAGATAGAATATTAACTCTTTTTTAAAAAACATTTTTATACACAAAGCAACGGAAAATATTTATATTTTTTCACGTAAGAAAAAAATATATAGTAAAATGATAACAGTGTATTTTATTGGCCATGACATCTACTTGGACGTAATAAAAAAAGTGTAATGGATTATAGAAGTTTACCCCAAAAAAAAAAAAAAAAAAGTGTAATGGGAAAGAAAAATTAACATTTTCAGATTTATTTTTGTACCCCCGTTATTTTACTTAATTGTGTTGGAATCCCAAGAGTTGCAATTGTTGTTCGATGTTATCTTCTACACATCTCAGTCCCTTCTTCCATTACCATCAGCACTTAGCAGCAGTGAAGACGGTAACACTTTAGCTCAACCTGTCATCAGGTTGACTTCATGTATCTCTCTCCTTATTGTTTATGGACTTATGGTTTGGTTTTGGGGATAAAAGTTTTATTACCTCTAGGATTAGGTTGAAAATTATTGAGTCCTTCCATTGATATGCTTATGTGAAGCTATTGTTGATAACTTACTTAAAAGCATGCCATTTTTTAATTAGCTTCACTGTTGTATTATTCTGTAAATTTTCTGGATTATTGATATACTAATTGGGAATATGGGATGGCAACAAAAAAATTGGCAGTAATCCCTTTGAAGTTCTTCACAAGTGTTGACTATTTGTCCTGTCTCTTCCAATTATCAGAGCTGGCTAGGCATTTTAGAAAGCTGTCTACTCTTAGTCTTGTGCATGCCCCACCCACTACATCATGCTTGCCCGTTGTAAACATCCAAAACCAGTTCAAAACATGCATAAAAGAAAAAGAATCCATCAGCTATTATGGCATCCATTTGCCCCTCACAGACCACCCTAACCCCCAAGTTTCATGCTTTCCTCAAAAGGGCTTCTCACAAATCACTGAAGGAATTGTTGTGAAAGCATTGCATGCATTTTGTGTGAAAGGTGTTATTCAACTCGGTACGTTCTATACAAATACCTTGATTAATATGTACTCTAAGTTTGGTAACATCAAATATGCGCAATACGTTTTTGATGAAATGTTGGACAGAAATGAAGCTTCTTGGAATAACATGATGTCGGGGTATGTTCGAGTGGGTTGGTACCACGAAGCAATGCAATTCTTCTGTCATTTGTGTGAATATGGCGTCAGGCCAAGCGGGTATGTTGTTGCTAGTTTGGTGACGGCCTGTGATCGGTCAGGGTGCATGACTGAAGGGGCAATTCAGATTCATGGCTATGTCGTCAAATGCGGTTTGATATCTGATGTGTTTGTCGGCACTTGCCTGCTGCATTTTTATGGTACACATGGTCAGGTTTCTAAGGCTAACAAACTCTTTGAGGAGATTGATGAACCAAATATAGTCTCTTGGACTTCTTTGATGGTTGGCTATGCAGATAATGGGTATATAAAGGAGGTTCCAAATATTTATCAGCATTTGAGACGCGATGGGTTATACTGTAATCAAAATACAATGGCTACAGTTATTAGGTCTTGTGGAATGCTCGGAGATAAAACCTTGGGTTATCAGATCCTTGGAAATGTAATCAAATCTGGATTAGACACTAGTGTCTCTGTGGCAAACTCCCTTATATCCATGTTTGGTAGTTGTGATAGCATAGAGGAGGCATCTTGTGTATTCGATAACATGAAGGAACGTGATACTATTTCATGGAATTCAATGATTACTGCAAGCGTGCATAATGGTCATTGTGAAGAATCTCTAGGACACTTTTTTTGGATGCGTCATACTGACATAGAAACAAATGATATTACTATTTCAACCTTGTTATCAGCATGCGGCTCTGCACAAAATTTGAGGTGGGGAAGAGGACTTCATGGTCTAGTAGTGAAATCTGGACTGGAATCAAATGTTTGCGTATGCAATAGTCTTTTAAGTATGTATTCTCAGGCTGGTACGTCTGAGGATGCAGAGCTTGTATTTCATATAATGCCAGAGAGGGACTTAATTTCATGGAATTCCATGATGGCTAGCCATGTTGAGGATGAAAAGTATGCTCGTGCCATACAACTTTTGATTGAGATGCTCCAAACGAGAAAGGCAATGAACTATGTAACTTTCACAACTGCATTATCTGCCTGTTATTCTTTAGAAAAATTAAAGATTGTTCATGCCTTTGTGGTTCTTTTTGGTTTCCATCACAATTTGATCATTGGTAATGCATTGGTTACCATGTATGGGAAGCTCGGTTTGATGGCTGAAGCACAATGGGTGTGCAAAATTATGCCTAAGAGAGACGAAGTAACTTGGAATGCACTTATAGGCGGCCATGCTGATAACCAAGAACCAAATGCAGCAATTGAAGCTTTCAATTTATTGAGAAAAGAAGGTGTGCCTGCAAACTACATTACTATTGTTAATCTTCTGAGTGCTTGTTTGTCTCCTGATTATCTTTTGGAACATGGAAGGCCAATCCATGCACATATAGTTGTGGCAGGTTTTGAATTAGATACATATGTCCAAAGCTCCCTAATTACAATGTATGCCCAGTGTGGTGATCTTAATACAAGTAACTATATTTTTGATGTATTAGCTAATAAGAATTCTAGTACTTGGAATGCCATTCTTTCTGCAAATGCTCATTATGGGCCTGGTGAGGAAGCACTAAAACTTATTGTAAAGATGAGAAATGGCGGGGTTCATTTAGATCAGTTTAGCTTCTCTGTAGCTCTTTCCATTATTGGTAACTTAACTGTACTGGATGAAGGTCAGCAGCTTCATAGCTTGATTATTAAACTTGGTTTCGAGTCAAACGATTATGTTTTAAATGCCACGATGGATATGTATGGAAAATGTGGGGAAATTGATGATGTATTTAGAATCCTTCCCCAACCAAGAAGCAGGACGCAAAGGTCTTGGAACATTTTAATATCAGCATTAGCCAGACATGGGTTTTTCCAACAGGCTAAGGAAGCCTTTCATGAGATGCTGGATCTGGGACTAAGACCCGACCATGTCACTTTTGTTTCACTTCTGTCTGCATGCAGCCATGGGGGTTTGGTGGATGAGGGTCTTGAATACTTCTCTTTAATGACTACTGAATATGGTGTCTCCATTGGAATAGAGCATTGTGTATGCATAATTGATCTTCTTGGACGATCAGGAAGGCTTGCTGAGGCTGAAACTTTTATTGACAAGATGCCAATTCAACCAAACGACTTTGTGTGGCGTAGCCTGTTGGCTGCTTGTAAAATACATGGCAATTTGGAGCTTGGGAGGAAAGCTGCTGACCGTCTTTTCGAGCTGGACTCATCTGATGATTCAGCTTATGTTCTTTACTCAAATGTCTGTGCATCTACCAGAAGCTGGGGAGATGTAGAGAATGTGAGAAAGCAAATGCAATCACACAACATAAAGAAAAAACCTGCCTGTAGTTGGATCAAGTTGAAAAACAAGGTTACTACTTTTGGAATGGGAGAACAGTTTCATCCACAAACAGTGCAAATCTATGCAAAGTTAGATGAGCTGAGAAAGATGATTAAAGAAGCAGGCTATGTGCCTGACACAAGCTATGCATTGCAAGATACAGACGAAGAACAAAAGGAGCATAATCTTTGGAACCACAGTGAGAGAATTGCCCTTGCATTTGGGTTGATCAACAGTCCGGAAGTTTCACCTGTTAGAATTTTTAAGAATCTCCGTGTCTGTGGTGATTGTCACTCTGTTTTCAAGCTGGTTAGTAAAATTGTTAGTAGGAAAATCATATTAAGGGATGCATATCGGTTTCACCATTTCAGTGGTGGCAAGTGTTCTTGTTCAGACTACTGGTAGTGTGGATTGGATTTTGTTGAATGTTGTAGCTGAAAAATGTTGTTGAGCAAATTAATAGATGAAAAGTTCAATTTTGATGCATCGGGCTATTGGTAAAAGATTTTTACACTATCTATCAAACATATGTACAACGTCACAAATAAAATCCATAGTCAAAAATTGAAGAAGATGATAAAGAATTTAAGACATGTACTTTAAGGATTTGGGCTTGCCCAAGCGAAATCCGGAAGCTTGTGGAAATATGTTTTGAATCCAGTACTATATAATGAAATCTGAACTTTTTGAATATAAGATGTGATATTTATTTGCTTTAGCATTTTTTTAAAGCCCATCCAAATACCTTTCTTAATAATTTAAATGTTTTTCAAAAATATAGAATATTACTACTTCTATTTATTCTTTTGGTAAAAATAAGCATATTCGAACAAGGACAAAATTATTGGATTATCTAGGTAGGAATTATTAAATTAAAGTGGAACATTATCTAAGAATGAGTTTTTTTTTATATTTTTAATGTTCTAATTTTTTTTTTCACAATTTTTAAAGATATAGCATAGTGACTCAAAAACAAACAAGTATTAATAGGAGAAGAAATACTCCTAGACCCCAGCTACAGAATTATGTGTGTGATTAAGGATTGAGAGGACTAGGAGGCTCTCACGTTCCCACACAACACATACACTTACTAATTACAATTTTATCAATTACAATGTTAGGCTGGGAAAAGCTAAGAAATATTACAGAGTCCCATAATCATAAAGCAAATCATAATACAAAGACAATTTGATCTTTTGAAGGGTTTTATTGATGCTAGTGCATCCTGCTTCAAAAACTCTTGGAATTAGACAGAGTCCCGGTGGTCACAGAAAACCTAATCAAACCATTGAACCAATTTGTGAATATAATGTGGATTCATTGCTGGATCAGTAACCATTACTTCCATATCATTTTTGACACCATGTATGGTACATTTTATTTATGTGAAACCAGTAGATGTGACTTCTCTTTAGAGGTAGATTGGAGAGAGTTCACCCTTCCAAATGTTTTGCAGTCAATGAAACAAAAAAAATTCTGATGGTTCTTTTGTGTAAAAGATCATTGGAAATAAGTACCGCCATTGTCTATGTCAGCATTCCAGATGTACAACAAATGCACAGAACATGAACTCAGTGAATGAATCTTGAAAAAACAAAACCTAGAGTTAAGCACTAGAAATAAAGACTACCATAACTTTCAAATGTCAAATAAAAAATCTGTTCTGGTGGACTAAAATAGTTCCAGCATATTCTTGCTCTCGTTCATCTTTGGAGGCTGTTGATCTCCAGCATTCCCTTCTCTCTCACAATGGCGAAGAAGCTCATAATCCCCCTCCTTGGATGACTTGTTTGAACCCAAGTAGGTAGCATCAGCAGCCACTGCTACTCCAGGAGAAGCATCCATATTGATATCATCTTCACAGTCACTTCCAACAGAACTGCTCTCCTCAGGTGTTTGAGGAGAACCTAACAATTTTATGTCCACATCCACCAAAGTTGTATCTGCTTGAGGAAGCAGTTGTTGCAGTGGCACAGCATCACTGATAACATGGCTCATCTTCAGTTTCTCACGATAATCCTCCATTTCTGCTTTATACCTCTCTTTATCCTTAACAGCCTTCTCTTGATAAACCTTAATATCAGTGAAAATCAAGTAATCAACACAACATTACAAACAATATAAGATGCATGCGTGGGTTGTTTATGCACTACAAAATAGCCAACTCATAAAATAGTAATATTTAACACAAGTTCCTTACTGATCTTTCAGGCTCTTTTAATTTGTTCCAGAGTTCACCAATCATCCTACTAATATCCCTGTCCTTGGCTTGGTGTTGTAGCTTTAGTCTTGCATGCTGCTCAGCAAAGAAGAAATTGTATCCACTTCTGTTTGGTTTTGGATGAGCAGGATCTCTCCTTTTTATTTCTGATTTCTTCCTGCGACGACGGCGATGGACCCCCAACGAAGCAGAGGCATTGTTGTTCTTAACAAATATGCTTTGACCATGTGAGGCAGATGCAGGCAAATCAGGGATTTGTGGAGCCTCATAATAAAGTACACCTTGGAGCTTCTCTGAACCTACTGAAACAGAAACTAGATACCCACCTTCAAATTTCCCATCAATGACTCCAATCACTGGGGATCCTGCCAGAGACACTGGAGAACAAACAATACTGCTTATTGACGAATCATTGATATATATTGAGGAAAATTATCTTGTGCACTTGTTTTCAACAAAACTAGAGAAAAAAAAAAAACAGAATGGAACATAGTAGAAGGGACATATGTGAGGAATAGAAAGCCCCATCAATCAAATACCAATTCACCCTTTCCTTCTATTCATAAAAAGAATAGGTCAAACTGGGCCAAAACCTTGATAACATAATTTACAGTCGTCATGCACAGAATCTGAGTAATTTCTTTATAGTATATATCTGGTATAAACAAGACAAAATGATTCAAGTAATTCTCTAATATATCACTAAGAGGATTAAAAGCGACAAAAAAATCTTATGACTATTTATTATGGGAAATATAAGTATTACGTTGTAGGAATAAGATTTTTGTCCTGCAACCCATTTTTAACTACGTGCTCCGGGGAGGACATAATTATAATATTAAAGTTTTTTTTTTTTGCTGATATGAAGGAGAGAGAAAAGGTAACTTTAATGTTATAATTATGTACTCACCGGAGTACATAGTTAAAAACAGATTGCAAGACAAAAAGGATGTCCTGTGATGGACCCATATATTATATACTACTATATTCCCATTTTCTTTCTTTATTTGTGGTCAGCAACCAAATCTTATTCTGAGTTGAAGAAAGCGGAGACCTTCAGGTGATTCAGCAGCATTGACCCTTGACTGTTGAAAGACAGCTGATTGCATTCCTGGAGAAGGCTGCAAAAATTGTGTTCTTTGAGCCGGAACTGGCATGGTTGAATGACTCTGCAGAGTATCTGACAAAGTGCAATTTGCCTTATCGTACATTAGAACAAGCCCTGCAAAAGCTCATGTTCAAACAAGCAATTTCATTTAAATGCACATACCAGAAGTTGCAGGGGTCCATCGATTGGCCTTAAAATAGTAGATTTGTTCGTAGTGGTAAAGCAATGAAGTATAGTACTTCCGCAGCACATAGGAAGCATTCGTGGCTGTTGTTGGAAAATTAAAAACTGCAGTTACTTCTTTCCATCTTCTCTCTCTAATAAGCTGCAAGACACATTGTTAAAGATGAACAACATGTTCACCATCTATTTTTCCATGAAGAAATGATGATCTTGACAAGGCACCCAAAAAAAAAAAACCTATAGATTTAGAAGGAAATTGAAACATGTTAAAAACCACTCCCCGTTAAACCCTGACTAGTGAGTATGTAGTGAGGGTAATTCTTATGCACAGCCTTGACTTTGCTTATTTGCAAAGAGGTTGTTTCTCAAACTTGTGACTTTTTCGGTCACAAAGGAGCAATTTTACTATTATTTCAAGCTAGCACTCTTAAATTCAAACATGGTAGCAGGGAATGTTTAACAATTAAATACATTAGTAAAGATAATAGCAGAAGCAGTTATAAATAATCACATCTTACCTTCTCAATCCCTCCACGAGAAGTCACTTCAAGGAAGAGGCGACACAAGTCAAGTTCTTTTCCGCCAATAATTGGAATCCTGAAACAAAATGTCAGTTGCACATGGACGTTCTCAAATCTTCAACAACATAATAGAATAGAATCTCAGAAGTCACATCCAAGTCCTTACTTATTACAAAAAATAAAAATAAAAATAAATAATAACATCATTATATTTTTAAGAACGATAGAAAACACTTGAACCAGGTTCAAACTTTGCAAACATAGTCCTGGCTTTCGGTTTAGACTTTAGAGGTGTTTAAACCCACAAATAAAGTAACTTATGAGGGAATAAAATACAATAAGCAGAGCTAGTGACCATATGATAAGCAGAGAGCTTACATGAACTTGGTACCCATAGCAGCGTGAAGCTTCTCCAAGGTAAACATGAAGAGCTTGGGGTTTGTTGTAACATCCTCATATTTTGCAAGAGGTGGAGGATACAAATTAGACATTGGAACTGCTTCTTTCATGGGTATTAGGCTGTTGCTGAGACAAGATGTTGATGCCATTAACAACTACTCCGTAATTTCAGCCTTCAGCTTTGTCCTGTCATACCATCAACATCAATAACCTTAACAGGCGAGTCGGTGGAAAAAAAAGAAAAACAAGAAAAGGAAGGGGTGGAGTGAGAAGCAAAAGCTGAAATTGAAAGAAGAAAGACACCAAAGACAACAAGTTGAAAACTACCAAATATGTAACATATTCAGTGCATGTAACATGCAGAAGAAACATAGAGAATGTGTTCCCAGAAAGGGAAAAAAATTAAAAAAAAAAACATCACAATCACCATGCAGAAGCAGATTCAGGAGTGAAATAATCCACGACCCTGATAAGGTACACACAACCACCAGCCGAATGAAATAACTCCCAGTAAGAAGGGAAAAGCTGCGTCATTGCCGCCATGAATTCCTCAATAATATAGAGAATATAACAGCAAGAACCCATCAAAGCTGAGACCTTTCAAACAAAGGAGCTAAAACACAGATACCCTTTTAGCCTTTGATAATAAAAGAAAGCAGAAACTTGTTCACATTTGCCCAAAGAAAATTCATACAAGATTTGTTGTTGCACTCTCAGGGAAAAGGACAATAAAGAAAAGATGTTAATGGAAATATAACAATATCTTTTTTAATTTAAGGTGTTTTTGCTGTTTACATATTGATGAAAAAATGTTGTTGATATAAAAAAAAATAAAAATGTATACAGGTATTTAAACATCATATAAGAATGAAGGAACCCAGAGGAAACAGAATGAATAATGCAAAATGAATAAAATAATGGAAAGTGGAAGAAATAGACTTACCAACAGTAACTGAGAATTGAGGTATCATGCAAATGAATGAAATATCATTAAGGAAGAAGCTTAAGCGGTGGAGGAGGTCTTTTAATATCTGTTATTTGCTGTGTATTTTCTTTATAGGTTTGTTAGAAATGAATGATGAAGAACTTTAATAAGCTAATGGGCAATTCCCATAGAAAGACAATTTTGTCCTCATTAATTTTAGAAGAGAGGCTGAGAGAGAGTGCCCGAATCATCAAATGACATGGAAGTTTCAATTAATAATTTATGATATATTTATGGGGCAGAATATTTTTACACTGGTGTAAGAGTTAGAAGTCTTACCATCAATCTTGACCATTGATCCACTTGTATCAAATGGCTCACATTACTAAAAGATTTGAGCCCTTAGATATAAGTGGGATTAACGGACGAGATTAAGAGTGTAACTTACACTAGTGTAAAATGCTGTATTTATTATCATTTATCCATACTTCCCTATATATAAAATAGTAAATTCACGACAAAAAAACAAAATAGAAAAATTACAGTAATGGATGGATGTGAGGATGAAATTTAAGAGTTGGGATTAGCAAAAAATAACGTGTCTTATTGACTTCCCGTTTGAAACGGCCCAATTGTTTGAAACTAAGCAAAATCAAAACAAAAGGATAAGAATAAAAGATGCACAAAAAAATAAGGGATAGGATGAGACTGTGACTGTGAGAGATACATGGAGTGCCGTAACAATATCTCCTTTGTATTCGATGTAGCAAATAGCAATAGCATGCATTTATTTATTTCTTTGGAATTAGTCTATCATCTCATACCCCTTTCTCGCCTTTCCCCTCTCTCTCTTCTATCTTTTGATATCTCTTCTTTTGTTATTAGATTAACATAAAGTTATAAAATACAAAAATACAAAAAAATTACTATTTCAATAAAATTATATATTATTTGCATTTCTCTTTGAAAAACTGTTATAAAAAACAGTTAAAGAAAAATAATGCAAGATATGATAGAAATATTTTGAAATTTAAATTTAAAATAAAAATAAGTATGGTATGTGTAAATACACGTGTAATTATCACTAAAAAATATCAGAATAATGATCCACCAAAAAGAAATCAAAATAATGTAAAATAGGTAATATTTTAAAATTTAACTGTAAGATAAAAATAAAAAAATGTATGTATAAGATATGTTTCAATTCTCTTGTAATCATCACTGCAAATAGTAATAAGAATGCCGACAATGGTGATTAATGTTCATATAGATAAGTGAAATATTATTATTTATAGCCTAAACACCATGCATGTTGATAGATATTTTTATTGTTCATTTGATGCATATGATAGACGTATCAAAAAATAAAATAAAATCATAACTATAATTAACAATAAAATACTAGAAAAGCTCGTATAATTAATACTTAACAGATTATTGTATCAATCTCATAGTTTGCTTGTTGGAAATAAAGATAAAGTATATGGAAATATTAAAAAATAAATAAAATCAAGACTTACTCATACATGACATCATATATTCTTCTCATGCTGCACAGAGTTTGTATAAGGTATACAATACCAAAAGAACCTTACACCAGGCAACTATCTACGACGAAACATGTTTATCAAAATGTGAAGAGGACATCTAACCCCTTTACAACCCCATTGCTCTGAAAAAACAATTAATACAACTGTGTCTATGGGTGTAAATATGTTAGGTTAACTTAAAGTTTGATTTAAATAGGCTAAGTCTATGTAAAAAAATAAAAAATAAAATAAAAATTAAGTTTGGCATGACCTGTTAGTCTTATGTATGTCAAAATTACAAGTTTTGGTCTGACTTATATTTAAAAAATAAAAGTCTTGACTAGGCCTATTAAATATTCAATTATTAAAAATAACTAAAATAATATTATTTTATTATTCGAAATGACTAAAATAATAATTTTACTTATTTTATTTAAAATAAATAATAGTAAGATTTATACCTATTTTTTAAATAGATTTTTTAAAAAATCTAAGTCTGTTCTATTTCATTATTTATAATAGGTCAAGACTGATCTAATATAGATTAGGTCATAAGTCTCTGTAAGTCAGCCTAACCCATTTTAACCTCTATCTATATTAGTGTTTCATGTAAAAACATTCTCTAACTTAAGGTACATGTAGGGCAAAACAAATAGTGAAGACATGATGTGTGATTCTGGGCACATTCACTCAAATCTAAAGCTTCACAGTTGACACCTAAAAATATCATACTGAATGAGAAGTTGATCTTAAAAATATTTTCAAAATATATGATAAAAATCATGAATGGCGTAACAATTAATTCCTTGTTGGGATTCTCTTAATATCCTATGATGAAAATCATCACCGTAAATTTTCGGATATATCATATTAGATCATCAAGGAATTAAAGTGTACCTGATTCCATCGCAATGATTATAGTTTTTTGATGTATTTGAATTTTGGGATTTATGGTCTTCTTCGGTCAAATTACCAGAGTGTCAAATCCTTATACGAAAGTTCTCTCTTGATGGGAGGAGAAAATCATCTAACAAATTTGATATATTGAGGACCATAATCATTTTCCTTATTCCTTATAATTGGGTCCATCAGCCTCCTATTATACCTGGTTGGGCCAATGTAGGTATCCATTCATTTAACACATAATTGAATTCCCTTAATAGATCTCTTAGTTCACCTAATAATTAAATATGCAACCCACACTAATATATATATATATATATATATATGTATATATATATATATATTTAACATTCCTGGCATAATACCTGTAAAGTAGATAAACATATATGAAGAAAAAAATTCATAAGCACATAAATAATTATTTTTTCAATATTATCCATATTTATTAATTGAATTAATTCTAAGCTCAGAGCTTTTGATTATTTTAAACAATATCTCTTATGTCATTATAGACAATCATAAGATAAATTAATAGTGACGTAACTAATAAAAAAAGAATATTTTGAAAAGATGAAAGACACAAGACTCCTAAAAAAAAAAAATTAAAAATTGGATTGGTTGGTTTGACCAATTCAACTAAGGATTAGGACTTTTGACCACTATAGCCTTAATTTATTAATTAATTATTAATTTTCCATTCAATCAAAATATATAACTTATCTGTCTTTGTTTACGTAAAATATCTGGATAGATAAGGGATACTCGGGTATAATTTGAAAATTTTACCCTACCCGAATAGTCAAGGAGATATTCGGGTATTGTTCGTAATCTAAAAAAAATGTTTGAATTATTTATCCGGATAAGGAAGGAGATACCAAATAAATAATTAAGGCTCATATAAACAAGTTCTCATTCTCCCTCACCCATTAACGATGTCAAGCAAAACTTGCCAGCTCACCACAAGAAGCCACCAGCGTCTACCATCACCCATGCTTGAAGCCACAACACCAGCTGCACCAAATGACCATAAGGCCATCCACAAAAGCACAACAAGCATAAACGCATATGCCACTCTCATAACCTCGGGAAGACTCCAAACCATCTTCACAGAACCAACATCGTAAATGGAAGTCTGGAGAAGAAAAGAAGCCACAAGGAACCATCTTATAGACTCAATTAATTATACAAAAAGGAAAAAAGAAGCAACTGAAGGAACTAAAGTACTAAACTACAAAATTAGAAACTTGCAACATTAATCTGTGAATACAAGAAACTGTAAATTGTACGGGGGGAAAATCTTTAAAAATGGAACATATGTAAACAACAGTTTATTTGCATTTTAGGAAATGGAGACTGTTGAAATTGTAGGGATTGGATGGAAAAGAAAATGAGAGAATATATTCGAACTAGGACATTGTATAACTATGATATTATCGTACAAACAAAGTCTTTGAATGCTTAACTCATCAACTGCAGTTAGCAATTATTTACTCGGTATCCCCTTTCTACCCAGGTAAATAATTCAAACATTTTTTCAGATTACGAAGAATACCCGGTATCCCTTGACTACCCGAGTAGGGTGAAAATTTTAAATTATACCCTAGTATCCCTTGTCTACACTGGTATTTTATGTAAACAGAGGCAGATAGGTAATATGTTTTGGTTGAAAGGAAAATTAGTAATTAATTATTAAATTAAGGCTACGGTGGTAAAAAAAGCCAAGAATCAGACCAGCAACCAGTTCGATCCAATTAATAAATCGGCTTTGCAAATAATCTGAGATATCGGGTGC